ACCTACAGGGAATATGCCGCTACAGGACCTTCAGATTGACACGTTTACCTGGAAAGGGTTTAAGTGGGTCACGGTAATCGACATATTCAGCAAGGTGGCGATGGCATACCAAGTGATGGAGAAGTCAGCCAATGCAGTTGCGGAAGCCCTACAAACCTGGGTGCAGTTCTATGGGGTCCCCGAGAGGATTACTTCGGACGGTGGTAGGGAGTTCGACAATGCCGCGATTAGGGAGGAGGTGAAGCGATTGGAAATTGCGTGGCATTATAACACCCCAGGACATCCTAAAGGTAGAGGCGGTATTGAACGGCTGCACAGTACGTTAAGCGACCACGTCCGTGTATATCAGGGTGAAAAAGGGTTGGAGCCGGATGTGGCAATGAGGAAAGCGGTAACAGCCTATAACCACTCGATCCACTCCGTAACGGGGTTTTCACCCATGGAAGTTCTATTCGGGATGCGCAGGCCAAGGCGGGATTATGGGGAAACTACGCTTACCGAACCGTTAGTGGATCAAATTCTCAGCAATAGGGTAGAGGTAGAGAAAACATGGGGAAAGATAACGGCGAGAATTAAGCGGGAAAAGCAGAAGCGGGTGGAAAGGCAGAATGTACAGGTTCGCGACCAAATGGGGGAACTAAAAATAGGAACAATAGTTTACCGGAAATTGGGAACCAACAGAGGGAAACAATTGCTACGGTACGAGGGTCCATTCAGAGTGGTTGTTATTAGGGAGCATAACCTGGTAACTATTGAGAGCGTGAATGAGCCCAGAAAGAGGAGAACCGTTCATATCGAACAATTAAAGCTCCCAATGATAGAGTCGGGACATAGACGTACGGATTCGTAGTACCCTCACCGCTGTATATAAAACAGAGAAATATGTTTTTTTGTGGCTGTCAAAACAAAACAAGTTGTAAAAGATTTTTTTTTTTTTTTTTTTGTGGTATTATTTCATGTATAGAGGAAATTGTGTTTTTTTTGTTGTTGTTAGGAGTTCTCAAGTGGTAGGAGTTCTAAAGTGCTGTGTTTAGTTTCGGTGTTTTTAATTATTTCTTCTTTATTTATTATTTTTCCAGTTGAGTGGAACTATTTTATTTTCTTTTAAGCATATACTGTAAAACCAATTGTAAAGTGTTAAGGCTGGTCACCGTGGGCTCCGATCTAGCAATCTTTAAGTTTCCGAAAATCCTGTTCGTAAACTGGTGGGGGGGAGATAAAGACCGGAGACTGGCGGTATCAGCCTTAATACTATCTGGTAATGTAAATAAACAGGCTAAGTGTATATAAGGAGGCTTATGGAACGAATAAAGCAGTGTTATTTCAGAAGTCGTGTATGTTACATCTTTTCCCTTTTCCTTCTTTTTTTTATTTCTTACGTCCGACGACGCTTAACTTATATATATATATATATATATATATATATATATATATATATATATATATATATATTCTGAAATTGGCATCAGATAATTACATATGACACGCTTTAGTCGATCCAGACTTCGTGAGAAATGGATTTCCTTCACATTAAGAACACAATATGGCATACACGCGCGACCCAGACGAAAAATGTTCTTTGGCGATATGGCTGGGCTACTGGATCATAGTAAATAATTTCGGTTGGACAGCTGAGATTATAAATAGTTTACAAGATGGAGCTGCAGATTGGAGTTCGCAGAATATGTGGCACCTCTTCTCGTTTTACTGACACTTCTCTTACGCCCTGTTATCGGGTTTATTTGACAACAGTGTTGCAAGAAAATAAATTGCCTCTTCTTAGAAAGAATTGCGTGTACATTTCTGAGAATAGTGATGTTATCGGTAGATAAAAGTATACATCTTTATATTCATAGAACATGTAAGATAAAGTTTTTTATATGTATAAATTACATCACGAATTAACAGATGTAGAAATGCGTCTCTACTTTAAATATATTTAAAGATATTAAAAGTATATAGAAAAGGTAAACGAATCCTCTTGAGATTTCTTGGACACATCGGATAGTATAGATTAATACATTTTAATATTTTCACTAAAACTAATAAAATTTTGTCAATATATTTTTTGTAGGTTTTTATTAGTTTTTCCTACTTTCAAATAAAGAAAGAAATGATAAATAAGTTTATAATTTTAGTATTATTTGGCCAGCTGTATAGAATACTAACCAGAACATCTCATCTTTCGACTGAAATTAACTGTTGATCCACGGACTAGAACTGTGGGGGACAGCAAAACTTTTTAACAACAAAAGCATTCAATCCTTTCAGTTGGGACCTATATGTCTCCTCTCTGTGATTAGCAAGGTCCTGGAGAACCTCATGATGACTAGTTTACGATCTGTTTTCGCTGGAGCAAGTCATCCACGGCAATGGATCAACCAGAGGCAGAGGAACCCATGATGCCCTGCTGGGAGTGAGCAGAGATGTTGAGGAGAGGGCGGAGCGGTATGTCATGTTGCTCCTTTTCGACATATCCTCCGCCTTCGACAGCGTATGGTGGCCTAGCTCCAGCAGCTGCAGAGGTACGATGCTCCCAGTAACATGTACACTCTAGTATGAAGTTACCTCCAGGACAGAAGTGTGAAGATTAGTGGTAATTACTACGAGGTAGAAGCTTCCATAGAGAGAGGTTGCCCTCAGGGATCTGTGCTTGGTCCTGCTCTATGGAAGCTCGTCTTTGATGAGTTACTGAGAGTGTTAGAGGAAGAGCGGTTTCCTGCCACTGCTTACGTTGACGACCTAGCTGCTGTGGTGGCCTCCAACAGCAGAGCTGGAGTCAAGAGAGAAGCAGAGCGATGCCCCGGCCTGGTTGCTAGTTGGTGTGAGGGGAAGAAGATGAGGATGGCTGCTGCCAAGACTCAAGCCATCCTCCTTAAGAAAAAGAAAGATAGGACACACTCTATAAAGATGTACATAGAAGGGCAGAGGATACGTCCAAGTGAGGTGGTAACCTATCATTGAAAAAATAAATAATTAAAAAAATCAAATTCTTCTATCAATATCCGTTAAAAAATCAAAATGCATTTAATTGTTCTATAAGTTTTAAAAATGGAATGCGTTTTTAATGGGTCATTCTATTCAGTCATAAATTCAATTATAATCATAGTGGAGTGTATAAGGGTATCCTTATTTTCTTACGTATCCAATAAAACTAGGTTTAGTGATTTACTTGACTGACGTTTTTCAGAGATATCGATCTTAACTGCGCATATGTGGTCGCAGTCGATGGCTTGTATTTTCAAGACATTAATGACCTCGAGACCTGAATATATATATATATATTTTTTTTTTTGCAGTTACAGATATCTTTGAATTACTAGCCAGTTGGTATTCTTTTTTATTTAGTACACCCGATTATTATTATTTACCACCGAGAAAACTTCATATGTTCGAGATGAAATATTCTATGTTTACTCACATATTATGTTTTAAATGTGTCGTTGGTCGCATCTGATGTTTAAAAATATAAAGGGCGGGGACCTACCTCACTGAACGTTATGGTCCCACCATCTATTTTTTACTTAAGTCAACTTGCTTTGGGAAAAACTGGGAGTTATTTTTGTTGAGGAAGTCATGAATATAGTTTAAAAAATATATGAATATAAACAAGTATATATCCTCTGCTTTAATGCTATTTTTAGAGTTTTGTACATAACGGTAGGAAATAAAATATTAAAGAGGCATGTTTCATACACTTTATCTACTTTGAAAATCTCAGCTGCAATGGAAATCCAGTCATCCAGTCTACGGCCTTTAAAAAACTGAAAACTATGAAGGCTATGTTTTTCTTTTATTTATCTTATCTTTATTTTCTTTTTATTATTTTTTTTTATTGCACCCGACATTATTATGAAAACTTTACTGTATTATTTAATTTAAACATTTTAGGCTTTAAAATTCAGCTTTCCTCGGTTCACTAAATTATTGAAAAGAAAATTATAATACAGTATATTTCAACAGTACCTATATATAAATTTATCTAGGCTCATTAGAATTGGCTCAACGTTGGATAAAAGGTAGATATTGGTGAACAAATAGTGTAGTGCAATTTTATTGAATTCTATCTACTACTTTCTCTTAAATATGCGCAAGCGTGTTTTACTTCGTATGTCTATATCTCTATAACCGTAAGTTCGATTTGGCTCAAATTTTGAGGGAATTTAGGAATTGGTAAACAGATAACCAAGTATGTATCAAATTCTGTACAATTCTCCAAAAAAAAAAAATTACTTCTTTCAGATCATGAAGTTTTAGAGTGCTACCAATGGGTAGATTCTCAACAAGCGTGTTTCATGTTATTTTATTCCTCTGTACACATTTACTTGATGTATTCATACTAATACAGTTGTAAATATCATAATAAAAGTTAAAAAAAGATCATGAAGTTTATTATTTGGCACTCCTATAGTTTAAAAAGGGCGCGTTCGATTTGACCCAATCTTGGAGAATAGTGCAGAAATTGTCTGGTATTAATGTCATTAAATTCTATTTAATAATTAAAATTAATATAAATAATTGTAACAAATATAATAGTTGTGAAATGTTGAAGGCATTGATCATCTGGATTGGGAGTAAGGTTACAACAATATTTTTATGGGGTAATACAATTTTAGGAATTATAATCATTCTTTTTATTTAAGTCGCTTTAAAAAGGATATATTTAGCGTAAACCAAAAAAAGGTCGAAATTTCAACGGTTTTCGGAGCACTGCAGCGAACCCACAAGGCTTTCGAGGGAAGAAACTTGGATTTTTTAAAGTCACTGCATACCTAACAATATAAAAATGAAATTATAATTACCCGACCTTTCGAAAGATAGATCCTTTTTTTTTTTTTTTTGTGCTAATTTGACTGGACTACACCATGGTGCGGAGGAGATCAAATTGAAGACTGGATTTCTTGAGTATTGTGACGAATGCCACCCTAATGACCATTTTCTCTCCAGTTGACTGTGCATAATGCAAATATAATTCTATCAAATTTAAATTGAATTCCAGCCTTTATCATATTAATTTATTTGTGCTAGAATCGAAAATATCTTGGGGCCTTTTCGAGATTCATACTATTAATGAAAAATAAATAAATATATTCTTTAAATTTACGACTTTATTCATTTACTTTTTCCTCCTTATCCTTTGTATTCTCTTTTATTTTCTCTTTTAAAGACCTCGGAGTTATCTTGTTTGTTGTGATACCTAAATATAGAAAAAAAATATATATGAAATTGATGTTTAAAAATATTTTAATAATGTTACGATATAAATTTACGCTTTTAAAATGTAAATATATACAATCTAAAGTTCTTTTATTATTTTTTTTTCACAATGGTTTTAAAAGAGCTCATTCATAAGGAAACATTGAATAAGAAGCTAATAAATATTATGAGTTCGTTGTCGAAACCATCAATTGCCACTTCCCCACCAACCATATTCCTCATCAAAATCTTATTTCAGAAGAATATACTTTACAAAATACTTCCAATTACACTTTATTCACTCTCTTAAAGATTTATTGGTCTAGCCTTAAGATGGCAAGGGACAAAATGGTAAAAGAAGATTTCAATGTTTCTCACGATCGTATATGCTATTTTCGAAATGGGAATTTTGTTGCAATAAATTTTGTAGAAGCTTTTTTTTTTTAACTTGAAAGTAAAAGTCAAAATACGTAATAAAAAAAAAAGTTAAGATGGGCCACCAATGTAGAACTTTTGGCAGCCGAAAAAATTCGAACCTTTAAGATATTATTAGTTTTTCGCCAATGACTCTTGTAGAGCACATAGTAGAGGACAAATTTTTGTTTGTTATATGTAGATATTTTTTCCGTAATTACCAGCCTTGTCTATCTATGCTTTTCTTGCGCTAATTCATTCCAGTTATTAACATGATTCTCTATTACATCTTTGTTGATCTATCCGTTTGGACTTACGTAATTTTTTGACTATTATTTAGACATTTTGTCGTGTAGAGACTTCCAGATGCAATGCTCCGAGCTACATACACTACCCATCTCAACCTTCTTGCCTTCACATCATGAGCTATTGATTAATCAGTTTCCGGTTATCTTGTGAAAGATTTTTCTCTCAAATCTATTAATTTTCTCTCCAGGGTGCTGATTAACGGCTATATATTGCTTACTATACCCAGAGAGTCTCAGTTCTTAATTGCCAATCTCTTGGGGGATGAATCTAAACATTTACATAAAAAAAGTTTATTTGATGGGTGGGCCGATTCCAAATGAAAAAGGAAGTAAGACTAATTTTGTGTTTTTCTTAAGATTCTCACGGTTTTTAGTGAATAAGAAGGAATTTCTCCAAACTGTTCAAGATAATTAAATTTAAATACACCATCATAAAGTAGACAACATTGTTTTGAGAAAACTGATTAAATTTGCTCTATGTTTTTGGCAATGATGACTTCCAAATATACAGCAATTGATTTATTTGTTTAATTTACATGTTAACGTTTCGGGAAATTTACTCCCATCTTCAGAACTTACAATCCCATATTTTCTTAGAGATTCATGGCTAGAAAGGAATCATTAAAAAATAAAGCATGTTACAATACATGTTAGAGTTCCGTTGTTACATAAATTTTGTAATTACGTAAAGTCTGATGTGCTCCTTGTCATGTTTTAAATTTGGTAAGTTCATTGATAAAAGATACTTAAAAATTACTAAGTTGAATGATAATAGGGACTTTCAGAAGGTCTAATAAGGCCGGTGTACTTCTGCAGTTACAGCACCCATACTTGAGCAGCGCGCTCTGTACAACAGCCTTATTACACCTCCTGAACTTCCCATTTTATCATTGACTTTAGTAAATTTAAATATCTGTTTTCTTCCGAAAAAAAATGTCTACTTTACGTTGGTGTACTTGGACTTTAATTATCGTTGACAATTTTTGAACAATTCCTTCTTATTCAATAAAAAACCTGACCACAATAAGAAAATCACAGAGAGTCTTGACTCCTTTTTCATTTGCATCAAAAAAACTTTTTTGTTAAAAATTTTGCCTCGAATCGTCCTTCAGAGTTTGACCATTAAGAACTGAGACGCGCGTTATATAAATTAAAAAAAAAAATATGTAACGCATTTTTTTAAACGTAAATACTAAGCTTTTTCAGACAACCTCTCGTTTTGTTGGGGTCTTAAGTCACCGATTTATGCATTTTTTCATCATTGGCTCTCGTATCTCATATGTTGGAGGAATTCGGATATCATTGACAGTGTAATGCAGCATTCTCGAACGGCGACGAATGGGTACACCAGGGCGTGATGCCTAGCAGTTTGCGTTGGCCAAGCTCCGATAAACAGTGGGTAAAAATAAATAGAGAACTGCTCACCGGGCATCAGCTCATTGTTTTGATAGCAATCCTTTCTAGGCGCTAACCTCGATTCGGAAAATTTGAACGATTTTGTTAAATATGAGATGAGGCTGTTTAAAAGTCAGAGTAATTATTAGCGTGATTATGAGCGTAATCAGATTAATCTTAATTTTGAGAAATTAAAGGTTAAATAAAAATGGACGTGAATGAGTGCCATTTTTGAAAAATTGATGTTTCGCAATCGAGAAAGGCTTCTAGTGACATATTTTTAACATTTCCTCCTTCTAGTCTCATAAATTCAATAGTTGGCTCAGAAATGAGTTGTTGAGTTGATGAAGGTATTAAATGACGATACACGCCTGTTATGTAGAAATAGAAAATAACTTTATTCTGGGACAAAATCCCTTTAGAATAACAAAATAGAACATAATTAAAAGACTATATCTGGCCAAAATAAAACAATAATAAACAAAGAGAAAGTAAAGAAAATATTACTTAAACAAGCTACATACAAAAAAAAAATTCTATATACAAAACACTTAAAACTATGTACAGCAGGAAAAATTATAATAATAAAAAATACATTGAGTGCTTCTTTAAAATGATGTGTGTATCTGCTAACAAAGAAAAGATAAAGCTGACAATATAAAATGTCAGTGTATTTAAATAATGAATAATAATAATAATAGACTCATCATTATCTAATTCTAGCTATAGATACAGATTTAATTATATACGAATAAAAAAATAAAAAAACAATAGATGCATTAAGAGCAGGAAGATATTGTAATATCCATAGTGAAGTTCACAGTATAGAATAGTACTATAATTTGATGATGAATAGAAGTGTATAATATCAAAAGTTTAGCAAGTATCTGATTGTTTTTGGGATAGGAGGGTTTTGAATGTGGATATGGAGGGGGAATGCCGAATTTTAATAGGTAGAGAATTCCAGTAATAGACAGCGCGAGCTATAAAGGAGTTTTGAAATGAGACAGATCTGTGAGAAGGGATGTAGAGGTCAGAAGGTCGAGATCTTGTTGAAAAAGTATGAACTGAGGACTTGAATTGGAGAAGGTTGTTGGCGTAAGAAGGACGATGGTTGTTGATGATTTGATAAAGGAACGTACCTAGGAAATATTGTCTTCGAAAGGAGGGTAGAGCCACCTTGACTCAGTGTTGTGGTGAGAGACATGGGAGTACCTCGGGACACCAATAATAAATTAGGTCATCATACACAACACAGCTTTAGTCAAAGTGGGGAAAGATGAGAGAGGAAATTAGGAGTCTACGAGTATGTTGAGGTAGGAGATGGCGGAAGCGATGAAATAGTGTAAGGGTAGAATTTGTCCGACGAGAACTGTGAGAAATATGTTAGTTCCAGGAGAGGGTTTGATCTATGAAAAATCCTAAACATTTAACAGAGGAGTAGAAGGAAATTGACTGGTCATTAAGGTGTAATATGGGAAAGTCGGTAGTGGATAAGATGATAACATTACTTATAACTTTTTCAATATATAATTTCCCTATTTGTTAATGAAATAATTTTTTTATTGATAGATTTACTTGAATAATAACAATAGAGTGGGCCAAAATCAAAAGAATTTGGCATTATGGATCTATGATGACATTCATTCTTTATTTCCAAATTAAAACCCAAGCTAAGAAGTATTGAAATAATTAATTCAGTCGTTATTCTCTTTAAGATGTTTATGTTAACAATTGAAGATTCGCATGGAACGTTGTAAGGATGGAGAATATAATACACAATAATAATAATAAGTAGTGGTAATAATTAAACATGTATGAAAACAAAATGTTTGACAGCATCAGACTCGTTATTTAATAGCCGCACGTCATTTAATAGGTATTAAATTTATTGAAAAAAATAAAGCTATTAAATTTTACAAATATTGTTCATAAACAATATATAATAATAAAATAATATGTTAAAATAAAGAAAAATGTATGAGTGAACGTACTTTTCACACAATAGGCGCTTTGATAAGAAGTCTCCATTCTACTTTTGTGAACAGCTTCCCACAACAGTCTCAGGTCGTTTTCATTTGTTCCGAAATTTTCATCCTACCGTTAAAATGAAAGCTTTAAACATAATAGAAAGAAAAATAATTTAAATAATTGTATAACGATTATTATATAACGAGGCTGTACTGATCAAGTCCGATAGTTCTTTATCTCAACATTCTAAAATAAATGGTTACGATTCGAATCCGGTTGAAGAAGATTGTTTTTATTTCCACTTTTTTGGATTAGCTAGATACTGAGTCTATAACGTAGATGAAATGAATTAAATATTTTATAAAGTTAACCTATACTTAGTTCGCTACCTCACTAATGAAAGTATGAAAAGTTTGTATTTATGTAGGGATTGAAACAAAATAATTGTTTTCAGATTTGAAAGTTTCCAGTACTGTTTTACGTCATAGACAACAAGAAAAAAAACCTGATAAGTTCACTCACACGACTTTTCCACCTATTTCAGATAAGTTTTTGTATCTTTACACATGTCCATCAACACTTTTCGTCTTGTTCATATCTGATATAATCCATTTTTTTCAGCATAGTGGAACCACAGGCGTAAGCATCGATAGCACTCATGAAGTTAAAATGCTCTTACTAGCAGATGATATTATTATTCTTAGTAATACTTGGCAAGAAACGCAAAAGAAACTGAAGATCCTGCAACAGTACTGTGAGAAGAACTCCCTGACTGTAAATGAGGAAAAATCAAAAGTTGTTGTATTCCATAAATCCCCCAGGATGAAGAAACTTAAGCCCCTTTACTGGTATGAGAAAAAGCTGGAATACACTAAGGCCTATACTTACTTAGGAGTACCTTTCACTTCCTCAGGAAAATTTAGTAAGGCATCTGAGCATTTTATACAGAAGTCCTCTGTTGCCACGGGAAGAGTATTGGAGATTTTGCAAAGGGATAGAAGCGATTCATGGGAGACAAAAATAGCTCTTTTTGATTCTATGGTGTCTTCAACCCTTCTGTATTCTTCTGAAATATGGAGCTTAAGATACCTGGATGCTATTGAAGTGGTACAGCTGAAGTTTCTGAAGCAACTATTTAGGTGGCCAAGGAATACTGCCAACTACATTGTACGTCTAGAAACTGGCCGAAACGCCTTGAGTGTCAGGGTCATGAGAAGGATCATAAATTACTGGTCTAAATTGTCGCTTATGCCAGAAAAGAGGTTACCAAGGCTTTGCTTCAACAAATTAATTTTGCTGGATACAAGGAATCCTGATATAAACTTTAATTGGATCACACAAGTCAGATCAATAGCTACTCATTATGGCTGTAAAGAAGAGTTCGATAAAGTATACCCAACTGGATTATTAAAATACAGCGATGAAATATTGGAAAAGCTAAAAAACCATAACCTACCTAAGGACATCCATTTATCCATAAATTCCAACAAGAATCCCATATATAGAACTATTTCCAGCTTCAATATTTCCAGCCCAGAGTCCTATTAGATGTATAGAGCTAACATGAAAAAGCTAAGTCAATAAGTCACTTAAGGGTTTCAAATCCCGAATTAATTAAGCTCTATACGAAAAACAAAAGTTTCTACTTCAAAGCCCAGGAAACCTGCACTTTCTGTAACAAATTCATTACTAACAGCCTGTTCCATATCCTTCTGTACTGTGAAAAGCTAACAGACAACAAACACAAACATTTACGAACATTTCTCTCTGCGCCAAGTGATGTAAACAAGATACAAGACATACTTCGAATCGATAGCATAGAGAAACTTGATAAAATTTACTGGTTCATAATGTCATCGTGCAATTCACTGGATTCCTTAAGCTCTGATGTTCCACACACCAATCAAGTGCTATGACTAAGGATAATTGTTGGTCAGTTCAATTAATTGTTTGTTTCTTTTTATTTTTTGGTTTTATTGATAATGTAGATAGAAATTAATTGGAATGTAATGAAGTATTATTGTTTAGTTATTGTTTTTATGATAAGTCAATGTACAGTTAGGGTAAACTAGACTCATGTAGGTGAAATAAAGTTATTTATATATGTATCATTTGTACAAGATTGTAAAATAATCTTAAATTCAATTCTACACATGTCCATCAAGAAACAAAAAAAATTTGGATTAGATTTATTTACCTGAAAATTGATCAAAGAAAAGATTTGAGTACGATTAATTTGATAAACTAAAGCAATGTAAACCGGCTTAAGGTAGATCAGTATAAAAATTTCAATACCCTCTAATATTGCTGATCAAAAACTTTTTGCCATAGCCTAATTTTGTAGAGGTAATAGTGAAGCTTGTGCGATGAAGTCAACAGATTTTCTTAATCTCACTTAGTTATCTTTTTTCTCTCATTCATCCCTTTTTGACACCAGGATATGAACCCGTAATCTTACGTTGGAAATTGAATAGCTATAACATTATTAATAGTTGTCCAAAGTGAACGATTTTTATATAGTTTTGTAGGGAATTTCATTACCTTTCAAAAAACAGGCCAAATTGGCTCTGAAACGTACAGATTATTCAAAAACCGCATATAGGAAATTTGATCCGATTGAAATACTTTTCTGACCTAGTACAGGTAGGAAAGTAAAAAATAACTCCTGTTTTATAACAATTGTATCTGTTTTTCGTTAAATCTTATTGACGAATATAACAGCAGTACTATAATTAATCCGTTTTACTGAAATTTTCTGGGATACCTATGCTTAAATTATTCCATATCAGTTTTATCAAATTCCATCCACTTCACTTATCTGCAAAAAGTACTCTCATGAACAGCACTATAATAGCCCATCCACTTTGAACCAAAGTCTTACTCATCTGCAGTTTTTTTTTTTTTTCTAAATATCATGAGGGTAAGACCATTTTAATTACACCTGTTTATGGAAGCCAGTAAATTCGACCTTATGTGAAAGAGTATGGAGATGACCGAACTATAGAATTACTCGTGGCTCAAAGGAGTTCGTCAGTCATTCGAAATTTTCGCTCATCACCTTCACGTCTCTCCACTAATAAATATTGATAACAGTTTAAACTAAATAAGACAAAAGGTATGATTGTCTATTTATAAGGACCCTATGACACGATTCCAAATATCAGTGATTCTATGGATTATTATTTTTTTAAATTACATTGACACACTTCTCGGAAAACTAACCAATACCTATTATTGATAGTACTCCAATAATAATAGGGTGTATAAAAACATTACTGTTTCATCAAATTCAAGATTTTAAAGGCCTGTTTAATACTTACCAATACTTAATAATCCCTTCAGAGCATTCTCTAAGCTTGTTTAATCCCATTCGACTTCTTCAAAAAAGCCTCAATTTAATAATTTGTTTCAAAGAAGAAACATGACAGTGTCCTACGAAATTCTGGTAATTTTAAGGCGTTACTGGAAACAAAAATTAACATACGCGGGAGCAACTCGTGATATTATTAAATATGAATGTGGGGAGGATTTCCTTGACCATCGCACTGCGCGGCGTTGGTTTGAAAAATTTAAGAGTGGAGATACGACTTTGGAAAGAAATAAAGGCTCCGGGCGACCATTAATGGATATTGATGAGATTCTGCAGGAAGCTGTCGAGTCAAATCAGTCCAAGAGTACTCGCCAGGGAGTGTGTTGTGTCGAAAGATTCGGTTTCATCTATTCCCCATGGAGAAGGTGAAAAAGAGCAGTAAACTGGTCCCTCACGAACTTACTCCTTAGCAATCAGCTAAGAGATTAAAAATTTGTGAAAATTTATCGGAAAACGCTTCTGATATGAGACTCCTGCCTCATCCACCACATAGTTCAGACCTCACACCATCGCATTACTACTTATTAGATCTTTTCAAAATTACAAAAAAATTTTTTTTTAATTTTTTAGAAGTTGAAATCGAACAATACAATGAATGAAATTTAATCTAATTTAATAAACTAAACTTTTCTCGGACCAAGTCCGCTATTTTCGCCAATCTATGGACAAGTATGATCGTAATGATCTTAGATCACACGCCTGCCATACACAAAACCCATGCAAACTACTACCAACTTTAAAAATATATTTTTAATCAGTAGAAAATGGAAATACACACTTGCTTTTCATCGAGCAACTTCATTTCCTCTTCCAAAGCTAATCGTTCCTCCTGTTCCAGTTCCATATCAAAATAATCTCGCTTTTTTATACGAAAATCACGATTCATTTTGGCTGTGCCATTATCGAAAGTAAAACGATACATTTTCAGAATCAAATGAAATTACAATTCACGGTACAATTATTATCAGAACATATGACTTTATTTTATCTTATCTACAACTTGAAATAATCTTTGTTGATGGCTTAACTTACTGCAATATTTATTAAAAAGCACTTTAAATTTGTTTAGATGTACTTATCTATAGATTTGTCTTTTAACTGCTAAATACCGGTAAATAAATGGACAAAAATAAAAAAAGAAGTGGATAAGTGACACTTATTTTTTAAAAATAAATTATCTCATACAATTTTGAAAATTTATTAAAACCATACTACCATAATGCAGAATATTTTTTAAAGAGGAAGCTTTAGGATTCATAACATTATGCTAAGAATGAAGCAGTAACTGTTAATGACAACCAATCTGGTAAATTGTAAGCAAGCAGGCTAGCACTATTTGTAGTAACTATCGTTTGTAGCCACTATAAGTAAATCTCATTGACAAAATTTTAAGCATATTAAAATCGACTTCAGCCTGGATTGTTTTTCTCCCGGTTGACAAACGTTGCGTTATATTGTTCAGTTTTCAGAAAATCATTATATAATTATAAACCAAGAATAAAGAACTAACAATATAGTTGAAGTGCTGAAAGTTTTCTTTAAATATTTCAAAATATACTCAGTTCGTAAAAATTTGTATGATTTGTTCTTTCCCGCCTTACTTCGATTTGGGATGTTATTCAACCAATTGGACTCAGCTTGTGAATACAATAGCATGTATAATACAAGTTGTATGCTGTGTTTAGACATTGAAAAAACACATTCATGCAATAACAAGAAACAGGGCCCTTAGACATTACTATATTTCTAGATGAACATGAAACATGGCAGACATGAGGAATCGCATTTTCTGAACTATTGTCATTTTAAAATAAACCAAACAAAGAAAATGAAATAGGAATGAGATTCATCAAATGAAAAAGACAATTCATTTTAATTGTACCAATAACCATTAAATTCGACATCTCTCAAGCAACACAAACAATAAACAAATGTCTAAAAGCTACCCAAGCTACCTTTCATTATTTTTGAAAAACCGATAGCACATGGAAAGGGCAGAACCAAGAAACATAAACACTAGCCTAGAGAATAAACCTGTTTAGATATTTGTGGTTCCCATAGTTTGTGAAATGTCTAATGGTACTATTTCGCTAGTACTGCTCATGGCAGCGTCTGCTGGCGGTTGAGCACTGCTTTAGAGGAATAGAAAGGAACCTATTCCGTTGGCACTGATCGGCAGTCTAGGAATGATATATCTATACTACTCTTTTCTGACCGCTTCTGAAGCAATGAAGTTGTGATACGTTTCATTTCATCCTTTTTTTTCATACATTTAGGCAAAATTAAATGAAATATTATTTAAAATTTAAACAAAATTGTGATATATCGATTATACCAATTAAGGATTGAGTTGTATTAACCTAACAGTGTTATCTTTTATGGTGAATAAAATAGTTGTGTTCACTAATATTGTAGTTTTGTGCTTTAGTATTCCAAGTACTTAACATTTGGCGACGAGGATGGGATGCCTTTGTTGAATTACAAACAAGTGGTCACTGAATCAGTGAAAGATAGAATATTAAGCAAGGTGATAAATTGGGTAGCCGCGGGGTGGCCAACTGAAAATAAGAATTTATCTGAAATCGAAAAGAAGTTTTTCTCAAAGAAACTAGAATTATCTATCGCTGGATAAAGGATGTCTCATGTGGGGAATAAGAGTGGTTATACCAGAATCACTTCCCCACATGAGACATCCTTTATTCTTTGTTTTAACTTGGGTTACGTTTTCACTACTTTCCTTGCTTTCTTCTTTATTTTCACTTCTTAATTCCTGCACAAAAATTTGCCTTAACCTTACGAAACGAGTATGCTATGGACAATTTTCTTTTAGACTACAGGCGAATAGAGCATTCTACTACCGAAAGATCACCAGCTTATCTTATGCAAACGCCATGTGGACCAAATCGTCAGATTTCTCCCTGGGAAAAAAATAAGAGAAGAGGCTATTGCAATATACCAACCTACCGGAGGGTATGGCGTCCAGCCATGGAGAATGTCAGGAAATTTTAATGGAAATACTTAAAGGAATTCCTTACACTGAAATTTACATAGATAATATTTATAGTACAAGTAGAACAGATGAAGAGCACATTTCTATCATAACCGAAATATTTAGGCGCTTAAATGAAGCAGGCTTAAAAGTAAATGAAAGAAAGTGTGAATTTTTAAAAAGTAAGTTGGAGATTTTAGGATTTGTTCTGGATAAACAAGGAGTTCATCCAGCAGAAAGTAAGGTTATTGCAGTCACGGGTGCTCCAAGGCCTAAAGATTGCAAACAGTTAAGGAGTTTTCTTGGATTGGTGAATTATTATGAATCATTTCTGAAGCACAGAGCTGATAAACTGAGTTGTCTTTATGATTTGCTGAAGTCAGAAAAGTGGTATTGGTCCGAAGAATGTGAGGAAAGCTTCAAATGGATCAAGAGGCAAATCGTGTCCGACAAGGTATTGACATTGTTTGATCCGAATGAACAATTAGTCCTGTCATGTGATGCCAGTCAATACGGACTGTCAGCGATCCTTTCTCATAAAAGCTATAGTAAATCATTTTTTAAATCTTGAAATAACAAGATTATTTATTTATTTACTCCACCATAAGTATTTTACAGAAAAATTCAAATATACCTAGATCCAAATAACATTAAATAATAAAAAAAAATTTAACTTCATGTAAATATTCAAATTCAGACCTTGAAAAATCAATTTGTATATTTCATTTAAATTACTGATTTACTGATTGTCTATTGATAAAACGTTAAAATATTGCTTGCTGTGATTTCATTACAAATTTATGATATTTATAACTAATCAATTGTGTAAAAATTCTTGTCACTTATCAAAATAATAATTAGTAATAAATTTAAAATCGGATATAAATCATCAGTTCTTAAAATAATGCTTTATCGTCTTATTATTATGCATTAATACCATGAATGCTTACATTTTATATTCAGGATATAACAAGAAACAATCATTTTGTAGAAGGTGGGAATCAATATTCAGATAATTGTTAAAATTTCATAGTAACATAACCTAACCTTATTATTCAACTTTTAACTATCAGAAAACATGATATGTTTTAAGTAAATAAGTTACAAACTCCGCCATCAAATTTACTGCTATCCTTCCGGTACAAATAAAACCCATTAAATTTAATGCTAACATTTTTAGTTGAAATTACGACAAACTTGGACGATCATTGAGATTTGTCCGTGACGGTGAGCAGTTAGAGGTAGACAGTATGGAATAGCGGTCGCTGCCGTGGGCAGTACCACCGAAATAACACCTTTAGGGTAAGTGAAACTAGGAGGTACAGCTAGTTATATAATGAAGAAAACATAGTTTGCTTTTTTTTATTCTAAAACATTGAAATTACAGTTTTATCTTATTTTATAATCATGTTATCTAATTGTTCCCAACACTTAACTTAAACCTAAATTATTTAATTCCTTTACACGAAGTATCGCTTTGGAATACATACCAGAAATCGGTATCTTCTCCTATCCATTATATTTCAACTTAAAATTTAACCTTGCCAATTACATAATATTTTTTATAATTTTTATCATCCGGATTTTCTCAATGCAAAAATTTTGAAAATTTTGTGATTACAGGTACGTGCGAAAATAAACATGACTAAAATAATATAATATTTTTGATCACATGGTGCTATTCGACTACCACCTAATGATAATCCTAGTTTTTTAAGATTAATTATTTACCTATATTCTTCCGATCTATCTTAAATATGGATCGACTCCGAAAATGACTTCGAAGATAATTTATATTTTTATCCCAAGGGTCAGGTTTTGACCTCTTGTTGGTTCTAGACTTTAATGAATGAATTAAGCGATTATCAAAACAACAAATAAGATAATAAGTATTATATTTATCTTTTATGAGTGTAATGGTAGTTTTCAAATAAAATTATGTTTGTGATTCCTTGTCTTGTTTTCATATTAGGTTTTAGTTATTGTAGTTTTGTTTTGCCTAAGTATAGATTTATAGTAGATTTTTTTAATATTAATTGAATAACGTCATAACCTCTAAAGGTCCCGATGTGTGAGGAGTGACGCACGATATACGGGAGGGGGAGAGGGAGTTCAATAGGGCTGAAGCACCTCCCCCAAAATGGTAAAATATAACTATGTTCTATGAAAAACATTACCTTTGAAAGTATTATTGTTCGTCTAATTACAGTTAAAAGGACTTCAACAATCACTTAAAGACCATTTCATATAGGTAGTTAGTTTGTTTCTTTCTTCCGGTCATTACCCTAATATATTTATACAAAAAAAAAAAATCTTTCGGGCTGAAGCCCCCCAAAATTAAATCCTGGATCCGTTAGTGGTGTGTCGTACATATAGGTATGCTTCCATACTGACCTAAGTTAAGTTTTTAAAATAAAATATAGAACTGTAGACATCAAAACTAAAATTTCCATTCCTGTTTTACGTTTTAAACACCATGGAATAGATTTAATTCCATTGCATCTCAGTCTTTGTTCAAAACTATATAACAGCCATCACACTTACTACTGTTATCTACTATTTCGAACTAAATTTCAATAAAATTTTCAGAGATTTTAATGTGGATTGTAGCCTACATGTCACATATTTTATCAAATTTCATCCACTTCGTTCGCCTACTCCTGTCAAATTTATTTTCCTTAACATTCCTACCATTGGAAAACAGTTCGTTCGATTAGATCCAATGGATAAAGGAAGTTTGAGGATTTACTAACAAATAATTCAGTTGCAATTTTATCAAATTGCATCAGCCATATTTCCTTAAGCATGGGTAGATTAATTTTGAAGAAACTAAAGAATATCCCCTAAAATTGATATCTAGAATGGAAATATAAAACATAACAGAAACACGAAGATTAAATTTTGCTATCCATTTTTGGTGAGGCAAACTACTGTTAAATACCCAGTTGGTACATTTATTTTGAAAATAATTGTTATTTCCTCTCATTATTTTGTAATATGATCCACTATTACAATATACATTCATCAATATATATACAATATACATCAAATCATTTAATGTTCATGTTAATCTCATTTTGGTAGTATTTCCGAATCGTGAATTCAAGATGGCGGCTTGTTTCGAGATCACATTGAGCATACAGCTCTGTTGTTTACATTACGTTAACCTATCTCAAGTCCCCATCACATTCACTTCTTTTTCTATATGAAAAACTGCATTAAGCTACTTAAAGAAGTGTTTTTCAGGTGTTTGTCAAAACTTACACTTCAAACTAGAAAATAAATTTCGAAATAGTCGCCAAATAGAAAAATTGGCCAAAATTATTTAAATTCGAAACATGGAATTAAAATCTACTAATGCAATGTTACCTCGAAACGTTCTTAATATTTAAGAAAGCAATGTACGTCTGTAATAGTCAGATGGTAGAAGAATTATATGTGTATCGTTGGAAAGCTTAGCATTTTATAAAAAAAACAATATCTAACATACAAAGACGTAGGAGGAAATGGAGAGTGAGAAAAAAGTTATTAATATTTTTGAAAACTAATATTATTTAACGAAAACCACATGCTTCTAAGGAAATGAAATGAAATTTCCTAACTAAATTATAAATTATAAAATCCACCGAATCAAGGCAATGCCATAAATAAAAAACTATTTCATTGTACCTGTGTGAAATATAAAACTATTTTATGGATGTGTAAAACTATGTTTACAACCTTAAATACATTCACTGTAGGTTATTAACTCTAGATCTGATAATATCTTTAAATAATTAGATATTTATCGGTGATTTACTTTCAAAAGTCATCAAGTGATAATTTAGAAAATTAAATAAGTGAATAATACGATGTATTTTTCCTCTGTGAAATCACATTACTGTGACAACTTTTGGACTAGTGATGGTAGGGTATGGAAATCTCGTAACTCCATTTTATTAAACTTTACTATGGGAAAATAAGAGTTTAATAACTAATAGTAGTGCAATCCATTTAAAGGTTAATTGTACAGATTTACTTTTAAATCTCTCTAAGCATATATAGCTCAGAGATTGGAGTTATGTGGTTTACATAAACAGATGCTACGAGCTTTATATTGCCTACAGTCAATATAACGAATAGGATTTATATAATATTTTAATGGCCTTTATGAGTTATATATATATTTAAGACATATTATGGTACTTGGTCAAAATTATTTGTGAACAGTGGGAAATTGCATTAATTTTGAAAATTAGCGGTTTCAACTTTCTAAGAAATAAAGCTATTTTTTAAATTATATTTTTCCAGCTATTATTAATTTTAATTTACACCATTTTGGCGTTTTTCCAAATGTGTGACACTGGTTACCCTATCCACCCGCTAATAAACTAGGCCAGTCGTGTAATTCAGATTTGCCAACCCTGTCCCTGAATCCTAATTTAAAATTTCTTTCACAGGTCAGTTGGTAAATGTTACATCAAACATCGCGTAGTAAATTCAGAATCTAAAATAATAGTAACACTAAAAATTAAAAATATCTTTATTAATCTTCAGAATAAATGATGTTCTTAAAATAATGGTTGTGTAAAAGCTATCTGAAACGCTGACTTGTTTGTAAGTTCGAATAACCTTGCTGTGATATTCTTGCTGAATATTCGGAGGTGTATAAATTATCACTCTCAAAAGTTGCAGGTACTGAAACAAAATTAGTATTGATTGATTATTTTTAAATGATTTTTTATTTTACTTTACAATAATTACAAAAATTGTATGTGATTACAGACTATTTATTATTTTTTATTAATTTATTTTTTTGTCTTTCACTATGTATTAAAATATCCCTTTTAGGTTTATTTATTTAAGCAGGCGAAGCAAACGTTAAAAGAAAGTGCAAGAATCGGAGTTTAAGTTGCTAATATTTAAATATGTACATAAAATGATGTGTGGAGACTTTCCACAAACTTCTAATCCAGTTATATTTTTGCAAGCATATGAAACAGACTCAATTCTAAATTGAATATTTGGTTTGTATTGTTTGTTTTTTTTTTTGTTGAGGTAGTGGGAAAATAAATACAGAACGGAAACAAATTGGACTGTCCAACTAGCATGGACATTCCAGAACGCAGAACCCATGGCGACTTTAAAATTTTCACACATTGATCCTGGTTAGAGTATATGAGAAATCGATGGGAGATACTCGAGGATGGTGAGAGTAATAGGACAAACTAAAGACTTAAATATTCTTATATAGTGGATATAAACTAGGGAAGAAAAGTTACCGGAAGTTACGCTGAAGTTTTGAGGTGGACCCTTCATCATCGCCACTGAGGTCACGATCGGGTCGTTACGATCGTTCTGTAGTCCGCAATCGGAAAGAACTAATCCAGAAAATTGGGTCGTGTGAAACTTTTTGCCAATCACAGATGGCTGACTTGAGTTTGACGCTACGTACTCAAAGAGAGAGAGAGTTGCAAGATTTATTTCCCGAGACCTACGAAAAATAAATATTAATTGACCCCGGGAATCAAACATATAACGTTCAGAACCTGGTAAAATCCCATACCCCAACGTGCTTTGGGCTGTCATTACGTTCTATGACACATGGGTGGCCAGAAGAAGGTTTCATGGCACAAGTTGCGCCATCAAAAGTTTTGAGGGGAGCATATTTTTGCGGGGTTTTGAATTTTTGAGGAGGCCACATTTTAACGGGGTTATGGATTTTCGAAATGAAAATTTTCAGAATAAGGCGACAGGGGGAAATGTTAAACTGACAGCAGCAAGTATAATTGTGTAGTAAGAAAATATTTAAGGGGCGGGGTGACCGAATTGACTAATCGGTGTGCACAGGAGCGCGCATCCCCCGCTACCAGATAACCGGAGATATGAGAGATTAAAAAGATTAAAAGAGATTAATTCGCGTCCCGGTGCCGGAGGGAATTTTAAATTCCCCGTCCTCCCCCTTCAACCCGGGAAAATCCTGTATATTCTGAAATACAAGGTAGGGAAGAACAGGAAAAAAAAAGTGTAAATGTGTATGATCTATAATTTTCTAATTCTACGTTCCCTTGCTCTGTTTTTAAGAGAAGATGAGCAATGAAATATCATGGGAGGGAAGGCTAGGTTCTTGCACCATCGACCTTTGGGCAGGAGGGGGATAGACACCTCTGCTACATCATGTTGGCTGGATAGATTGATTGAGGAATTTTATTATATTATTGGATACGATAACGATAATTCTCACTTTATTTTTTTAAATTTTCTGGATACCCCTACCGAGTCATTTCTGGCACGTGGGAAGGAGGATGGAAGTTGTTACGGAGTACAACCAAACCTATTCTAATCACAGTGGGAAGGTCGAGATCCATCCCGTGGGACCGCTACGAAATAGTTTGGATTCGATAGGCTGGATTCGAACCAGCGTCATTAGACTCAATAATGTTAAAGTCTATATTCACCTGTGTTGAATGTGATACTCCTGGGACCGAAGATGTTAGGCGGGCTGATTGCTACTGTCTTGAACATGGAAACATCTCTGTAGCTTCCCTGGGAAGGACTCTTCATCATTGCCACTGGAGTCACGATCGGGTCGTCGTGGTCCTTCTTCATCGTTCTGTAATCCGCCATCGGAAACCCTGAGGTGCCCAAAATAATTTAAATCAAAGGAATTGGTTGAATGGGTTGAATGTAAGATTATGTTTAAATGTTTGGGCGCCAAAAATTGAAAAATATTTTCTCCTTAAAAACTATTTGATTTAAACACAATGGCTTATATACATTTATGGAATATATTAATGACTACAATAATTCCTAACTGAATTTATGTTTCATAACAATATTCATACCTCTATTCAGGTAATCGGTACCATATAATGAAACTAGAGATTCATCTACATCCGCACAAGGATGCTGTATGATTTCATTTTCCAAAATCGCTCTCTAGAAAAAGCAATTTACCATTTTACTTTCCTATAAACAAATTAATCAAAAAACATAAAATAATACTACCATAAATAACAGGAGGAGGAATATAAATCAAATTAAATTTTAAATGGTGAATGTGGCTGATTGTTGACTATCATAATACATACTAATTAATGTTAGCTAATAATAACTATTATTTAAAAACCACATTTCATTGAAATTGGAAATAAAATGCTTAAAGGCACCCATATATGATCAAACTGTTGCGATATTTCCGTTTTGTGGAAATTTCCCCAATGCACAAGAATCTGCCATCTTTGTTTCCGGTTGGCTTTATAAATCACGTAAGGTTTCAACCGCGCTGTATGGTAATATTACAGAAATATGTCGCGTATGGTCGCAGTTATAGCCTGGTGGAGGTCACCATAACCAAACCCTTTAATAATAATAATAATAATAATACTTTATTTATTCTGGGACGAGTCCCTTTAGAATAATACTGGAAGACAGAAATGAGGGCTAAGGAGCCTCAGAGATATATAAATAAAAATACAGAGTAATTGAACAGTCTTGGTTAAAAAAAATAATATATATATATATACACATATACATATAAGTTGCTTTCCAATTTTGATCAGTTGATAATAAAAGAGAAAAAAAAAGTAGATAAACAAAAATTGGAGTACAAATAATGAAGAACGAACTAATAATTTATGTACATATTTTCAGTAGTATCTATTTACGATTTTATGGGGACTGGATGGATAAGAAATGATTGAACAGGCGGGATTTAAAGGTAGGAAGGGTATTAGATTGACGGATATGGGAAGGTATGGAGTTCCATAGAGATGAGGATCGGATAATGAACGATTTGTCGAAAGCAGCGGTTCGGTGGGCCCTTATGTATAAATCAGAAGACCGGGAACGAGTATTGCGGGAACGAACAGAGGATTTGAATTGAAGGAGCTCGGAGATGTATGAGGGACGGTGGGATTGGATGACTTGAAAGAGGAAGGATGCCAGGAAATACTTACGACGGTAGGAAGGATAAAGCCACTTTAACTCCGCGTAAAAATGGGAAACAGAGGCGTCCCTTGGGATCCCGAAGATGAATCGTACAAAGCAATTTATCAAACGTTTTAGTTTAGCCTCGAGATCCCCTGAGAGGCCCCCATATACCGTACAGCAATAATCAAAGTGGGGAAAAATTAAGGAAGTGACTAGGAGCCTACGGGTTTCAAAAGGAAATAGGTGACGGGAGTAGTTAAGACGTTTTAGGATGGAAATGGCACGGCGGGAAATATTGGATATATGATTTTTCCAAGAAAGCGTTTGATCAATGGTTATTCCAAGATTTTTGATGGTGGGGTGAAATTTGATGGGGTTATTATGTAGGAACAGAGTTGGAATAGTAGGGACAGTTTTAAGGAGATGATTGGAGCCTATTAAGATTGCCTTTGTCTTATCCGCATTCAACTTCAGCTTTAGAGCCAATTAGGCAGTTTCCTTCCACTGCAAAAAAGTCGGACAGTCTTACAGGTTGCTGACATTCTCAAAAACATATCGCCATCTCCGATTGAGGTATACAGGATCGATTCATCAATTCCTCACCCATCAACAAGTAGCCTTAGTCATTTCTTGATCTATGTTCTTGGGAAATCTCCATTCCTCAAAGTTTCAATTAAGTTTCTTTATCTCAAGAACTTCATTAATTGCTGGAGTTAATATTTTTTAATTCTTACCGATACGGATGTAAGCATAACATTTATTTTGCTTCACACAACAGATCGATATCCTACCGGATCTCCATATTATCATCTAGTTCGCCATAACGCGTATTATCAATGCATTGCTTTAAAAAACTTTACATTTAAATTTCTAAATTTCCAACGCACTAAATTAAAAAAACCTCGGGAAACTTATTTCGTTTTTAAATTTTTGCACATAAAAAGATTTTTCTTAATCTTCTTTGATACACAATCAAATATAATGTATCGTAGGTGCGTGATGTAAGGAAATCCTTGTCCATTCCAACAAAAAATCAAATTTCACGAAAGGTCATTTTTTGTAAGAGATTTTGATGCAAAAATCATCGAAAATAAAAATTGAAATATTAAGCTTAACATTCCTACGCTACCTTTAAAAATCGGATAATGATTAGTGGAGGGGGAGGGGGAGAAGGGAGTTTGACATGCATCCTGTATACCATGACATTACATTGATATTATGTTGTGATAATATGGACTTTGATGGACTAAGGGGTGAAATGAAGAGAAAAATTGGAGTCTATGGACTCACGGAGGATGAATTTCCCCAGTTAGTGGAGGAGCAGAACTACCCGTATTACAAAGATTTTGTAATTAGCTGGTATGGGGCCCTCCAACTTTAATCTGGGAAGAAGAAGGTCTGCTAATGGAAGGCCACCAGACTAATAAGGTGAAAATAAAATAATGAAAAAAGAAGAGATTTGAAAAAAACAAAAACGAAATTGATAATTAATTTGTTGTTAGCAGGAATGGCATGCACGTGTGTGATATGCTATCCTTGCATAATCCCGTGTAGCCGAAAGGCAAGGAAGGGAGGCATAAATAAATAAAATTATGTTGTGATAAATATGATACAAAAAGGCAATAGTGTAACAGATGTTTCATGTATACACGATATACGATCTAGCATTACCTCAGAAGCGACTTGTATCATAGCTTCCCGGTAAGCACGCTCCTTCTGTTTGAGATGTTCAGCTCGCTTGTAGTGTGGGCTCCAGTTGTGTCTTTCACAGTGGCACAGATTTCTATCCAAAGGCGATTCCGATTTCACTTCTACGAATAAGCTTGTGTCTTCAGGAGGTTTTCCGGGCCTTAAGAAAACAGCATACTATGAATTTGAGCTGACTTAACAGTTACATTAAATAACTTACTTTTCGTATTAATGCTCGCAAGTAGAAACTCAATTTTTTCAAAATTTTATAATAATAATGCTTTATTTATTCTGGGACGAGTCCCTCCAGTCATATTATAAGTCAAAACGGTAGCACTTCAATTAGGTCTCCTAGTCGAAAAATCAAGATTCTTTCGTTTTCGGCCTATGAAGGTGCAGAAAGAAACTGGGAAGGAAGACCAGAAGAATTGGCTTAGAGATTAATGAAGGAAAATCCAAGATTATGGTTATGAGATAAAAGGAACGAGTGTTGTACCGTCGGAAACTGCACATTCCAATGTGCAGATAGTTTTAAGTACCTTGGGAAACACCTCATCTCATGAGTAGTAGATTGGTACGCCGTTCAACCAAGTTAAGACTACATAAGACACTAATTAGACCAGTCGCAACATATGCATGTGAGACGTGACCATATAAAAAATCAGTAGCTTTGAAGTTCGACATCTTTGAACGTAAAACATCAAGGAGCATTTTAGGGCCTGCGAGAGAAAATTAGGTATATCAGCTTAGAAATTAGAGAAAATTATACTCCTCTTATGGCGATATGAAGTTGTCGGATTATGCCAGATGAGCAGCATCTGATGTGGTTTGGCTATCTCCATAAAATGGATGATGGGATAACTATCAAAAGATTATACCAGGATTATCCGGAAGGTATACGGGCTCGAGTGAGGCCAAGAAGTAGATGGAAGGACAGATTCTCAGAAGACATTCGAAAGTTTAACATATCTTCAAGAGTACCTATGGACCAACAGGAGTGGGCTAGAGCGATTGAGCAGGCCAAGTACCGCTTAGTGCGTCTGCCGTGTGTACAAAGTAGAAGAAGAAAGGAGGAAGCTGATTTAGTTGGAAATGCAACTAGACAGAACCAATTAATAAATGTATACAAATTGAAAAGATAACTGTTTTGTAAAAATATTCGTTTATTAAACAAAAAACAGCATAAAATGTTCTCATGAAGTGACTTATGTTCTCAGTGAAATAGGAACTTACGCCTAGGTAACTGGATAAAAGGGTGTCCGATGTTCCAGGTTCGATTTTTTTGAAATATATTTCTTTCTTAGAAAATTTTTTTCAGAATTCAAAAAGTACTTAAAATAACAATAATTATATAACAAAAGTTTGGATATTTCAGTAATCGTATATTAGTAGTCATTCACTAACAGAGTGAACCACCTAGCCTGTTTCGTAGAGTAAACTCCTGCATGTATAGCATTAGAATTCTGGAAACCAACCAAACTTCTTAATGGTTCCTAGAACAATGGATTGAGTCAATTCTATGACTAGTTATTCTCAGTTCGACTTAATTGAGTTGGACGGTGGAACACAGAACGAAACCTTTCATCTTTAATTTCGCTGTTATAGTTATTACTGGATTCAGAAATGCAAAAATAATTGTTCAATTTAATCCCTCGCAACCCTCTATGAAACAATAGGATCCAATCCGAGATGACTCCGGATTTGAGTTATTCTTATTACGCCTTAGTACTTAAATATAAGAAAATGGACACTACTTCAACGCAAATGATATTTTTAAATCCATCTCCCAATGGTTGAAGTACCTCTATCATACTCATTTTCTCACAATCTATTCTAGATAAGACAACTTGTAATTGGTCGTAAGAAAAACAGTGTTTTTAATCGACTCCTCAAAATTGTATCCCTATATTAATAGAACTGCAAACATGAACCCCTCTGCTAGTGGCTCACAATTTTAAGAAACCAATTGCCATGATGTAAATTCTTCCTCAAAAACTAGCACTCTAACGCAAAAAACAATTTGTAAAAATGAAATGAAAATGAAGAAATCTATGTTTCGAAGAACAGCTGAAAACAGTAAGTCAATTGACGTTGTTTTATACAAAAAATAATGATCATGTTGTGGACTTAAGACGACCTAATCTAACATAACAGATGCAATCTCCCAAGAAATGTTGGAGATCTGCCGTCTATGACAATTTTCGGATATATTGAGGTTGTTTTTGGATTCTATTACAGTTTGCTCGAAGTGATCTTGAAACCTGTGACCATCCTGAAGTAGCGATTAGGAATTAGCATCAAAGGAACAACAAAATACAGTGGTCGAAAGACACCTATCTGTTCATGTATTTACAAATTAATTTCTTTGTACTAAATGAGTTCTAAGGTTTAGGAAAATAGAGAAAGAATAAAAAACAGCGCACTTTGAAACCTGTTTTTTTTATTTCGTGATAGAAACTCATGAAGTCCGTGAGTAAAGTATAATACACGCTAAAGGTTTACTGATATTAAAATAATACCGGTTAATTGGAAAAGGAGTTAGGAAACTATTAACAAACTATTGTCTGCTAAATGATAAAAAACTCTTTTTAATATAAATCGATTCAGATAACCTGATTATTTTATTGTTAATATAAATTTATTGTATCGATCTTACTTGACTTTTATCGGAGCAAGATAAGGCCAAAGGAAGTCTCCTTTGTAGACAGTATTGGGTTGAGCTTCTTTCGACATTTTTTACAACTGATTTTTTTCTAAAATGTTTGAATTTCTTGTAATAATTATGATAATATTTCCATGACAACGTATATTTTTAAAAATCTAATGATTACATACATAACAAACATATCGAGAAAATATCGAAGTACAAAAAAAACCATCAAGTCTGTTAATAACAATAATCGCAAAAGCACAGGCGGATCTACGATGAGTGAGGGAGGCTTTCGGGCCGAAGCTCCTCCTTTCCAAAATGGTAAAATATAATCATGTTTTATGAAACATTTTTTTCTTAACTGAATAGGATTGCAAGAATTACTTAAATACCATTTCATACTGATAAGTTTCTTTCTTTTTTTTTGCAAAGTAATTATCGTTATATACATGAAAAAAAAAGTATTCGAACAGAACCTCCCACTAAAAAAAAATTAAAACCTGGTTCCGCTAGTACGCAACAGCGAACTCTTGTACATCTGTTTAAAATATTTCGTTATTTGCTCCTCCAGTTTTCCGTCTAGCGTTCGTAAAACAAAAATTCTTAGTTTATGACCTTACTTGTATATTTTCAAGTTTTTGTGCTGTATATTTAAAATCTGATGAGTTTGACAAGTATTTCTCGTTCGCCTTTTGTTATAGTTGAGGTTAGGTAATACTGTATAAATGTCTATCTACTTTCATTGCTGGCACAAGATCGTATTTAAACAATTAATGGAAATCCGATAATGATCTAGTGCGTTCGAAAGTAAATGGAAAACTAAGTGGAACCAGGGTGCCCATACCCTCAACGGCCAATGGCGGATAAACCTTCCCCAAGGTCTATTTTATTCCTCTCTTCTTCTTAAAAACAGTGCAAGCGAAAGTAGATTCTAAATATTTGTAGATTATATACCATTGCAAATCCTGTGGTCTATTCCATGATTTCACTTGTCTTTTGATTTCAAACTTTTAATTTTGAAAATCCATTACCCTGTCGAAGTGCGCCCCTCTCAAAAATTGAAATCATCGTCTGTTATGTTTTCAATAAACACACTTCTTGAAGTATATTTACTTAATTCATAACAATTAGAAATTGAAAAACAAGATTTGCCGAACTCATAATAATAACACATGACATGGTATAACCTTCTCTCCCAAAGAAGTAAATAACACCTCTCCCTCTCCAGAGAGAATTTAATTTAAAATGTAATAACAATAAAGAAATAAATTTGTTTCATTGTAAAACGTCAACAATTGAAGCATCCGCGATACTTTGGCGATATTTATTTTTACCCCCTTCAATTACGCACTTCCTCCGCTTTCTTCTTATGGTGGGCGCCTCGGGAGGTGACGTGGTCTTCGGCGGTGGGTCAGGCTCATCTGTGCCAGAGACATCTAGCTCAAGTACTAACAGCTGAGGGATAACTCCTCTGACTCTAGACCTATGTGCAACTTCTTGTCAGTGACCTTGAAAAGTTGGCCAATGTGCCTTCTGTAGTGCAGGCCTAGGGCGAGTTCCTTTACAATATATGACAAAGGGCCTGTCTTTCGTTTTTTTAATTTAATTTGTAACTCATAACTTAATAATGTTCACTTTTTCATGTTAACACCAAAGAAGGTTTTAAAGAAATAAAATAAGAAATATCTTTCTTTTATCTAAGGAACTATATTTTGAGTATTGTTACAAAAGTGAGATCTCAAGTTTTAGTAAACGCGTAAGTCAATGTATCGCTTTAGTTTTCTCTCCGGCTTTTTGATAGCTGTCTGCTCGTATTCTGAAACATAGGCAAGAACTAAATTTAATAAAATATATTGAATATATTAATCAAAATCAAGTGATGAATATTTAGGGAGGAAAAGTATTATTTAGGAAACATAGTATAAATATTTAAAAATGTACACATATATTCTTATTTATATATCTTTCTATTTATTTCTTAGACCCTTAAATAGTGATATAGGAATTAATTATACATTGCTTCATAAAATAAAATAAATCTGAATTCTTATCTCTTGTTTATAAACTATATTAGTATTTTAGTATATAATTGTAGAAATACGTTTCAACAATACCGTTTCGTATAACTGCATTCTTGATTCTTTTTTGGGTTTCTTCAATGTATTCCTGTAGAGAATCGTGTTTTGGCATAATCTCGAGAGATCTGTATATGTATAAAAATGAATAATTAATTATTAATTTGGGATATATATAAATTACAATAAATAGTCAAAGTTATCAAATTATTTAAAGAGACTTAAAGTAAGTGCTTGAATGCAAATAACTGTAACAAGGATTTCGCATTTAATATTCAATTTTTAAAATAGGTTATTATTATTGTAAAGGCGCTACGGTCCTGCAAGAACCCGGGCCTCCTTCACTACAGCCAACAAATCTCCACGGTCTTGTGCTACTTCCCTCCATCTTCGAACTCCCAGCCGCCTCAGATCGTCCTCAACATCCTCCAGCCATCTGATCCGAGGGCGCCCTCTACTTCTTTTGCATCCCGGCTTCTCATGCAGCATCCTCTTCGGCATTCTTTGGTCTGGCATTCTTTCCACATGACCTAAACATCTGATTCTGACTCTTTTTATCAATGCCACAATATCAGGTACACCATATAATTTCCGTAGCTCCTCATTCTTTCTTATTCTCCAAATTCCATTCTCAAAGAAAGTGTTTATTAAAATACAAATATTTAAAACGATTCAATAAATTAAAATCGTTAAATCCTAATCCTAATCCTAATTGTTAAACCCAATCAATAGAGCTTCAATAACTTGTTTATCTTCGTGGAAGTAAATTTCTTGCTATAATTCTCGTATTTAATCAACCATTTTAAAATTTACTCCAAACAAAACTGAACCACTCGTATTGATTTTCATTTATTTTATTTTTTAATTTTAGATAATTTAAAGATTTGTACGAGTTAAACTAGTTAATTTGCAGTAATTGCGAAAAAGAAAATGCAGCTTGACTTTAAATAACAGTAAAATCTTTATTTTTGAAACCAAATTTTTTGTTTAAAACTAAAACGATTTTGGTTTAAATATTATATTGAAGACCGATTTTATCATATTGATAATTTTATTTATAAGTAACTAAAACGCAATTGTCGTTGTCATGAGCGTAAGTGCTTGTGTTGTATCAGAAAGAGTCATTTTTAATCAAGCACTGGTGGTTGTGGAGGAACTGCAAAATATTTCGTTTTCAATGGATTTCGACAGGGTTATGAATTCTGGGAGTGAAAAGTTTCAAACCAGAAAATATTGGCCGAACCACAAGTATAATATGATCTATGATGTTTCTAATTCTACTTCGCTTGAACTGTTTTAAGAAGAGAAGGTCAATAAAATTCCTTGGGAGGGAGTCCTAGTGTTGAGACGTAAGGCGTCCGAGAACAGTAGAAAATTGGTTTCGGGAAACATCGGTCTGCACCTGATTTGCTTCCCGATTTGGAACGGCTGTCTACCTAGGAAAGAAGATAAAATAGTGTGCACTGTGTCCTTTATCTGTAGTGTATCAGTGTACTTTAGATGTTTCCCTAAGCTGAATCATGTGGCTGATAGCGTTCTAATGACCAGACGATAGAACCATCTATCTATAACAAAACATGGAGTGTAGTGTTTTTTTTTTGTTTTTTTTTCTCATTTGTAAACTTCATTAAATTAACGATTGGCAAATTTTATTAATTTTATTATGATATATTGAATTAAATATTGATATATTTTTTCGAATTGATGTTGACTTGCTAACACTTAATTAATATGATGCTTTCAGCCGAATATTAAAATACATAAAATAAAAGAAATAAGAGGCTATTGATGCAAAGGGAGAACTGAGCATAGTTTATTCTAAGGTTCTTTTTAATTAGAGGGTGTGTTCAGTCATCTTATAGTCATTGAAAAAAACAGTATACCAAATGAAAAGTCTTGTAATTTAGAAGATTCAGTCAGAGCTATAGATGCCCATCAAATTTGACTTGTCCATACTGATACTATCCATTTCAAATGAAAAACTCTAACAATACTAAACAATTTTCACAAATCATTGATTGACCTTAGAATCAGGACTTGAATTTTATACAAGCCCGCGAATATTGAGCCTTATTATTTAAACTCTTTTATGGCTATAAAAGTTTTCTATTGGAATTCTTCAAATTATTTCATATGGATAGAAGTACTGCACAGGATTAAATACTGAACTGTTATCAGTTCACATGTTATAGGGCGGTGTGGCTGAGTGGGCTGACCCGTGCCCAAAACGCGCATTGCCTGGTAACATTTTAAATTGAAGATTAGGAGTTCGAGTCCCGGAGCCGGGAATGGTTAATTCTGGCATTAATCCCACCATAACTCTCCTGGCACGGAAAAATTCGTAGTGCTGAAAAGGCGAGAAAAACAAATTCACATGTTATTACTTCATTTTTGTTGTCTTTATACAAAAGTTAACATCTCAAAACTATTCAAAGCTAGTCTAAGTTACATTATTTGTAGCCTGGAATGATATACACGGAAATAGTGTTAATACATTAATATATAACTATTCAATGTTGTTTCGTACATTATTCATATTAACTCATATTTTTAGTACATTATTTTCTTTTATGAGAAATTGTTAATCGGGGGATGCGGTCAAATAAATACTGAATTAAAATATAGTAATTATTTAATTTTTGCCCACCACTTTGCAGGTCGTCTTCAGGGCTACAAAAGATACAAAACATGTTGAAAATAAAAAATAAATATAAGTAGATATAAAATAAAAAGAAGTTGACAGATACAGAAATAAAAAGATTATATCAGAGGGTTATATATAGTAAAGTTAAAATAACAGTATCTTATTATTATGTTATCTTATTCTTATTTTTTTAACTTTACTATAACAATACTTATTCAATTTTCAATATATTTATTCGTTAACATTCATTTTCTTTATCTGTTAATCCACAGTTATCTAATGTAATCTCTATTAGTTTGGTATACACTTATTCCTTATCTTTTATCGAAATCTGTTTACTTTTAACTTACATGCTATATTCTCCTTTATTTTTATTTTTATTCATACTTATTTTCCATTTGTTTGTATCTTCTACATATATAATACTTAATATTTTAACTACATTGTCACCCACTATATCTCTGATATAATCTTTTTATTTCTGTATCTGTCAACTTCTTTTTATTTTATATCTACTTATATTTATTTTTTATTTTCAACATGATTTGTATCTTTTGTAGCCCTGAAGACGACCTGCAAAGTGGTCGGCAAAAATTAAATAATTACTATATTTTAATTTAGTATTTATTTGACCGCACCCCCCCCCCCCTCCCCCCTCCCCCGATTAACTCCTCATATTATATCAACGGTCAACCAACTCTATATCATTATTTTCTTTTATTTTATTAGGCTATAGATGTGTTTGCAACAGTGGATTGTTACTCATGTCTGCGTAAAAACTCACTGCTCCAAGTAAACGATTTAGAAGTTTTAAGTTAATGCATAAATATATATATATATATATATATATATATATATATATATATATATATATATATATATATATATATATATATATTCACTTTTCAAACTTTGATACTCACACGTCATTTCTGTAACAGAATGCTCCCAAATCTGTTATTTTTGGTGGTAAACTAGGATCCATCGATTTCTTCGGTACCATCTTGTTATTTTCCTCATCTTCATCTTTTAGAATTCTATCTGTACTTTTAGGAAATCGAACATTGACCGTTTTCAAACTACTGGCGTTCTTTGAAGAATTATTAGATTCCTCAAATTCTTCAGGGTCATAGAAATATTTTACCGAATCAGGAAAGTGGTCATCAGTAACATTGTTTGCTATCTTTATGTAATCAGTCATTGAGGGGTGTTTGGCTAAAATTATATAAACAAATATAAAATAACAAGGTTTATAATATAAAATAGTTCTACATTAAAATCAAACCATTGATTACCTATACTCGCTAAAATTTATGATTAACAGTATGTAAGATAAAATGAATTAAATATTTAGTAATTGAAACATGATCCAAATATAGGCATTTAACATAAGATAGGTCTATTTGTTAGGGGCAATGTCATATTGAATGATTAAAATAAAATTCATCAAGAAAAATGTATGAAAAAGTATCAATTAATTTAAAATATTGTAAGCCAGAAAGGAATGTTTTCACCAAACATTTACACGTTAAATCTTAATGTGATTTAATACTAAAAAGGTGTGATCTATATCTTACAGTTTAATCTATCAGTCGGAAATATTTAGTGTAATGGATGGTCGAGGAAAATTGTGAATTAGTCGGTAATTCAGAGTAAATTCTGCTAAAGTTATCAGGAGTTCTAAACTTAAATATTATTGCTTCCTCACTACCAAAGATAGGTAAGCTTTATATTCCTGAGAGAGGTTAAAAAAAGTTTTGTGCTGAAAATCTAAAATTTCCAATCGAGTTTTATGTTTCAGGTATCTAGGATCAAATTTCTTTAGGTGTCTGTCTGTAGTCAAATCCTTTTTTTCTCCATCCCCTTCCTCGCCGTTTAGACTATACGAGGGTTTCCTGTACCAGAGGATGAGGACGGGGGCCAGAATTAATGGCCGTGAACTCGGTATTATTTTATCACATCAACCACCATCCAGGTTGCAAAACACACGCATTAGCCCAGTCGGCCATTCCACCCCAAATCTATAGTCAAATCGATGTAACAGGCCATATCATTTACAACCGTTTATCCGACTTTCATTAAATTTTTAGGAATTGCGTGGATGAGTGCTTAGATAGTCCCATATCAATTTCCCCATATCAATTTTATCAAATTCCATCTAGTACTTCCGCTTACTTATTTTCTTAGATATGCCAATATTTCAGAAAAGGCTGGTTTGATCTGTTAGGCAAGAGGTGAAGTGCTGGTTAACAAATTTGAATTTCGTTCATTGCTTTCTCTTATATCTGCACAAACGTCTATATCCTTTGCTTGCCACGCCTATGTCTCTAAAATCGCCCGTTCGATTTGGCTCAAATTGGGAGGAAAGTTAAATATCAAACGGATGATCAACTATATATATATATATATATATATATTATATATATATATATATATATATATATATATATATATATATATATATATATATATATATATATATATATATTGATATATATATATATATATATATATATATATATATATATATTGATATATATTGATATATATATATATATATCAATTTCATCTTATTCTATCTCCCACTTTTAAAAAATATTTCCACTTTCGGATCAGTAAACGTATCATTTTTGACTCATTAATGAAATGAACGAATAATATGAAAACGGCTCGTTTGAGTATAATGTCTGTGAAAAGTGGAAGGCATTGATTCAGTTTTAAACAAAAAAGAAAAATATAGGTATATTGTGGTACAAATGAAAATGTTATTTCAATTTCAGAAGGAAAATAAGTTTCGCTATTATTTTCATACTAGATAGAAGTATTCAGTACCATTTTTTCTGAACGTATCCTTGTAAGTACTCAAATTAAACTCATAATCTGATTTTGTTTCATCACGATTACAACTGGCATTCAATTGAGGATTTAACTTCATATACTAAAACATTTAAATAAAAGTTTACAAATGAGTTGAAATTAACTGAAATCTATTTATAACAATTGAGATTACCTGTTTCGCTATAGTTTTATGATCTATTTTGGAAGAGGCATTGATGAAATCCAAGGAGTTCGGTCGATACAAAATGTTCGTAGGTTTGTATTGCTCAGAAGGACAACTATAAATTAAAGATACAAATTATTAATTAAATTATATACAACTTGGAATAATGACAATTAAATAATATTGATTATTATTTTTTTTTAAGGCAAGGAGGTTAAGATATATGGGCATGTAGCTCGCAACTATCCTGGAAACCTCTTCACGACAATGAATATTTCAAACAAAGATGCAATAAATCTGCATGGAGATAACTAAGAAGAAATAGCCCAACATAGACAGAGAGAGAGAGAAAGATATAGATGGCTGATTAAATCGAAAAAAGTCTGAAATACCAACAGGAAAAAAAAGATGTTCTTTTTGTGTTCATATGTAAGGCAATTTATATAAATACATTTCATTGATATTTCACATCAATTTCATTTTTTTTTAATTTTACGTAACATTTTGCTGTGAAGGAATTTATCATTGAATTATTTCTTCAAAATATAATCCATTAATTACCTGGCTGAGTACTATCTTTAATCTTATGTTTAATTTGAAGCAGTTTAATAATTAAAAGAAATATAGGAAATAAAATCACGAATTGGATCGGTGTAATGATACAACAACGAAGTGCATTCCTTCCTGCCTAGCTCGATGTTATGGAATTATTTTGGAGGCATGAAACAGTTTAGTAAAAGAAATCTGATTGTTGGGCCTAAGTGCAAAACATTAATATCGATATAACAATCCATATTTTACTTTCGTTTGTTATTCTCTCTGGGTTCAATTTTTTACATAGCCATATTTTATTGAGTGTAACAAATCCAATCGATTCTTCACTATATTAAAATATACAATGAAGAGAAGAATAGTTGGGGTGCTCAGTCAAAAAGGAAGGCAAAAAATAAATTATAATATTTATTTTTTACATATGCCGACGTTTCGACCTGAAGTTCAGGCCTTCATCAGGGCTTTCTCCTTAAGTGTCATTCTCCCCTTGACACTTAAGGAGAAAGCCCTGATGAAGGCCTGAACTTCAGGTTGAAACGTCGGCATATGTAAAAAATAAATATTATAATTTATTTTTTGCCTTCCTTTTTGACTGAGCACCCCAACTATTCTTCTCTTCATTATCCACGACAGTCAACCAATTACCAATTATAAAATATACAATGTTTATGGTAAGAGGTGTACGACTAATATAAAAAATATGAAACAGCCATACATTTTCTACAATATTGCAAGAAGGACTTATAAGTTCTACCTTATAAGGTAGTGTTAGAAAAATCTTCTTCTTTTTTTTAACTAATTGGCTAATCGAATCTCAGTTTTTACACATCCTTCTCAAATCGATGACGAAAATATTAAAAAGTTTTACGGAAAAAGGTCAATTGTAATATTGGTCCTTGTTACAAACAAATCCTCAATTAAATTATCATTTTTTTACAAATTAGAAACTTCTTAATGAAAACGTTTTATAACCAAATCAGTTATCATTGATTACAAAATTTGAAATATTTTATTATCATTATCATAAAAATGTTTAGTATACTCAGTCATTCATGATCATATTAAAAATATATATATTTTTCCTCAAGACCATAGATTTTAAGTGAAGATTGATAATTCTTACCTTCTGGTGTATCCATCACTAAGCTTCCAACTGAAATTTCTTCTGTATTCTGATGCTGGTGGTACTGCACTCATTTCCGATGTTCGTTTTCGAACAAATAATATACCCCAACAATTTAATCTAACTTGTATGCTTAACCTAAATCAGATGATTTGATATATGAATTTGTAAGAAATATGTTTCAAGACAGTCCGATTATTTCTAATATATTTGAACTACAAACTGAAAATATATACATAAAAATTATGGTGTCCTATGAAAAACATCCTGCTAATTACACTGCCCTACAAAAAAATATTTTTTTTTTGCGTGTATCTTCGATGAAAACAGTTTCTCTAGACTAATTTTGGTGTGAGAAACTCGAATTTTCTGATAGAATTCTTATATTAGCTACCGTTCTGCAAATACGTATACCCAGTATCGAATACAAAAAATTAAGTTATTGGAAGTTACACGATCATTTTTTAGATTTTAAAAGTGCTTTATTGTTTGTGAAATTCTTTTACAACCCGCACAACATTAAATTACAACTTCTCTCGGCAAGAACAGCGCTGTTGTACAGTTTATTTAGAACGGTTCTTCTTTGCTTGACGATTGTACCGATTTCCAGGCGAATCCCTCAAAACGTTCCAACAGTAGTCTGGGAGCATTGAGGTATCCCACCGACCTTGATATCTTCGTTCCATCGAAGATATATCTTGGTGAAGTCGCTCACCATGTTCGTCACTTACAGATCCGCAATTTTCTAGAAAGAAGTCCAAATGATAGTGTAGAAAGTGAATCTTGAGTGACGTGTTACAACCGAGATCTCTGTTCATCTCAAGGAGGGTTTGGATTGGGACTAAGGCACCATAATACTCCTTTCTTTTGTTACCCAATAAACCATTAACTAAAGCTGTAAATGCTTCACACGCTGCTCTTTCTTTACTCTGAAGAATATTAAAATATTCCCCATCATTAAGAAGCACACGGATTTGTGGGCCAACAAATATACTCTCTTTAACCTCAGCTTTACTTATGTAAAGAAATTTTCCTCTGAAGTACTTGAATACCTCTCCTCATTAGTACATTCCTTTGACAAAATTGTTCATGAGCTTTAACTTTATACGTAGTGGAGGCAAAATGTTTTTTTCAGGAACCACAAGAGGGTTGTAGAGAACATATTTTGTCTAGGGGTCAGGATTTCCCTTCATCCCAAAATACTTGTGATATGGTGTCTTGATCATCTGCGTGATTTGACGTTTTTGACTTGCAAAGGTTACTTCCCCACAAATGTAAAAAAAGTTATCAGGAACATTCACACACTTCCTGCGCATTGTAACTTTACCAAACCTACTGGGTTATTACGACAAAATAGTTGAAAGAATGCCTGAAGCAAGAAAATTCAAGTTAAGGGTACCTTGAAATGTAAACACTGCATAAAACGGTCAGCAAAATTGTTTTGTGATCCACAGCTAGTTGTTTCACGCGACTCACAGTCAGAAATCAACCCAGAAGCAGGAAATTTCCCTGTATTACGCAAAACGTAACTATGACTTTGAAACTAAAGCTAATAGCTAACTGATGATTTTTATGTGTAAATTTGAATTTCTCACACCAAAATATATAGAATGAGGCTGTTTTCAAGTGAGATACAATATCAATGTAGAGCAATATTATTATTATGTTTCATTTTTTATGAAAGGTAACAGTTCATACAATTCTGATTTCTTATGATGTATGTGATATCTTATGATATGATAGTAATAATAAAGACTGAGAAAAATCGAAGGTTCGATGCCGATAACAACAATCGCTGTCTACATACTCCCATCCACCTGCCGCCGTCCAAACCTCCGCAAGATCATCCTTTACACAATCCCCACCTTTGATTTGATCTATCCCTTGGACGTTTACTATTTACGTATATATGGTCTCCGCACATTAATCCTTTAGGGTTGGTGAATTAGATAGCCGTCAATCTATCATCTCAATTATATTCAGGGGTACATATCATGCATTTCGGTGTTGTGCAGCTGTCCAAATTTTGCGATTAACTCGCCCTTCTTCAGTCCAAATATTTTGCCTAATTAGTTTCAAAAGCCAAATGGGGTTGTTCATCCCTTAATGTGAGTGGTCACATTTCGCTTTGTAAAAAAAAAAAACACAGAAAGTATAATAGTTTTATCAACTTATAAATTAACATAGTGGAGCAACGTTAACTGAAATAGTTAGGTCATCTGTGGTGAAAAAAAGATTAAATGACTGATGGAGGACAGACCAGAAGGAAAGCGCCCACAAGGCAGAGGTAAACAGATTACCTCACAGAGCTTGGGAGAATAAGATGCTCAATGGCAGAAATGAAGGAGATGCAAACGATCGCGATAATTGGAGATGGACCAGGCTAAACCTTGATACCTGGTGGCAACTTGGAGATAGAGAAAGGAGGTTTAGAGATTTCCTCAAATAACTTGTCAATCAGTCAAAATAAGTTTATGGGTCTGTAGTTGCCATCCCTCCTTTGCATTGGTTAAGGCAGCAGGAAGGGAATATCTTGTTTCCATGCTTCTGGAAGGAATCTCAATCTGAGGTAGTATTTGTTTCCCTAATTGATGGACAATGATAACATCTAATTTTTGTTAAGTAAATTTTTAACAAGCAGTAATAAAAACATTAAATACTAATTTGATTTCTAGTTGAGTTAGAGAAGCAGATTCAAGTATGATTTCAGTTTGAGGGTGTTAATATTTATTTCACAAACCTTGGTAAACTAATTTTTACTACCTACTCTTCCCTAAATATATTAGTAGTATGTAGGATAAACATGTCCTTCTTGATCTACTTGGAATATAAATAAATAATTTAAATAAACATTTCTTTTTGACAGGTTACTAAGTAAAGGAGTATACTAACCAGAAACCCAAATGAGAAAGAGTTATTAATAAAATACCAAAAGGTAAGATTTTTAATAACATAGAACAGGAAAAAAAAGGAGGTTAACATTTTATTTATGTTGTTTTAATACAATAACAAACAAAATATACAATAAAATAGCAAAGTAACTCTACAAGTTGTAAATATTTCATTTATCAATGTTTATAGCAATATATTCATTTCTATAATCCATATACATTTAATGAATATTGAATACATATTGTCAAGAGTGAAACTTTAAACATTATTGAATAAATAATAATACATAAAACGACAGTGTATAAAACAATATTAAGTTGCCTAACATAAAAATAATGAAAAAATCCTTAAAAATAGGAACAAGCTTAGTTTTAAAAATGGCAACTCTCTGCAATATTTGAACTAGGAGCACCAATTTAAATATACTATTTTTCTTTTCTACTTAGTAAAGAATATAGAAAGCATTTACATAGCCATTGAAACATCGAAACAATATTTACAGGTTATTGTAGATTATGATGGAAAATAATCATAAATTACTTGCATATAATTATTTAAATAACATCATATATATAAATTTATATACAATAAATTATAAGATTTAATTAAAATAACAAAAACTGTAGTTAAAAATATATAATTATATTGTAAAAATTCCCAAACCTCCCACATCTTTATATTTGAACATCCGACTTTCAATATTCTACGGTTGAAGACAAGAGTAAAATACATAGGGGTAAGTAATAGCAAATGGACTATGGTTCCTGTAATGGCTGTTCTTGATTTTCTTCCCTCTGAAAAGCAAAAGGAACAATAACTAAAATATTTTTAAAATAAACCAACTGAAAAATTGCTCAGGAAAATGAACTTACCGGGGGGAGTTCTTGATTATCAAGTTCAATATTTGGCAAACCAGTTTCATCAACATCAAAAACCTACAAAAACAAACAAATATAATGTATTAATAATTATTAAAAAAAAAAAGCTGTAAATTATTAAACAATGGATTATAATTTCTAAATATATAAAACTCTGTAAATATATATCACTGAAAAACAAAATATTCTTTTGGAATCATTATACTAAGCCTAAAACAAATAATAAATTAAACCATTATTTGGAAAAAATTTGTTATGCTTTAGTACAATAACTCTCAAAAACGTTTTGAGAAAATTTTTTCTCTATTTTAATAAGGATTATTATTGTTATTACGGACCATCTTGGAAGGATCTGTGACTTTAGGTCTATATCTATAGAAAATAAAGCAACTTAATATTCTCTGAGAAAAGCCATTGGATGGCATGTTTCTACTTTGAAACTAAATGGTGAATAGAAATGCCATTAAACTTAAAATTTTAAGAGTTAAATGTATTAAAAAAAAAATCTTGGGTAAATTTTTAATATCATTTCTTTTTTTAATTGAAAAAAAAAACAACTAAATTTTATTTATCGAGAAATGTTGCGATAATATCGATATCAATATTGCCCAATATCATATCGAAATAAAGGATTCAATATATATAGATATATTTTTTAATATAAATAAATTTAATATTTGAAAATAATAATATTTAATATTTTATTAAATAATCTATAATTTAGTATAATTTCATATTAAAATATACTAATATTTTTAAACCATTCAAATATAAACCTTTAAGTATCGGAATTTATTATAAAATGGAGTAACAATACTTTAAAAGAAAACAGCTCATATCGTTGGGCTTTGCAAACTTACCAAATACATTTTTGTCAACTTTTACTTAATTATTTTATTGTTCTTAGGCCTTAAGACTTCTCAAAACAAGTCTTATTTTGCAATTTTGACATTATTTATCGATAAATACAGTAAATGAAATGAAAAACAAGTGTAGAATTTTCTGATTTCACAAAGTTAAAATTCATCAAAGTTCTTAGTAATTTCAGTTTATGAAAAATCACTTAACAATTGTTTTGCAATAAACCAACCGACCATATATATTTTAAATTTTATTTTGATATTTTATTTAAATGATATCAATATTTTTGATTTGATATTAATATCGATAAGATATGTTGTTAACTTGCCTGATATCACAGCAACACTACATTCACCACATTACTAACAGAAAATAGCTTGTAGATTTACAACCAACAGTACAGCTGATTTTAAAACTTACTTATAAGAAATTTTTAATAATTGTCTACAAAATTATGAAAATAAGCCATTTCACATTTTTTAAAAACATAAATTAAAAGAATATTCCAATTACATCTTACCAGAGAGAGAATCACTTTATTATCATAAAAGGGTGCAATTACATTGGGTTGCTTTAAACACAGCATACTTATTAATCGCTACAGACAATTTTCCAAAACTAATATACAATTATATAGTATTAACGATAGTATGAGCATAGTATACATTTTTTTTTCCTATATATATATATATATATATATATATATATATATATATATATATATATGTATATACTTTTTTTTAATTTTTACTATTTCTTTCATTCATTTATTAGCATTATATATCCCTTTCTCTTCCTTCTCTTCCCATATACATTTTTCTCATTCCCTAGGTTCTCTCCTCTCTCTTCCTAACCTAATTCATAAAATGCATACAAATACATAAAGTGCAGTGGATGTGGTCAATAAATTATTAATTTTAATGAATTTTTTTAATTGTTTCAAGTGACTTCAGCAGTTGTATTTTGCAAAGGACTGGTGCTATATATTATTAGTTACTTAAAATCGATAACGGATAACAAAGAGAGACCAATTTATTTTTCACACTACATAGACAAAGAGAAATAGAATAAATGAACACTATTCTTATATGGAACCATGCAAATTATTAAAAATAAAAGGATAAAACAAGAATGAGTCAAAAAAGAATTATTTTTCTCTTTTCTCTCCTTTAGCTTAACTTTTCCATTAAACACGATAACACTAATCTTATAAAATTTACCTCAACATTATCAGCTGAATTGCACTGTGTTTGGTCTGCTTCAGCCAGTTCAGCTTCCACCTGATTACATATGAAGTGTTAATTTTTTTTTAACCAAATATATTTAATACAAAAACAAATATTTCACTGTTGTTTGTTGGTATAATTTGATTATAGGTAACAATATTTTTTTAAAGAGCAAGATAATATTATAATTCATATCGAGTAAACAAAGAAACTTTATAAAGAAAAAAAAAATGAAAGTATATTAACTCATAAACAAGAAACTCAATGAATTTTAGGATAGTAAAGGCCCCACATACCTGAGGCAGAAATCATATCTAATTAAATTTGATAGGAATTAATTAGTTTTATCAAAAGTCTAATTTTATTTTTGTTATTGAGAATTAAAGTCATTGTGTGTCAAGACATGTCCTAGTGAAATTATTTTATTTAATTTGTGAAATACATTCACGAATTTCCCAATGAAACTTAAAAATAGTGTGATACATTCAATAATAAACACAACGAATATTAATATTAACATAAATAAACCATAAATTCAATGATGGTCGGTTAACAGTAATATCTAGATAGGATATGATTTCATTTTAACAGCAAGAGTGGAGGACTCAGATACCAAACAATAAGAGCCAAACTTTTTTCAACTTTCAGGAAATCATTGTAAATATGTCGCCAAACCGTGCAATATAAATATATTTGCAGTTGTGCCCACAATTTTTTTGTTTTCATAGAGAATACAGTGTAGTTTAAATTTAAATATGAATATACATTTAATAAAATTTTATTGGAATCAGGAAAGACCTTTTTTTTTACAATCAAATATATCATTATTATACACATATTATGAAAAACAAAATAAATACAAGAACAATTTGTCTTTTAAGAGATGAAGAATGTATTTCTTCCCTGGGGACTATCTCTGCCTTACAAAACCTAACAGTGCATCCCCTCGCATCTTCAAATGGTTAAAATTACCAGTCAATAATGTTGCCCTACTGAATTAGACGACAGCATAATTTGACAGCTATCAACAAAGAATGGGAATTAAATATAAAAAAAAATTACATTAAAGTTGATTACCTATTACTCTTAGACCAGAAACAATAACAGGACTAATTTTAAAACTAGTCCAGCCTAATTAGTTTTCAGATAAAAACTTGAAATAAACTCTCATCATAAGATTAGCTGAAACGTAAACTTTACGAAAGTTTTGCAGAATAGAAATCGGATAAATATGGTGCTTGTCTATTAGGCAGCCCAATAAACCAAGACATAAAATATTAATTGTACTTGCCCAAAAGAAGAAGAGTTTAACAACTTTAAAATCAACGTACACTAGGAGCTTTTGGCTGCTGAGGAGGAGGAGCGAGAGATATACCTCCAACGGCACCTTCTTCTTCTTCTTGTTCAAGTCCATTATCATTCATATCCTTGAAAGAAAAAATAAAATTATAAATAAATAACTTTTTTTAATGGTCATGTCAATTGTTAGTTTATTAATATATAAGATAACATACATTCATGCTTGCACCTGCCTGGTGGCCAGGGTTAACCAGAACTTGAGCAATTGTGCAAAGGATGTTACCAGCAGCTGGTCTCATTCTAGAAAAAAATTAAAATTATTTTTTACCAAAAACAATTCTTGGTATCCACATACATACATAAGGAAAACTCAAATGAAATTCGAAATGATAGCCATATCCATCACCATTTTTGTAACAGTGCACAAGTTAAAAGTTAAAGAGAGAAAAATTAAGAACCAAAATATATTCAAAGATGATTATGATATAATGCTGGATAAAGGTTAAGAAAAGATTTATCTATTAGGTCTCTTAAAGAGCACACTTTCCAAAAATATCAATTTTTTTTACCAGAATAAAGATTAAAGTTTTTTTTTTCCCTGTAAAAATGAGGGTTCCACCAATAATAAGCATAAACTTGACTAAATTTTATGAATGCCAAAAGTAAGCAGACAAGTCCTTCATAGTCAAAATGGAAGAGAATAAGGAAAGATACTGGAAAATTATGGCTATTCTGGGAAACGAAACATAAATATTGGAAGCAGTTTTGAGGAATAAGATTGATTTCAAAAACATTATTACTCCATGTTAAATATTAATCAAGGGTAAATTCAGGTTTTTTAAAAATAGTGTTTTGGAAATAAATAGGGATTGTGAGGTCTCGTATAGTGTGTGACTGATAATGTTAATTTACTATTCTTCTCATCGTTTTTTATTTTGTTTAGCCATAAAAGATTAAGGTTGTACCACATTGGATGGAATGCTTTTAAGAAAATCTTTGAAAATATTTGTACATTCCGCGACAAAAGAAGTATTAGTGAATAACGACAAGCAAACTATAATTAAATACCTGGTTCCCTTAAATTTAGAAAGAGCAGCAAGAAGAGCTGTTTCCATGTTGCCATCGAGAGCTAGCGTTCTGCATAAGTAACCAACTATTTCTGATATCACATCACTAGTGCAAATTTCACTTTCTTGTCTCTCGATTAATCTTGAAACATCTTCTAAAACACTTTCTCTTTTTCTTCGACAATCCACCTGAAAAAATAAAGGAATAATGTTTTTAAATTATTCTATATAAGAAGGATGAATCTGGTTTCTTTTTAGTTTCTTTTAGGTTTAATTTGGAATAACAAATATGAGAGTGTAATAAAGTATAAATTTATAATTATATGTCAAATTTATGAACTATAAAAAAAGAAACATAAACACCAAATAAATAAATGATTGTGTTATTAATAGGAAAATCCAAATTATAAAGGAATGAGTCTCTAACATACAGATGCATAGTTAACTTGCCAACGTTTTGCCTATTCAAGCATCATCAGGACAGAAAAAACAAGATCACATAAATGGAGAAAAAAAACGAAATGAAAAAGACATAAAATATTGCTATTGTCATTTCACAAAGCCATCCAAATACTTACTCTTTATCTCACTTCTTTACGTCAAATACATACTCTAGAGATGCCAATGTTTATTTTTATTTTTGTTTTTTCTTTCTGCATATATGTGATCTTGTTTTACTTTCACTTACCTATATATGAAATATACAGTAAAGTAAAGTATTGTGATCATGAAAATTTTTGAATCTCAGCATTCAACAGAAATATAAGTTTTGAGGTCGCCCGAGTCCAAATAATCAAGTCTCACAAAATGGTCTGTGTATGTGTGTTTTAACAATCTAGCTCAAAAACGGAAAGTGGAATTGCATATTTAAGGTTTTTTTTATGCCTGAGATGATACAGCAACTGTTTTGACAAAATCAGGTCTCACCAGAAGTGACACTTAATACAATTGATTTAACACATTTTTACAATTTTCTCGGAAACGATTTTGATTAAATTCATTATTTCAGTGTAAATATACGCAGCTTTTAATATAATGTAGGTTTTATTCTCATTGATGTCCTCTAACAGGGCTTAAATGACTATTTTCAATATTAGCGTCATTTAAAGTACCTTTAATTTTCTTTATTTGAAATAATTGACCATTTCACATTGATCTATAATATAACAAATAGTAAATATGAAAAAGTTTGATAATTAAATAAAGGAGAAATAGGAGATCATAATGGAGAATAGTTGTAATGAAGCAACCAAAGGAATACATGCACACTCAAACTCGCTCAAAAGATTAACAGTCTTCCAAACGTAACATCAGCTTAATATAATACGGACTTCAACAATATTATGCACATATACATATTTATTTTACAAAAATTCCATTGTTGGTATTATTTAATATTTAATTGTATAGAATACAGCGATATAAAAATCAAAATTCCCTTTGTCTGAAAATAATTATTTGTACTAAGAAAAGGATGGTAAGTGAAAGTTGTGTGGTGCATGCACCTCACAAGATTTTTTTAAATCGTTATGATACCTGAATTGGCGACATGTTGGCAGATTAACTATTCAATTGTTCAATGTTAAAGACCAAAAAGTTAAATATGCAACCAAATTATAGAAAAATAAAGCATTTACAATAATAGGAAAAGGTAAACTTGACATACTAAAAAGATAAAGGAATCATAAATCAGCAAAGATTATGTTCTGATGTCCTGCAAAATATTGAAAGTTTTACAGATAGGATTAACATCTAATCTGATAATGCAATTGATTAGTAAATTATTCTGGGGCCAAAATCAAATTTATCTAAGTTTTATTTCTTAAAATAAATAATAAAAATTAGTACCGTCAACACATGTATTAGAAATCATTGAAGTTCAACAGTATTTATGGCCAAAAACCTGAATGTGGAATCCAGGAAGCCCCCCAAATTCCTAACGATATTGTTATTTACTCATTAGAAATATCCTACTTAAGAGATATTTAGTTTTAAGATTCTACTATCAGTTGCAAGTAATTACAAAGAGAAATAAAATTGTCCGAACAATCGGAACACACCTAAAGAAATATTGACATAGCCAGAACTAAGAATATTTTGGAGAATTATTTTGGATATGTTTATTGAGATATATTAGCACACTCTCCTACAGTTTAAACCCGTGGTCCACTCCCAGAAAACAAGATCCCGTGTTTCCGGCCTTTATATCCCTTCCCATAGAACTAAGACGTTTGAATATTCCTTTATTGCCCGATCCACTGCCTTCTGGAATTCCTGGCCTTCTGAAATCCGCCATGCCTCTTCCTTGTCCTCATTTAAATATCATCTTTACCAATTCCTTCTCACATCCCAAAATGACGTTATACAATAAAATAAATATTGGGAAACAGATTTTGACTGAGGTTAATGGTTGTAAAAATTGATAGAGTTTTTAATTTTAAAATCAACCCATGTTTATTTTATTTTGTTCTCTTTTTATTTAAATAATTTTTTTTTTTCTTTCCAAAATTGTGTTATTTTTACTTGTTTTAATTTAATTTTACTGAAGATACTATATATTCTTTAACATTGACTAATGTAATTTTTGGCCAGATGTAGTTTTAATTTTTTGTTCATATCTGTTATTCATAAGGGAAATGGTCCCAGAATGAAGTTTACTTTCTATCTATCTATCTATCTATTATGATGCATATGAATCAATTCATAATGGAACCAATAATACTGAAATCTAATGCCCAAATAGAATCAAACTAAAGCAGACAAACATGTTATCTGTTGCCTATAGATTGTCATAGGCACACTTGAGTAATCAAAATAGACGAAAATGATAAAAATAATAAATATTTGGATCAGAATTGTAGTGATTTCAAACAGGGAAGGTAGGACATATTGACTCCTCAAATCCAAATGGTGAGGTACATCAATAAGAACCCTCAACCTGCCTTCAAATATCCGTTCAATAATCATCATCTCCAAATAGAGTAATTACAGTGACATAATTAATAAATCCCTATCTCATAATTTATTTATTGATTACATCTTCATTAGCAAGTTAGATATAAATTTGACAATTAAAATAAAAATAAAAATACGTTTTAGAATCCCCCATACCGTTCACTATAAATTAATATATAAAAGAGATTATATTTTTAATCAAATCATTTATCTGTTTAGGATCTGGTGCAGTTTTTACCCGACTTTGTTTATGTTCATTCAAGTTAAAAAAATAACTCATCCATTTTATTTTAGTCTATTTTTAATTTTTATACAACAGCAGAAAAAAAGAGAAAGAAGTCGATAAAGCAGAATAAAAGAGATAGAAGACATGAAGCAGATAAATAGAAGATATGATACAGATGTAAGGTAATAGGTTAAGCTTAGAACTGCTTAATCCTATGGAGCACTCTTATATAGATAGATAGATAGAAAAAACAACTTTATTCTGGGACTAAGTTCCTTCAGAATAACAATAATGTACAAAATAATAGAATATTACTGGCCTAAACGTTTGAAACAATAAATAAAATTGATAAAATAAAATAAAAAGTAAAGAAAACCTTAGGTGCACAAGCTATATACAATACAGATAAGACTATGTACAGAGCATTTAAAATTATGAACAAAGCAATTAAAACTATGAACGAATCACTTGAACTATGAACAAAATTATATATAAGGGTTGAACAACATAAACATACCCTTTGAGAAATGAAGAACGAAAAAGAGATACAATGAGTTCATTTCATAAAATAAAAACTTTACTTGAATATAAATATAAAAATAAACAGTTAATTATAATTGAATAAAAAAAAAAAAAAAATGTATGTATTGAAATTCCTATGTCGATAGTAGGAAATGCATGTACTATCTCTTGCCAAGTATTATGATTATATGATTGCTACTCAATACATATATAATATTAATAGTTAGCTGGTATCTGACTGTTTTTGGAATAGGAGGTTTTTGAATGTGTATAGGGAAGGGGCATGTTGAATTTTGATCGGGAGGGAATTCCAAAAGTTGACTGAGCGGGCTATAAAGGAATTTTGAAATGAGACAGATCTATGAGAAGGGATGTACAGGTCAGAGGGTCGGGATCTTGTAGTGAGGGAATGGATTGAGGACTTAAATTGGAGAAGGTTGTAGGCATAAGAAGGACGATGATCGGTAATGATTTGATAAAGGAAAGTGCCCAGGAAATATTGTCTTCTTAAGGAGGGGAAGAGCCACCCTAACTCAGTGTAGTGGTGGAAGACACGGGAGCGTCTCGGGGTCCCAATTACAAATCTTACGAAGCTATTCATAAGTCTTTTGAGTCTATCACAGAGTTCCACCGAGAGATCATCGTACACCACACAGCTGTAGTCAAAGTGGGGAAAGATGAGAGAGGAAACTAGGAGTCTACGGGTATTTTGGGGTAGAAGATGGCGGAAGTGATGGAATAGTTTGAGGGTAGAAATTGCACGGTGGGATATATGAGAGATATGGTGATTCCAGGAAAGGGTTTGATCTATGAGAAAGCCTAAATTTTTAACAAAGGGATAGAAGGTGATGGGGTGGTTGTTTAGATAGAGTGAGGGAAAGTTGGTATGGAATCTAAGGAGGGGCTTGGAACCAATGAGAATGGCCTGAGTTTTGGCAGCATTTAGCCTTAATCCATTTAAGTTGGCCTAGGCAATAATTCCATCTAAATCCTAGACGTAGAATATAGAAATTAAGGTGGAGGTAGACCTTAATTAAAAATATACTTCCTATTATTATATGCATTATAGTTTAGAATAAGTTAATATTAAACATTTAATCGTTAATCATATTGATTATCCACTAGTAGCAGTTAAAGAAAAGTCACTATAGTAAAAAGTATTCATTGGAAACCGAAGTTTCAATATGCATTGCAGGTCTTTGACAAGATATCAACGAGAAAGATACAAAGTAGATGAAATTATTGTAGGAGGATATTGGAGATTTATTAATTGATCAAATAGGTAATGAGAGGAAATATATGGTCTGTATACAGGCAAGAAAGGAATCTCAGACAAAGAATTACAAATATATCAATAAAGTAATAAATGACGAACAATAGTAGTAATAACAAATATAATAATGAATAGTGAATAAAAATATAATGTAAAATATGTAAAATATAGAACTATTCAAAAAATATAAAATAATGTCATATAGAAGTAAAAAAAAATTAATAGAAATATAAATATAAAACAGAATAAAAGACAATTTAAAAACATCATGAAATAAGAAGAAAAAAAAATGAAATTTATTAATGTTAAAGATTCAATGGAAACTCAAGATCTGATTTTAACCCTTATCAGTCACCTTTCACATGACAACACAAAAATATTACTCTTACAATACTGAAATATTTTTACATTTACTAGAACCAGCTAGAACCTAGTAAGAATCACGTATAAAATGCTAGCGACCAGTTACAAATGAAAAAAGTGAAGGAAACAAGTGGAGTATTCTTAAGAACATAATTTAACATTGGCCATGAACTCAATATCTTAAGTTATAACAAAGAAAATCATCGTCATAGCCTAACAGAAAGACCTTAGGTAAAAATTTGTGATAGGTATAATTGTATCTTGTTAAAAAAGTTATATTTCAGTGAGTAGCAAGTGCTTATAGAATGTTAAGTTGGTGTGTGTAGATAACTTCAAGCATTTAAAAATTAAACTTACATGATGATTTCTAGCTTCTTCCATTCTGCTAGCCATGTTAGGATAAGAGTGAATTCCATGATCCAATAATTCAAATTCATTTTCAAATCCAACAGGGTTTCCCTCTTCGTAAGGGCTCTGTTAACATTAAATACAAAAAAGAATTTTACCCTCCTCCATCTTTGAAAAATATAAAATTATCATTTTAATAAATTTTATCAGAAAAAATAAATAAAGAGATTATTCACAAATACTCAAAGCAATTGTATCTGCTATAAAACCATACTTAATTCAACTGACTATTACGTCAGTTTAATGACCAACGAGTTTTAATTTTTGTTTCTTCACAGCAATTATAGTTATTTCTAAGCTGATAGGGTCAGCCGAAATAATAAACTATGAAAGTTGTTAAATACTAGCTGTGCTCCACAGTTTCATGAGTACTAAATTTGAATTACACATGACTGTTTCATACATATGATGAGAATATGATAAAATGAATTTATAATGAACAGAATAACATCCCAAAATTTAGATATAATAAAAAAGTCCGTTTTCATTGGCTAAAAAATATCTGTATTACAAAGTCTAAAATTTTTCGTATGAGAATAAAATCTCTGGAAGAAATCGTTTTCGGAAATTCAGTAATCCCTCAACATAGACAGGTTTGATTTTCACGGCTTTTTTAATGAGTGAATATTAAAATGCAAAAGGAATATTTTATTCAATCACGGGTCAGTATTTTTAGCTCAAATTGTTTCAAAACACTCATGAAATATCGCCTAATAATCTGAGCCATAAAAGTTAAAAATCGATCCAGCCTTTCTCTCAAAAAATCATTACATAGCTTTTAGCGAACAACCCAAACACTAATTCTCATTTCGCTTCACTTAGTCAAATAATAAGATTCATTTCTTCTTATTTTATAAGTATAAACTGTTTTTGTTTTTTTGGAACTTTATATAGATATAGATAACGTGGGAAAAAGTATTTTCTTAAGTTAGCTCCAATATGCTTAACATTTTGTTCCTGCACTTTATTTAAAGTAATTAAAAACGTTACCTTTATGGGAAACTGCAACCGTAATTACTTATAATCAATTGATGTTTATGCATACTGCTCTGTTAAGGACCATAGTGTGATATTATAAAGCCTTTCTAAATAAACAGTCTATCTAATTGTTAACGCCGCATACTTGCAGATCTATATTTTTTTCTCTCACCATATTTCTCTTTTAAATGATAATGAAGAAAATGTTTATTTATTTTTTTTTGTAAAATTGAGGGACAATTGTCTCAGAAATATATTTGTGTTTGTATATCTGCCTTCGTTTGCGATGTATTATCGCTCATTTGTATACACACCAGCCCGGCAGTAATACCCAGTCTTAGGGATTAAGACACAAATAATGCCATAATACTGTCGGGAGGCAGTCTGGAGTGGGCCTTCGTTATTGGGTCCACGTAGTGGACAATTTCTCTCCCCATCTCACCAGCCGCTCCAGTTAACTCAAACCCCACCGGCCTAGTATAAGTGCCTTGTTGTTGTTTTTTTTTTCGGAAGTCTGGAGACAGCTCTTGTCGACATTAGACCCATGTAGTGGAAGTCTACCCCCACCAATCTCACCAAGCTCCAGGCCGTCTAATCTCGCAACACACCACCAGCGCCATTTTTGAAGATCAGCTGTAGGGCGCAGCTGAGTACTCGATACATATCGATACGACCCCACCATCGATTACTCGACAGCTGGAGATCGGAAGGTAACAGGTTGGAGGCAGAACCTCCAACTTGGCTTGTGTTTATTATTCTCACCAAGACATTTGAACATTTAGTTAACTGGTTTCTTCCCTAAATTTGTTTCATTCTTTTGGAAAATTCTCTTGTTTTATTTACAATTTTAGAAATTGATTTTTTTCTTTATTGATAATGGTTAATTTCGTTTATTTTCTCTGGATGTTGTATTTGTGTTTTATTTTTCTCGTAGCTTTTAAGTATTGTTTATCTCGACTTTTATATCAATTTAAATCTCTTTTTCTTTCTCAATAAATTGTAAACATTCAAAAGGGGATTTTTTTTATTTTCCATTTTTTTTAATTTTATTAAAATATCTCTATTTTTTTAAATATTTTCTTGTGCATGTATTTGTTTTTTCTCTAATGTTTTATAGGTCTCATTATTCAGTAATTTTTTTTTCTCCTTCTTTCCCAACGTTTTTTAATTTTTCTCGAATTTTCCCACCATTGAGGAAACGCACCGGGGAAAGATCAGTACTTCGATTTTGAAGTACCCCTGGCCCCAACATCTTTTGGTCCAGTCCGGGCCGGATATATCAGCGCTTTATTTTGGTCCTACGATTTTTTATTCCTCAAAATTTTTGTTTCCGAGTAAAATTAATTTTCGTTTTGGGAAACCGTGTATTTTTTATTGTCTCTCATTTTTTCATTATCTCTCTAAGTCTCCGTTTACGTTTAATTTTTGTTTCTCTATCTTTAATTTCTTTTGGTAAAATTTTATTATTGCTCGTTATACCTCTTTAAATCGCTCCGTTCACGTTTAATTTTTTTTCTCTCTCGTTAATATTTTTGTGTGTAATATTCGTTGTTTTATTCTTCACCATGCCTCCAAAAATCACAAATGAGGAACAGGAAGCGAAGTTGGCTGATGTAGAAGATCAATTGGATGATTTAGCCACAGATGTTAGGACGACCACCGCTATGGGGCTGAGTCTACCCACAGATTCATCTCGTAAATCGTTGTTTTTGGCTCGAGTTTCACGTATCGAAAACACATATAATCGTTTTGATGCTATTTTTAAGGAAATAAATTCTCTCGCAAGGAGGTTGAACATCTCAAGAGATAAATATATAGCGTTGAAGGAAGAAGTGAGCTACTCTTTTTATGAAGCATTATCTCTTAAAAATAAAATTGAACGGGACTCTAATAAATCAGATGTTGACAAATCCACGAGTAGGGTTATGGGTGATGAATTTTCGCCTCCACAATTGCCAGAAATTAGCATCCCACAATTTTCCGGAGATATCAAGATCTGGCAGGATTTCAAAGAAACGTATAAATCATTAGTGCACGAGAGGGAAGATTTAGATAACATCCAAAAATTTCATTATCTAAAATCCGCATTAAAGGGTTCGGCGTTGCAGGTTATCTCTGCGATTTCGATATCCCCTTCAGGGTATAACCAAGCCTGGGAATCTCTTCACAAAAAGTACGATAGTAAGAGGATACAAGCAACGTTTTATCTCACAAGAATTTTAAATTTCGAACCGTTTAGTGGGGGTAACCTCTCTAATTTGGAAACTTTCTCATCGGTCGTTTTGGAAAGCTAATGCAAAAAAAGATTATTTAAATCAGACGGGTAGGTTCTGAAGTAAGTTCAAACAAACTCTACGTCTTTATATGTTAGTATAGATGACATAGAGGTAGTAATAGCCAAGGAACAACAACTTACTGGTCTCTGAGATCTCAAATTCTTTAACTGAGTGAGAAGTTGGAGTAACAGCTGTGGACTTCTTTCAGCTTGTGCTATTACAGTTTCAAGTTCAGAATATATTGATTGTTCCAATGAAAATACAGCACTAGAAAAAAAAATTAAAATTATATTTACACAGGATTTGCATTAATAAATGTACCACTTATTATATTAAATTAAAATAAACTAATCTTTATTCGGATTTTAATAAATAAAGATTTAGTTGCTTAAATATTATACTTAAAACATTCTTATATCTCTTGTAATTGTCAACTTAATCTTATTAGTTTTTACAGAAAGTTTTAGTTTTGACTGAAATAAAATTACTGAATGTGGAATATTCTACATCTGGGACAGAGAAATATTTAAAGATAAATTATGATCATAATAAGGCAATCTACAAATTAAGATTGAATCTATGTCTAGTCAAGTCTGCAAAGAGAGCTCACAAACTAGAAACTGCTATAGTAAACAAATACATTTTATTTTTTTATGTTAATAATTATTCCTTTTTTATATTTTCAACTAACATTACTGATTATTATTAGGAATTATCTAGTTTTACAGTAATATAGTACTAAATAAAATCATGTAAATATTGTTCAAACTGTTGTAGCATTTTACTAATTAAACAATACTTCCTTTTTTAAGAAATTTAGTTTGTCTGAATATTGTTTGTTAACTATATATTCACTACTCACGTTGCATCTGCTTTCAGGTTACTGTTGTATCTTCTTCTTGATCTGCAACTATTTAGGGAACCAGAAACTTCACCTACAAATTAAACATTAATTGTTAAGGGAGAAAAGAATGAAGTATTTAATAGAAACAAAAAAGAATAATAAATACCAGAATGCATTTGCGCACCATTGACTTGAGCATTACCTAAACTATGATTTTCTTTTCTCCTTCTTCTGAAAGAAAGCAAAATGCCAAATATGATATAAATTGAATTAGTTAAATAAAGCAATACTATCAAAAATTTATTCATATAAATTAAATAAACCTAGATGTGATAGGTTTTTTACTTTTAGGAAAGTATTGCGATCATGAAAATTTTAGAATCTGAGTTTTCAATGAGAATATATGTTTTGAGATCCCCTGAGTCCAAATAATCAAGTACTGCAAAACGGTCTGTGTGTGTGTGTATGTATGCGATCAGTCTAGTTGAAAAAAAAACAGAAAGTTGTACGCAAATGAAATTGCGTATTTGAAGTTGGAACATGCCTGGGATGTTATAGCAACTTTTTTTATCAAAAATCGGCCAACCGATATATTATATTATATCATCGATTTTACACATGTTTACAATTTTCTCGAAAAGGGCTCTAATAAGTTTGATTAAATTCATTATATCAGAGTAAAATGAAGCAGTTTTTAATATAATGTAGGTATCATTCTTGATGAGATTCTCTGACAGTGTTTAAATGCCTAATTTTCAAAATTTCTTTCTGTAAAATATCTTTAATTTTATTTGTTTGAAATAATGAACCATTTCATATTGAGAAATGATATAAAAAATTATTAAATATAACGAATAAAGAAAATTTATTGGTAACTAAAAAAATAAGGGTTAGAAGCATACCGAAACAGGAGAGAGCGCCCAACCTTTACCGATCCTGACTATTTACAGATAGTTAATACCCCTTTGTACAGAGCTTTCATGTTAATTTAACATTTATAGATCACTTATCCAAATAATATGCAATATTTACAAACATTAAGTTATTTTTTCGACAAGATTAGTATTTCCGATAAAACTCAGATTTTTCTAAAAGATCCATTTTCTCTCCAGTCATTAGGATTATTAGACACTAAACAGTCATAAAAGGAAATGAAAAAAAAATGCAAACGTATAAATTTAACAAATTTTATGGGCAGGAAAATATGGAAATTAATTATTTTAAACGAAGTTATACTGCAGTTTTCACTTTGACTTCCTCCATACATAATAAAATATTCACTACTCTAAGATTGGTAAGTAAAAGTTATGCGAAGCTTGCATCAGATTTTTTCTTTTTACTTGTGTATATTGATTCCCCCCCCCTCCCAAAAAAAAAAAAAAAAAAAAAAAAAAAAAAAAAAAAAAAAAAAGCAATAATTAAAACTTTTATTTGAAAATAAGTTAAAAAATTTTGACTTTTATCATGCATATATTTTTTTTAATGTAGGCTTTAATGCATAGTTGAGAATTATTTTTTCCACATGTTAATATATTTTGAGTAATATAAATCCGGCCTTTGGTAATAATAATCAGTATTCAATATTGAAGCTTGTTCTAATGTCATAAATAATTTTCTTTGTATAATTTAAGAGAAAGATAAATTAATAAATTCAACAGAAAGATAATTTAATACAAATAAAAAATGTTGAAAGTGTACAATTACTTTTAACTTTAATAAATAAATAAAAGAAATTTAAAGTTACACAACATACAAATTATCTGTCTGCGCAGACGGTCTGGGAGCTGGTAGAGATTCAGCTATGCTACCTTCATTACTTTTATTTCTTCCTGAAAGAAGGTTTTGCCTGGAGTAACTGAAAAATAAAAGAACTCTAGATAGAAAATTAAATTGTTATCTACCAATATATACTTTTATTTTATTTTTTTTTCAATAATCAAAATTTTTCATATATATTTTTCATACAAAGTATAAAATAATAATGTCCTATAGAAAAATTACAAAAAGCAAATATCATTATATATTTATATTAAAAAAATAATTAACTCATAGTACCTTCTAAAATTATCCCAATAATTATTGGCTCTATTTCCAGGAGGGACTTGATTATTCAGAGTTTGAGGAGAAGACTGTGCCCATAAGAGTCCCGATGGGTCAAAGTTCAAGTTGTTACCATAACCACCACATTTATACATACGACCTTCTTCTTGGATCTGCAACATTTTATATTCACAAAACAAAAATTGTAATTAAAAATAAAAAAATTAATGAATGGTTTATTTAAATTTCATTTTGGAGACTAAGCCTAAGTTGTTATTTCTATGAAAAATAGAAACAAATATAATATACAGAGCAATTTCTTTAAAAAATTGATAAATAGATAATAATGAAGTATGGAAATTCGATATGCAGAACTTCAATTATATAAGCCAATACAAAAAAAAAATTATAATCCTATTACAATTATTGTAATGGTGAGGTCTATAACACTTACCATAGATAAAGCTTGCCTCAAACCAGCCAATTCTCGCTGCTGATGCCATATGAGTTGGCAGCACTGATTAAGAGAATTGATCAGAAGTTGATGCTGGTGCCATTGAGGTGTCGGAGGACCCATGAACTGCATGAATCCTAATTATCCACGAAAAACATATTGTATTATTGATTAAAACATAAAATTAAACATGCAAATAATAGAAAGATAAATTACCAAGATTAGGTTGAGGCATCCATGGTTGGGGAGACGAAAAATTAACTACTTGCTGTTTCTCAAGCATTCCTTGGTACAATATCTGCATTTGCTCCATTTGAATTTGCAACTAAAAAAAAATATTTTTTTCTGAAATAACTTTTAAGACTGATATTAGTTTTTAGAACTATTCAACAGATAGGGAGGAGTAAGGACAAAACAATAATGAAGACATTTTTTCAGTTCGAAAAATCATTGAAAAATTCTATAAAAAGTAAAATAAAGAGGTGTACAATTATTTAGTGCAGATGAGGACTGAATTTAATTAAGCATATTTATTTAAATTATATAAGGACAAAAAAAAAAAGAGCAAGGAAGGTTGAAACAGATATTGCTTAAAAAAAACAAAAAACTAATACTAATTCATTTACAATACTGTTCAATTACAACTATATTATTAAAAAGGTCAATAGAAAAAAAAAGTTTTTATTTCAGCAAATTGATCTAAAGCTTATAAGGATTAACGAGGAGAGAAACTACATTAAATTAAAAAAAAAAAAGATTATAGATCCCAAGTTTTTCATTATCATTATACCACTTTTTTTCTTAATTTGTTTTTATGAAAAATTTCTAAATATGTATACATGCTAATTATTTAAAAAAACAAACCTTAATTTATTTCACAGCAAATGAAAAAATTACTTTTTAAATTACAAATAATTACTAATGCTGTATGTTATTGGAAAGATTTTAGTAAGAGGTTTTATCTGATTAGCATACCACACCTTTTTAGTAAATTCTGTTTAACGTTTTGTAACTACTAATAAAAACTGAACTATTAGATCAGGATTGTTTAACAATGACAATCTCTATAATATTTTTACAACTTTATTTCCAGAGTCAACACTGTAAAAAATTCATTATCTATTATGAACACATAAAATTACCTAATACTAATCAATTATTGAGAAGGAGTTGATTGGGGGGGTTGTGGTCAAATAAATACTAAATTATAGAAATAGTATTATTTAATTATTATGCCAACGTTTCGACCCACCAAGCAGGTCTCCATCAGGGCTACATAAGATACAAAATATATAAGGTACATGGTGAAAATAAAATAAATGAATAAGTAGATATTAAATAAGAAAAAGTTGTCTGATAAAGAGATAATAAGATGATATCAGAGATATAGTGGGTTACAATGTAGTTAGAATATCAAGTATTATATATATATATATAGGAGATGCAAATTATATATATATATATATATATATATATATATAATATATATATATATATATATATATATATATATATATATATATATATATATATATATATATATATATAATTCTCTTCTATATATATATATATATATATATATATATATATATATATGATTTGATATTCTAACTACATTATAACCCACTATATCTCTGATATCATCTTATTATCTCTTTATCAGACAACTTTTTCTTATTTAATATCTACTTATTCATTTATTTTATTTTCACCATGTACCTTATATATTTTGTATCTTATGTAGCCCTGATGGAGACCTGCTTGGTGGGTCGAAACGTTGGCATAATAATTAAATAATACTATTTCTATAATTTAGTATTTATTTGACCACAACCCCCCCAATCAACTCCTTCTCAATAATTGATTAGTATTAGGTAATTTTATGTGTTCATAATAGATAATGAATTTTTTACAGTGTTGACTCTGGAAATAAAGTTGTAAAAATATTATAGAGATTGTCATTGTTAAACAATCCTGATCTAATAGTTCAGTTTTTATTAGTAGTTACAAAACGTTAAACAGAATTTACTAAAAAGGTGTGGTATGCTAATCAGATAAAACCTCTTACTAAAATCTTTCCAATAACATACAGCATTAGTAATTATTTGTAATTTAAAAAGTAATTTTTTCATTTGCTGTGAAATAAATTAAGGTTTGTTTTTTTAAATAATTAGCATGTATACATATTTAGAAATTTTTCATAAAAACAAATTAAGAAAAAAAGTGGTAAATGAATAAGTAGATATTAAATAAGAAAAAGTTGTCTGATAAAGAGATAATAAGATGATATCAGAGATATAGTGGGTTATAATGTAGTTAGAATATCAAATCATATATATATATATATATATATATATATATATAGAAGAGAATTATATATATATATATATATATATATATATATATATATATAATTTGCATCTCCTATATATATATATATATAATACTTGATATTCTAACTACATTGTAACCCACTATATCTCTGATATCATCTTATTATTTCTTTATTGGACAACTTTTTCTTATTTAATATCTACTTATTATTCATTTATTTTATTTTCATCATGTACCTTTTATATTTTGTATCTTTTGTAGCCCTGATGGAGACCTGCAAGGTGGGTCGAAACGACGGTATAATAATTAAATAATACTATTTCTATAATTTAGTATTTATCTGAACGCAACCCCCCAATCAACTCCTTCTCATATTATATCAAGATCAACCATCTCTACATCATTATGTAAACAATTACTGTTTACTAATTTAAATAATGATGCAAAAAAGTTATAATAAATTTAATTTCAACAAATATTAATATTGCTTTAATATTAATATTAATTTTTATAAAATATAGGAGTTACATTAGTATTGGAATTTTTATTTAAATATATTCCATATTAACCAGTTCTCCCGCTCAACTGATATCTCAGTCACAGATAGGATCAATAATTGGGAGTATACTGTAGTAGGAATTCTCATACAAGTGTAAGTTTAATATTAGCTCTAATTAACTTATTACAATTTGTCTTACATCTGATATTTGTTCGGCTAAAGAAGGTGTATTAGGAACTAATTCCCTCATATCTACTTCGGATACTCTAGGAGGTCTCTGCCTTACTTCACGACTGATTCCCCTTCGACTTTCTCTAGCTGGGCCTGAGAACACAATTGGTATTTTAATATGTTTTGTTATAAATTTTGAAAAAAAAATCTAGATATTATAATCTTTTGTACAGTAATAAGAATAATGAGAAGTCCAGAAATATCTAGTCTAAAATTAAAGTAAAATGCACGAGTTTAGTACTTACCTGGAGCAACTTTAGAACCTGGTTGATGGCCATTGGTGCTAAAAAAAAGATATATATAATTTTTATGAATATGAAAAGCATTTTAGATTATACAAAATACATATGATTGCTAAATTATTAAAAGTTATCTTAATTTTGATTATTCATAACGAATTGAATTTCCTATAAATCAGATAAACCATAATGTTTAAAAACTCCTAAAGATGAATGTAAAAAAAAAATATATATATATGTAAACTAAAAATGAATGAAACAGTCTAGATCATAGATGTGGAAGCTTTTTATTATTAGAGGCCGCAATAAGGTTAGGCAGTGCTAATGGAGGCTGCAACGATTCTTTAAATTTTACCTTTGCTATTTTTATTAATCACTACATACACACACCCATATAATTAAATGTAAGTTAATTCTAGCACTCGATTAATAAATATCACACAAAAACAATTAGAAACCACATTCGGTCCCCTGGACTGCAGCTACGCCATGGATACCGAAGGTTCTCCACCTATGGTCTAGATAATGAAATTCGGAATGAAAATCTTACCAATACAAATCTACACATTAAAAAAGATACTTCACTTAATAATAGAAAATTATCCACAACTTTAATTTAATGCAGCTTATTATATGTTTTTAAAAAAAAAACAACAATATTGGTATAAGATTGACACTTGAGGTATAAGTTGTAGGCTGCACGGAAGGGATAAATGGACAGTATTCAGTCACCAAGACTTACTAATAGACTGCTTATAGCATTAATTTGAATCTGTGCAATATCTTAAAATTTAAACTGTTACAATAAAGACAGAAATAAGATTACACTAATTATTCAATATTTTTTAATCTTATTAGTGAATAGGTATTACTATAAAAACTGACAATACTCTAGCAATGACATAATAAGTTGCAATTAATTTGAGATGAAAAATAGAAACTAAATTATTTCCTGAATGTCACTAATGATAATAGTGGATAGATGGTTGACTGTAGTGAATAATTAAAGAGAAGAATAGTTGGGATGATCAGTCAAAAAAAAGAAAGTAAAAATAAATAATTATATTTATTTATTTATTACTATTTTTTTTCCTGATCACTCCAACTATTCTGTTCTTCAGTCACTAATAATAATTACCTTGTTTTTGAAAAACTATTAGGCTGCATATAGCTGGTGGGGCATAGTTTTACTGGACTTTCATCATAATCAACATCTCCTTCCTCACTGAAAAAAAAATAAAATGTCAATAGAATTATACAATTAATCACCTTTTTGGAACTAAATAAATAATTAAATTTAAATTTTGTTACAAACACACATTTATTCATAGCAAAATAAACAAACAATTCTTTTTGAAAATTTATAGCGATAAAAATAAGTGGCAATAAGATCCTTGCTTTAATATAAGTAAATATATGATTCAATTGTAACATATTAAAAATAAAAAAATAAAATAAAATAAAATGGCTTGGATCTTTATATATTATATAAATTAGAATTACTCCATTAAGAATGATCTTTAAGGCATGAAAAAATAATTTATATTTTAAAAACAGGAATGTAACATTATTTCGGGCGCCAAAATTCCTTTTGAATAGCATTTCTAACATTTTTAAAAAGTTCTCATGAAGATCGCTAGTTTTTTTGCTAAGAAACTAAAAGAAAAATAACAGAAAATACTGAACTGATAACAAAATGTAGCAACAATATAGCGTATGGTATAAAATATACAATCGCTAATAGTTTATAGTGAAGCTTATTTCAAAATAAAGATTATGTTTTTTTTGTTTTTTTTTAAACATAATTAATTTGAATGAAACAAAGCAAAATAACTTTACCTCGAATAATCTACGGAATTTCCTGTAGCTCCGTTTACTGAACTGGTCCAACTCTCAACAGCTGGCTGATTATAATGGTATCCTAAAAAATAAAAATAATTTTGAAGATATCGATATTAATAGTCATAACAATTTTTATTTTCATCAGTAAAAAAATACAATTTTCTAAAATTATAAATTAATAAAATTTGCTTTGGTACATAATAACTTAAAGATTATTGTTCTGAATAAAAATCTGATTCACAAATTAATAAAAAAAATTTCTACCTTGAGATCCTTGAAATGCTTTCACCTTCCTCATGTCAGGATTCAGATCCATCTTTTTGGTATGTAGTTTATCCTTGAAATGACAGATAAAATATGTTATTTAGTTATCTCATTTTTCAAATAAAGCTATTAATATTTAACATGTATTTTATATGAATATAATGATCACATTGTTTTAATTGTTAATAAAAAAAAACTTAAAATATTTATGTGTTGCTGAATTTTTAAGCCTTTCTACTTAACATACCATACTTTTCTTCATGCATTACATGATAATAATATTAATTTATAAAATTAAAACAAATTTATAAATATGAGCTTGTAACATAATAGCTAACAAATGAAATAAAAAAAATTAAATTTAAATAACATATCCAAACCAACCAAAACACTGTTAGGTGGGCAGTTTTTGCATGCAGGCTGCGAATGTTCCCCATGTGATTGACCATCTCCGTTCATCCTAAAAATAAAAAAATAAATAATAGGACAAAATATTATTTAAAAAATCGAACTTTATCTTTTTCATATTTGAGAAATGCATGGAAAGAATGATATTGGTCCAGTTTATAATGAAAATTGAGATTTCAGAGCTATCTAGTGAGGAATGAGAAGAACCATTTAATGGTAATACCGTTTCCAAGTAAAATGACCTGAATCATAGCAAGAGATCCAGCAAAACATATCTGCAAATAAGCGTAGAAGTTTGGTTTTAGTCTGTTTGAGTCTGCAGAAGAAATTTTTAGGGGCCCGTGCTGTGATTATTTCAATGAACTTTGCCTGATTTCCTTTTTGTTGCTAATCCACAATTCTTATAAAAAATATAGTGGAAACATGGTTTTGTTTCTTTCTTCAAGAAATTCTTTTCTTTCTTGATCAACAAAACAAAACATTATCATGTAAGCTTTAAACGACCAAAAATATATAAAAAGTAGAAACCAATGAAAGAAAGGATTTTAATGAAAATAAGTAGACATGACTTGATTTTTGCAAGGGAATTTAATAAAAAATGTGGTTACACAGAAATAAGTGTAAATGAAAGTAAAAATTATAGATGCTATATTTATTTACATTTCATGTCGGTGTTTTTAATTTCCCCTAATGGATACCAATTTAAATTCTTATATTGCTGTAATATATACAATTAAATATTAAATACTACCAACGATAGCATTTATGAATACGCATATGTATATGTACATAATATTGTTGGAGTCCATATTATATTAAGCTCATCATATTAATCTTTCGGGCGCGCTTGTATTTCTTTGGTTCCTCCATTTCAACTATTATCTGTAACGATCTCTTATTTCTCCTTTTGTAAATTATCAAATTCTTTCATATTTTATATTTAACTAGTTTTGATATCAAAGATTAATGTGAAATGGTTAATTATTTCAAATAAAAAAAATTGAAGGTACTTTAGAGGAAGCTAATATTGGAAATTAGCCATTTAAGCCCTGTTAGAGAACATCAATGAGAATAAAACCTACATCATATTAAAAACTGCTCAATGATACACTGACGTACTGAGTTTAATCAAAATCGTTTGAGCCGTTTTTTTTAGGAAATTGGAAAAATGTGTTAAATCGAATACATAAAGTGCCACTTCCGGTAAGCTGATTTTGACGGAAAAGTTCCTGTAACATCCCAGGTATATACAAACCTTAAATATGAAATTCCGCTTTCATACAACTTTTTTTTTTTTGAGCTAGACTGTTCACATGCACTGATGCACACACACACAGACCATTTTGGTTTTGTTTCTTTCATTAAGAAATTCTTTACTTTCTTGATCAACAAAACAAAGTCAGACCATTTTGTGTTACTTGGTTATTCGGACTCAGGATTCCGTATGTATTTCTGTTGAAAACTCAGATTCGAAAATTTTCACCATTGTAATACTTACCTTTACTATGTAGTTCATATATAGGTAAGAGAAAGTAACAAACAGATTTATGTATTATGATTTTTTTTTCCACTCTTGACCATATTTTTTTAATTTATTTTATTTTTTATGGTTATACCTATTATCAGTTGTTTAAGGGTCTAATAGAAATTTTTCAAATCAATGAAATTGTGAACATTTTCTATGAAGTGAAAATTGAAACATTAAATTTTTATTTTCTCCACTTGAATATTTAGTAACTGAAATCATTGTTCGTTTACATTGACCCTTCATTTAAGTATTTGATTTTAGTTTTGTCATATTCCCTCATGTAATTTTACTGAATTTATTATTTTTGAATCTTCTTTCCTAGGCAATAAGAAAAACCACACTATAAAATGTCAGCACACATAAATAGTTAATATTTGTTACTGTGATCCCACTCGGGACCATTATAAACCCTGTTTTTGTTTAAAAACACTCCAATTATGACTGTTTATGATTATTAACTACTACAGTCGACATTGAGGTTTATAACATTTTGCCTTGTTACCCACCAATATGACTGGGCAGTAATTTATAGATAGCCACAAGGGGGTGGCAAAAAGGACCACAAGACCCGCTTGCCAGACTAGTTCCTACCATCAATAACATCAGTACCCTCAATATAAATAATATACTTATTATAATATATTTTATTTTAATGACTTGAACAATCTTACTATATAGGCACAGTTCAAATAGTCATAAAAATATAACGGTTCTATTTTTTTTTTTTTTTAAATTAGTAAAATTGTTAGGATAACTAAACTAATGTGATAAATGATACTTTTAGAAAGTGATTAAGAGGGCTGAAAATGAAAAGGGCAACTTAAATATTGAAACCAAAAATGCTGAGAAAAAAACAACAGAATTACCTCGGAGTAGGTTTTCCTTCCCTTAAACTTTCTACTCGGTTTAATAGAGTTTGAAGTTGTTCTAGTTTATTTTTAACTTCTTCAAGTTTACTAGAAAAAAAAAAATTTAATTAGAAAATATAAGTATGATAATAGAAATAACGATAAGTTAAAAAGTTAGTAAACACATACAGTTCTTTATTATGCACATAACTGTTGGATGGCCCACCATGATGTTCAAGTTCACGATTATCTTGCTTATTGACATCACGCCTTGTTCCTACTTCTTCTATTTCTCCAAACCCTTGCTATATTTATTAAATAAAAGTTAATAAATAATTTAAAATCCTTATAAAGTAAATAAATTAAGCTTCAGAAGAATTTTCTTACTCTTGTTCGTGAAAACTGAGAAGCTTCTCCATCATCACTACTGACACTTCCAGGACCTCCCAAATTGCCTAAACAGCATATAAGAAAATTTTGTTTACAAACATCATTTCTAAAAGCTACAAATAGTCTCACTAATCAGGATTAAATGGGAATAATCCCATCCGGATCACCAAAAGTCCTAATATCATGGAATTTGCTGTAAAATGCACATGATGAAATATTTTTTAAATTTTGTTCCTTCATAAATGTATTTTTTTTTTAAGCTTAATTTTATCACCAGTTCTACATGATGTAAAAGAATGGGGTTGAAGAGAGGAATAAAAAAGTATAAGATTAAGTCAGCCTGAAAAGTTTGAGGACAATGAAGTTACTTAGTTGATTAAAATTCATTTTTTATAAATTTTTTTTTTTTTTTTAAATATGAAGTATATGAATTTTTATAGGATCATGAAAATAATTTAACAACATAGTATATAATTATTTAAATTACATCAAAATATAAAGTAAATAAAATTTTATAGGTGTATATATATATATATATATATATATATATATATATATATATATATATATATATATATATATATATATATATATATATGTATATATAGATAGATAGATAGATATTGTGTAGATTAACATTTGTTTAAAATAATCGTATTAAGAATAAATATTAAATTAATTTTCTGTAATATAAGAGTCTAGATTATAGAAGAATAGCCTGCAACGAAGAGAGGAAATTTTAAACATCAATAAATACAAAAACGTAATAAAACAAATCTGTTTACTCCTGGCACTGAGATAGGGTTAACAGACCTTAGTGATCAAAACTCAAAATTTAATTATAGTTCATTACCACTGACAAACCACTGCCCATTAATATTGTAATATAAAAATTGAAATTTTGAACTAAATTAAGTTTTTAGAGAAACACAGGAATATGTAAATGGGTTGTTATGGGACTTTCCAATATACAACTGCTTGAGCATAATGAAGATGGAACAGCTGTCATGCATAGTCTATAGATGTCATTTCATAGTCTGATTCACTTATGTAATAATCCGGCTAAACTAAAACCGATTCTTTGTATTTTTATACTTGTTCCTTGCTCAATTAAATTTTCAGAATAATAAATTTTAATTATTTTTTAAAATTCTGTCCGGATCAATGGGATGACTGAATTAACAGGACTCTATTATAATATTAAAAGGGAAAACTCACCAGGCAAGGTTTCAGACTCGATACATGCTAAAATATTATCACACTGCGCTTTTTTTGCAAGAAGTTCGTTAAGCTTTATTCTAAGTTGTTGGTCACATTGTAAGTCAGCAGGTTCAACTAAGTTTGCAGCTGTTTCATCTCTTTCTAAAGCCTGCATAATCTGTAATTTAAACAAGAAATACAATGGAATGAAAAATCTTAAAAACAAATAAAAATTACAAGTATAATCTAACATACAGTGGCATAATCTTGCATGGTTTGAATACGAGCTTCCATGTTGGCCATTCGATCCACTTCAACCTGAAATGTAAGCTTTGTTAACTAAGAAACTATACCTAATTACTTAAGCAGCCAAAATTAAATTTTTGAAAAAAAATTCTTTTTTTTTTAAATAAGTTAAAAAACTTTTATATAAACTTTTTGAATTCAGTAAAATTAAAAATTTAGCAATTTTTGATTGGAAGTTATGCCTATGGCTTTTCTATAATGGATTGCGTTTGAGGCTATAAGATTTTAGCCTGTATTAAAATATTTTAAATCTTATAGCCTCATAAAAAAATAAAATAAATTCAACCTCATTTTCAATATGTTCATAGCCTATCACATTTTACAGCCATTATATTCTTAACAGTTATTTATATTAGTTTTAATTATTAAATGGAATTTAATGAAATTTATATAGAACAATTTTTATGCTATTCTCCACATTTCCTCTAATTTCAGGCAAATTATAGACGTGTCAAGAATAGTACATCTGCAGATTCAGAAAGGGAAATATTTTTTGAAAGTAGTGGATAGAATTTTATGAAATTAATGTAGGAGGACTGTCGAAGAACCAACCTGCACAATCCCTAAAAAAGTTCATGAAAGTTGGATAAACAGTAGTAGGTGATATGTCCATCACATCAATTTGATTATAGACAGACTAACACCGAACCAAATTTGGTACTTGATGTCCAAAACAAAAAACACGAGGGAAAATTTTCTATTCTGAGCTCAAAATATTTTAAACATTCCGTAAAGAAAATGAATAACACGCTTCTCTTCCTTCAGTACTGCAGAAGCAAATAAAAAAATATAAGGCATCATTTTTTTTGGAACCTTGGCCTTCATTTTTATTAATCATTATGCATTATGCTCTAGCAAGTCATATACTACCTAGTAGAAAAGATTTGCAATTCATTGTTAAGCGTAAAATGTAAGCAATAATAAAATTTATCATTTTTAATTCTGTAGTTTTCCGCTGAATCAGACGATATATTCCTCTGGAAAACATTTTCTCTTTGTTTAGTTTTAGGCAACTAAAAAAATATAGATCTCCTGAAACAATTCAGATGCTCATTTGAAAGATAATTTAATTTCTCACGTAGCTAAACATTATAAAAATCTTAAGCCAATTGATGTTGATGCAGTAAACAATTTTGGTAATAGACTTTTGCGCATAATAAAATTCATGTGATTCGACAGCGGGTATTTTGGATATATAACTATTTGTCTTAATAAACCATTGCTTAATGATTTACAATGTTCTTGAGATTAATATTCTCAATTCATAATCTTGATTATAAATATTATACAAATTCAACTTGATGAATACATTTTAATGTTAAGCTATGTAAACAATTAAATTATCTTTCAAATGAGCATCTGGAATGTTTCGGGAGGTATATATTTTTTGAGTTGCATAAAAACTAAACACTAAAGAAAAAAACTAAACTAAACTAAAATTAAACTTTGGTCCAAAAAAAGAGAAATACTGTGTTATCAGATGATATCTGGATGAAAGGCAGGAAAGAATTGGTCAAAGGCTGACTGTGCCGACCAAAGGGTGGAGAAGAACTGAATGTGCAAAGCAAACGATGGCTAAAGACTGAAACCTGAGGCTTGGGTTTTTATAAAAATAAAAATAAAAAATTCTGCCAAATAATTTCAGTATAGCTTCTTTACTATTTCCATTAGCAATTGTTTTACATTTACGGATTGTATGTTTGCCTATTTGTAATTACTAAAGAAATCACATACATTAACAATGCTCAGTACGATATGTACAGTTAGAGTTACGTATGTTTGCTTAAATGTACATATAGTAAGAAGAAAGAAAGAAAATGAATTTTATTCAGTGACATTTAGTCACCTCAGAATAATTATAATGAACAAGATAATGACAATTGTCTGGCATTAGAGTACAATTAAAAATAAATTAATTTACAAAGTTGTCTAGCCCTAATATTAAAATAAAGAAAAGACACTAGAAGAATATGATCTTAAAGTAGACATATGAGTTTAAAGATAAATACATATGAGTGAGTTCATGTATTTGTACAAATAAGCAATATGACACATACATAATTATCTGCAAGATATCGGTAAATTGTAGCTGACATCTCTAAAGTACAAAATAACTTTATTTTAAATATATTCCTTAGATTGATTACTGAGGAGATGGAAAAATAAATAGTACTTAAATGAGGTTGAGGATGAGGATTTCCGTATAGAGGTTGGTAGGGCATTATGAAACGAGATAGCATGTATGACGAAGAATTTTTTAAAGGAAACAGTTCTATGAGAAGGAATAAACAGATTTGAGGGTTTGGATCTCGTGTTGAACGAATGAACTGAGGAGCAAGAAGTAAAGAAATCAAGAAAGCAAAAAGGTTTTTTGGTTGTTAAGATTCGGAAAACGAATACACCTAGCTGATGGATTTTAAGAGGCATAGAGCCACGGAATCACAACAGAATCATGGACTTTCGGGTAATTGATCAAATATTACTCCAAGATTACTTGATCTTCAAACATATTTAATTGTATAGCCAATGAAAATGGTGAAGAAGCTATACTGAAAGCTATACTTGGCAGAATTTTGTTTTCTAAAAACTTTGAAAATACTGCTAATTAATATACGTTAGAGTTAAGGTAACAGGAGTCCAAGCCTCAGGTTTCAGTCTTAAGCCATCATTTGCTTTGCACATTCATTTCTTCACCACCCTTTGGTCAGCACAATCAGCCTTCGACCAGTTCTTTCCTGACTTTCATCAAGATATTATCTCATAACACAGTATTTCTCTTTTCTTGGACAAAACTGAGAATCAAACAGGAATCAAAATGTCTAATTATACGTATAATATTAATTATATACACATATTTTTATTTGTAGTTCAGTTGCTTATTCCAGAAATCTCCGAACTACGGCCTGCAGACCAGATCCAAGAAGCCAAATTAACCTTAGAATGGATATCATAAGAAACTGATGTGCTAATGACATAACGCAACCCATAATATCAATTTTTTTTTGCAAAACATGGTATAAGACAAGATAATTCTAATTGTTGATTAATGTTTTTAACATTGAAAGGGAACTTGACGTAATATTGAGAGGACTTAGTTTATAGTTTTCATTAATTTTTCATAAGATTGAAAAATATAAACTGAAATCACATATCTAGAACAATGGAGAAAATGAGTATAAGAAAGCACAAACCAATTTTTCTTTAACCAATAGTCAAAATATCAAACAATGATTAAAACCGACCTTGTTTGTTGCTACTAGAATCAAAGCATGCAAATCCACATGATTAAAATCTCTTGAATAAAAATTATTAAATGGCCATATTTTTGTTTTCTGAAATCAGATTACCTAATAACTAATATTTTGTACAACACACATTAGTGAGTAACAAATTAAAAAAAAACAACTTAACAGGACATGTCTTAAGTCTCAAAAAATTAAATAAATCAACATACTTGTACAGGTTTCACTTGCTGAATGGCTTTATTCCTCAGTCCAAGCATCGAATGTTGTTGCATGTCTTCCATCTATTAAAATAACACTTAGTCTGGATTTTGATAACATAATAACTATTAAATCAATATAAAAAAAAAGTACCTGAACTGGTTTCACTTGTTGAATAGCTTTATTTCTTAGACTAAGTAAAGCAGCCTGTGTCTGTTGAAGTTCTTCTATCTAACAGATAATATAAAATGAAAAATCCTAATATTTAAATATGTAATAATCTAACCATAAAAATATCACATACAATATTAACATTAATATGAGTTTACATTTTATTAAAATAAACTTTATTTAGATATATCGGCAGTTTAATGAAAGCACAAAAAATCAAACAAAAACTGATGACCGAAAAGATTGATTATGCTAGGATACTTCGGATCACACACCATGCATAACCTTGCAACCCCGTATAACTTTGCTCCTATAGCAAAGGGGTTGTCAATTTCAGTAAAAGCAGATCGTATGACCTGTAATCGGCATACGTCAAGAACTTAATATCAAATATAAGTTCTAATACCCACTTTCTCAAAAAAAAAAAAAAACATCAAAATAAGTTTTTTCTTTGTTGTAATAAATCAGCAAGTATCAATAATAAAATTTACTCACTGAAATATTTCCAGCACCCTTGCAGGACAGACTATCCTATTGTTGTTAAAATTTATTTTAAAATCTCAAAAAGAAATGAGTAAGATTTTGAATAAACCAGCAGCAAGGGTGTCTATGATGAGCAGATGGAGTTGGCTGAACCGTCTAATAATGCCCCAACCTCAACTGAAAAGAGCCCATTGGAGATTTGTTAATCCATTCTGAGCGACCATAAGTTAAAAGCAATGATTTATTTAAAACTAATTAAGAACCGGATTTTAACTAAAAAGGAGCAGGTGAAAATTTAATCATATTCACAATCTAAATAAACCGAGGTTATAAAACAGAACATATCAATATCAAGCCATTCTCAGAATTCCATTTATTGAGAGATATTGAGGCCTTGTGCGCAACATTCAACAACACTTGTATAATAACACCAAAAATATTTAGTAAGAATTCTCAAAAATTGATAGATTTAAACATACTTTCATCTAAAGCACTAATTAATAATGTATGATATTAATTCCTTCTTATATTATACCTTTCTATGAGACTGCTCCATTTTAAGTTTTAATCGCCCTCGACTCATAGTTTCTTTGCTTGTTCCAGGTATTTCCCTTTCTTCTGGACCCTTAATACACAAAATAATGCAGAAATTGGAAATTACATGATATTATTAGATTAAGATGAATACAATTAATAATTACATTGTTGTCTTGTATCTGCATTGTTCTATTAGATAAATAACCATCAACATTAGCTGCAGAGTTACCTCTTTCTGGGGTAATATTGCTACTTTTTACATTTGACCACCGCAACTAAAGACAAAATTATTGAGTGTTAATGTTTAAGGGACTAAAAGGTTAAATTAAAAAAAATAACAAACTTACTTCATCATCATCAGTTCTATTTGAAGGAGCTAAACCTACCCAAGGATTTTCTTCATACATAAAGCCAGGTTCTCCTTTAAATAACATAACTTGTAATGAAACATCTAATAAGTAATTAACAGTTATACTAAAAAAAATTACGAACCTGCATCTGAAAGGCGAGTATTTGTGTTGCTTTCCTTCCGTACCCTTTGTGGAGTATAAGTTTCATGCCAATCCTGAATAAAAAGAAATTCCTTCATGAAATTGAATGTGAGGATTAAATATTTAAGATTTCAAAGAATTAAAAATGTGGATACCAAATTGTTTGGAAGATGATTAACAGGATTCTCTCTTCGTGCTCGGGAATTGTGTTTGGTTTTAGGAACTGTTCCAGTTTGTCTGCCTCCAGACATTGTCAACTAAGAATACATATGCATAAATTAGGTGGGATAGAGTAGAAATAAAAATAAATGTGTTAGAACATAGCAAAAAAAACTTGCACATAAATTATTTCTTCACAACAGTTTTTTTCTTTTTAATACTTATTCATGGAATTGTATAAACAATGAAATTTACAGTTACTTTTAAAAAATAGTGAAGCATAACTGAAAATTAAATATTTACAAAACTAATAATGAACTTAACACTAACTTCATGTTTAATTTGTTTTCATGACAAAAAGAAACAACAAAAAAAAGATAAAAACGTCTAAGTTACAAAGTTATACTAGATTTCTAAAAAAAAAGAGTAATTATATACTTAAATATTTCAATAATCTATGCTACCATTAAATATAATGAATATATAAATAATTTTGATATATAATATGTACCTTAATCAAACAATCATAAATTCCAAAATGTAATTCTGAACGGGTGAAACTTGAGATCTTTGTCGAAGGTTATGAAGTTGTTTTCTTAAGCAAAGTAACCTTTGCCAGTGTTGTGTACAAAATGATAAGCCGGTTGAAAATTTTTATCGGTCATTTTAAATTTTCGATACCAGGCTAATGTGGATTTTTAATTTAAACAAAGATCCAATGAATACGAAAAACAGAAAGTAAGTTTTCGTTTTTGCAGGACGCTTATTTACTTAAATAATTCAATTTTATAACTTGAAATAATTGCACTTATTTATTATAAATTTTCAAGGAATGAATAAAAGTGAAGAAAATTTCGGTTTAACCAGTTATGAAGCTCTTGGAATTCTCCATGAAGATATTCAAAAATTACTGAGTGAATATGCACCAAAATACTCTTCTAGGTAAAAAAAATAAATAACTAGATTTGCCTGAACCATTGCTTTAGTTTATTTTGAAATCTTTAAGTGTTAGTGTAAATCTAATTCATTTTAATTTCAGATGGGATTGTCTAAAAGACATATTGGATTATAGGAATGAACTCTCAAGATTTTCTTGGGTTTCAGCTATCTGCATCGTCCTTGCAAGTTTCTCATTAATTCTCACATCATTTTTCACCAATGTAGCATTGTAAGTATTTTTATATACATATTAATCTGAAGTATCAATATGTTATTTAAAACAGTCATTAATATTTTGATGATTGCAGGGTTTCATTATTGTATTATTAAAATGTCACATAATTCGACTCACGAATTTCCACCATTACATCGTAACTGTTTTTTTATAGAAATTTTAAGTTCGATTATGATGTTTAATATAATTTATAATTCTACCTATAAATACTTTTTTATATCAGTAATGAATTAGTTAATCTAGATGACATAATTGGAAGTTTAATTAATACAAATTCATTTTATTTGTGGTTAAAAAATGTTAATACTTTCATTTAATCTCTAATTATTTATGTTAATGTAAAAGAGCAAAAACTTAAAAGTTTAAGGAAAGTGGTGAAAATGGAGCTTAGTAATGAGATTGAAGACACGGCAGTATCATGGCCTGGTACCACCTAACTCACTGCGTTGGTCGTCTTACACTTTTTAGCTTTGTACAGTGACTTCAACTTCAAAACTTCCACCCAACTAATATCTTTTCATTTTTTCTCTTACCCTATTGCGGTATCTCTGAATAAAAATATTTGGTTTAAAATTTATTTTAGTTTTATAAATGCATGTTTATGAAATATAGCCGAGAGAGGTTTAAAAATATCATGTGTGATAGCCATATATGTCACGCTAGTGACTCAAGCCACACTGCTAGTCCCCACCCCACCGCTAGTCCCCACCACACCGCTAATACACACTGTTTTTTTTAGTTTTAGCTAAATATTTTTTTAGCTTATAAAAATGCTATCAGATTGCATGATTTTATTATTTAAAAGCGGCTATTTCAATTTTATATTCATTCTTTATTACTTAAATTTTATTGCAGCCCAAATTAACATGTTTTTGTTTTCTTTCCAAGAAAATAGAAAGTACCCTATTCAAGCATCATTTGGACAGAAAGATGTCAAATATGTATACAGTACATCTTATCGACAGTGGTATGATAAAGACAGTACAATGCTGACTGATTAGATGTTTACCATCCATTTAGAGACTCAAGGCTCTGATATTTAAAACCTAACAATTATATCTTAGTTATTGGTTAACTCTCACTTTTCAGTTTTTATTTTATTTCTTATTTGTTTAATACCTTCATCATCATCATCATATTTGGCACGACATCCCGTTACCGAGACTGGGCCTCCTCCAAGAGCCTCCGCCAGTTGGCTCTGTCTTCTGCTGCAGCTCTCCAGTTCCGTACACCAAGCAGGGTTCTCGCATCATAGGCCACGTTGTCCAACCATCTCGTCCTCGCCCTTCCTACCCTTCTTACAAGGTGGAGCTCCTCCATCATTATTTTCTTTGGTATTTCAACGGTGCTCATTCTGGCCACATGCCCTGTCCACCTTAGTCTGGCCAGTTTAATATACGTGACTACGTCGATGTCTGTATAGAGAGAACTGAGCTCCCTATTTTTTCTTTTCCTCCAGACATCACCCTCCTTTACTGGACCATAAATCCTTCTGAGGACTCCTCGCTCAAACACACTCAGCTTCATCTCATCGTTTTTAGTCATCGTCCAAGCCTCTGAGCCATATGTCAAAACAGGCCGAACAAGGGTCTTGTATATGATCAGCTTGGTCTTCTTTGAGAGGTACCTACTTCTTAAGTGTCGGCCAAGTCCAAAGACACATCTATTGGCAGCCGTGATCCTTCTTTGTATTTCTTGAGCCATGTCATTAATACCTTCAAAGAAATAAAATATATCAGGAGAATACTCTTGATCAATTTTTGCTGTGTCCGATTCTCAATATTAATTTTGACCAAATTTATTCTTCATTTAAAAAGTATTCATTTTATTTCTAAACCCAAATTTTCCTTTGTAATATAGGTCTAAGAAATAAAAATTTGTAATATCATGATAAGATGCACCCCAAAATAATTCTTCAATGATGGATGTTTTGTTTTTGTTTATAAGGCAAAAAACTGCAATGGTTATCATCATCTTATTGAGTACTTAATGGTTGACTGTATATTTTAGAGGAAGGAGATGATCCATCCCGGTGGTCATGAAGAGAATAAAATAGTTGAAAAAACTATTTTATTTCAAGCCAATGTTTTGACCCGACTTTGGAGGTCTTCTTCAGGGCTAGAATGGATAGGATACAAAAGGATATAGAAAATAGTGGAAGTTACATAATATTTATACAAAAATTATAAACAAGGTGAATAAACTTATTGAAATTATAAACAGTAAGTACATTGAAATATTAAGAACAATAAACCATATAAACAGAGTAAACTAAGTAACAAATAAATGTAAATAAGTGGTAACAATTGTTTTAGCATAATATATAATATAATATATGCAATGATGAATATATTTCTACAGATCTCAAGAATAGATTGGGAAAAAATAAAATAAAACAAACAAAAATAAAGGAATAAAAATAGAGTCTAACAGGTGTGTTCAGCAAGGAGTTTCAGTTAAAACTGGGAAAACTTGGGTAGATGACTCTTGGAGAAATTTGCTGATCTGGTTGGGGGGTGGTGAGAGGGTGAGTAGTAAAAACAAAACAAAACTTGGATTATTACAGTATCTAACATATGAAGATATTGATGAATAGAAGATAAAATATGATCCTTATAAACTAATAAATTATAAATATATACATATACATAAAAAATAAAATTAAGAAATTATAGATAGAAGTGCAATGTGAATGAAAACAAAAGTGTAAGACCATACATAATAGTAAAATGTAAATATAAAAATAAGAGACACCATACATTGCAAAAACTAATTTAAAAGTATAGAGAAGAAACAAATATGAATAATTATAATTAATTAATTAATTTTATATTTACATTATACATCAATGTATGATTATCCGTTTTTATTTTGTATTCATTGTACTTTTAAACATCGTCTCAATTTTATCTAATATTTAAATGTAATTTACTTACAATATATACAACTAATCAGTCTGGCCAGAGACAGCAGTGAGTAAACATCTACGGAGCGCTTTCTTTCAATTTCATATATTGAGTCCAATTTTGTTTTTTTTCTTAACAGTGTCATACTATCGTACGTAATCTTTAATACTTCTTATATTTACGTATTTTTACGCTAGTCAACTTAAAGAAAATATAGTGAGAGTTCTACGAGCCCTGTGATTGTTAAGCTAATAATCCTAATAGTATTAGCAGTTGTTTGCTTGGTGGATCACAACATAAACTTCACTTGACATTAACTGTAAGTTAATTTTTATTATTAAAAATGGTCCAGTGCACGATTTGTAATAACGCTATTGCCCGTGAAGATAAATGCAATTTATGTTGTACCAAGTGCAAAGTTATTTATCACGGCAAGTGTTTTAATCTCACAGACAAAGAGATAGAAGCTCAGAGAAGTACAAAAAAACCATGGATGTGCCTAAATTGCGATCAAACAAAGAAACAAAATTTAAACAATGAACCGCCTGTATCAGAAATATTAGCAGCAGTTAATAGACTGGATAGTCATGTTAGTGAGAAAATAAGGGATATGAAGACAGCCCTCGATAAATATGGAGACCTCAGCTTTGAACTGAATGAGAGGTTATCGAAATTAGAAAAACATCTCGAGGGCCAAGCCAAACATTTTGAGGAGATCATTTTGGAAAATAAAGCCCTCAAAGCTCGAGTGGGCGATTTAGAGATCCGCCTGAACAAAACAGAACAGGGTCAATTATGTAGATCGCTGGAGGAAATCTGTGGGATACCAGTGCGAGCAGGCGAGACGCCCGCGGCTCTGGTGACCAGTATAGCCGCAGGGCTGGGCATCAAGCTCGGAGTGGAGGGTGTCGATGTGGTGCAGCGCCGCAGAAGCAAGAAGGATGACTCGTGACTGCCGCCGGTAATAGCACATTTCGTCAGGCAGTCAGTGAGGGACGGCCTGATAGCGAGAAGGAAAGTGAAGAGGGACTTCTCGACGCGTGATATCGGATGGCAGGAAAACGACTGCCGCCGAATTTATCTCGGCGAGGAGATGACTCCAACAAACAGGCACCTCTACAGGCTAGCCCGGCAGAAGAGAGCTGCCGGGAAGATAAGATACGTATGGTTCGTTGCTGGCATTGTGCGTTGCTGAAAAGAAGACGGCCATCAAGTAATCTTGATTAATCAGGCATCGGATCTAGAAGTTTTCGCCTGACTGTACCAGGATAGGACCAGATGTCCATAGGACCAGATGGCATTCCTGTCAAAATGATAAAATTATGTCTCCCCGAAATCCTCCCAGTTCTCCTTTTCATTTACAATTTCTCCCTACAGAACTCAATATTCCCTTCCTCTTGGAAAAAAGCCATTGTACTCCCTTTAAATAAAAAGCCTAATCCATCCTCTCCCGCAGACTTTCGCCCAATCTCAATTCTTTCCAATCTCTCAAAACCCCTAGAAAGATTGGTGCAATCCCAAGTTTCCAATTTCCTCGAAAAGTCCAACCAACTTGATCCTCTCCAATCTGGTTTCCGTCCCGGCTACTCCACACAATCTGTCTTAATCAAAATTACCAATGATGTTCAGACTGCAATAGATAATAAACAATTAACTGTCCTTATACTTCTTGACTTCTCTAAAGCCTTCGATTCCATTAACCATCCCATCCTTTTCAACAAACTAAAATCACTCTCCTTCTCCAATAGCTCCATCTCTTGGTTCCAATCTTTTCTCTCACAACGCACCCAAGCAGTCTCCATTCCTAATCAACCACTATCTGCCTACCTTCCTTTATCCTCTGGAGTCGCACAGGGTTCAAGCATGTCTTCTCTTCTTTTCAGCTCTTATATTATTGACCTAAATGATTCAATTATCCATTGTTCCCACCACCTTTATGCCGACGATTCTCAAATCTATTTATCCTTTTCTCCCGCTGAGTTACTGGTGGCATTTGCCAAAATTCAAGAAGATTTAGATGGAATTAGTGAAATGTATTAAGTATTAGTATGTATTAGTATTAAATGTATTAGTATTAAATGCTTCAAAAACTCAGGCCATTGTCATTGGTTCCAAGCCCCTCCTTAGATCCTATACCGACTTTCCCATACTAAACCTTGGTGACCAGCCAATCTCCTTCTACTCCTCTGTAAACAATTTAGGACTATTTATTGATCAAACCCTCTCCTGAAGTCACCAAATTTCTCACATCTCACGACGGACAGTTTCTACCCTCAAACTATTCCATCGCTTCCGCCATCTCCTACCTCAACATACGCGTAGACTCCTCGTTTTCTCTCTCATCTTCCCCCACTTTGACTACTGCTGTGTGGTGTAAGATGGACTCTCGGTGAGGCTCCGCGACAGACTGAAAAGATTAATGAACAGTTGCGTGAGATTTGTAATTGGTGCCCCGAGATACTACCATGTCTCTCACCACTACACTGAGTTAGAGTGGCTCTTCCCCTCCATTCGAAGACAATATTTCCTAGGTACATTCCTCTATCATATCATCAACAATCATCGTCCTTCCTACGCCTACAACCTTCTCCAATTCAAGTCCTCAGTCCACTCCCTCTCCACAAGATCTCGACATTCTGACCTTTACATTCCTTCTCACAGGTCTGCCTCGTTCCAAAACTCCTTTATTGCTCGTTCTGTTAGTTTCTGGAATTCCCTTCCTATCAAAATTCGACATTCTTCATCCTTATCTACATTCAAAACCCTCCTATTCCAATTCCTGTCCCAAAAACAGTCAGATACCAGCTAACCTTCTATGTAAAATTACATATTATTTATAATAACATATTCACATATAGCTCATAACCTAAATACTGGTTATAGATTTGACTATCTTTTTTTCTTTTTTTTTTTTTTTTTCAACAGAAACAGATTTTACTGTTAAGAAGAACTTACATTTATTTTTTCTGTATTTTTTTTTCTAAAAGGGTTTATTTATATTTTACCATTGTACATAGTTTTAAGTATCTTAGTATGGTTTCAAGAGTTTTTTATATAGATTTTTTTTTTATTTTGTATATAGTATGTATAACCAATATTTTTTTTTCCTTTTTTTTTTTAATGATCTATCTTTATCTTAACTTTGTATGTTTGTTTTTATCTGGCCAGATATAAAATTTTAATTTCTGTACTTTTTTGTTATTCTGAAGAGAATAAAATTATTTTTCTATTCTATTCTAATTATGATCATAATTATTCATATTTCTTTCTTCTCTATACTTCTAAATTAGTTTTTGCAATGTATGGTGTCTCTTATTTTTATATTTACATTTTACTTCTGTGTATGGTCTTACATTTTTGTTTTCATTCACATTGCACTTCTATCTATAATTTCTTAATTTTATTTTGTATGTATATGTATATATTTATAATTTATTAGTTTATAGATATCATATTTTTTCTTCTATTCATCAATATCTTCATATGTTAGATATTGTAATAATCCAGGTTTTGTTTTGTTTTTACTACTCATCCTTTCACCACCTCCCAACCAGATCAGCAAATTTCTCCAAGGGTCATCTACCCAAGTTTTCCCAGTTTTAACTGAAACTCCTTGCTGAATACACCTATTAGGCCCTATTTTTATTTATTTTATTTTATTTTGTTCCCAATCTCTTCTTGAGATATGTACAAGTATATTCATCATTGCATATATTATATTATATATTATGCTACAACAATTGTTACCACTTATTTACATTTATTTGTTACTTGGTTTACTCTGTTTATATAGTTTATTGTTCTTAATATTTCAATGTACTTACTGTTTATAATTTAAATAAGTTTATTCACCTTGTTTATAATTTTTGTATAAATATTATGTAACTTCCACAATTTTCTATATCCTTTTGTATCTTGTCCGTTCTAGCCCCGAAGAAGATCTACAAAGTCGGGTTGAAATGTTGGCTTGAAATAAAATAGTTTTTCCACTATTTTAGTCTCTTTATCATCATCTATTTGCTGTAATTTGTAACTGGAAACATTTGTAACAGGCTGTATTTCTTATTATATTTTGAAGAAGTGTTTCTGTTTGTCGCTTAGTGTCATAGCAAAGGACAATCCCATAATTGACCATACCTAGACCATGTGACTTCAAAAAGTGGACTCACTTGTATATGGTTGGTTTGAAAAATAAAATTTTATTTTATATTTATTTGTCTCATGAACTTTGCCATTTTGTTCTTGTGAGTGCTCTGAGAAGGCAAACAATTTTTGCTCTGGAAAGAAACGGACATTTCTTCTGATGTCTGATGGATGTACTTCTGATGCTGCTCTGTTGTTAATGTATGAGTGGATGAGATTTATGATATGGGCAGGAAATCGGGGTTAGACAAGTTTGTGGACTCATCTATCATGCCGCATTGTACTGAAAGCTTTTTCAATGTCTATTAAGATCACTCCAGTGTACTTATTTTTATTATTATGTTTACCGACAAAACCATTTAATCAAGCTTACTGAGGTGTAGTAGATCGACCAACCAAATTGTTCATTATTCATGAGGTTGTGGAATATTTCTTTGTTTCAATAAAAATTAATTTTGTAATAACAATGTAATATACCTTGGTCTGTGTGTTACACACCATGTTACTCAACTTTCTTTCAATTCTTATGATCAATCATTTTATTATCTTTTTTAAATCAAGGTATTAAATCTTAACAATGAGAATAGGCTTTTAAATTATATACAAATTTTAATAATGTTGATATATATATATGTTTTGATATTATTTTTCATTTTTGTACATTTGTTTTTACTAAGAGAGATTCTTGAGATATTCTTAAATACTGTTTTTGAAAACTAGATATGGCAATTTAACCGGACATGGAATTTTCATCTTGGCCATTGGAATATTGAATGTTCTTCTTGTTTCTTGGGACAATCAGTTGAGATGCAGTGAAATTCCTGATAAAATTAATGATTTGCTAATATTTCTGAAAGGTAAGTAAGAGCTTTGGAATTAATCACTCTTCCATAAATTCATGGATTTTTTTTTTTTATAGTAGACCATAAAAACCTCGTAACTCCCATTTTGATAAATTTCATATGGAGAAAAAATGTATTAAGTGATATAGATTTAGTTCCAATAGTTTTTACTGCATATTACAAGCTCTTCTTAATGCTGGATAAGAGATAGCTATGTAGTTTCAAATCTCTTTGTATGTAGAACTCGGAGTTCTGTAGTTTAAATAGACCGATGGAGTTACTAGATTTTCATTGCCTTCCATAATTTATCCCTCTTACTTTGGATGTTCATTTTGTATGCCAATATAAATTTTTCCTTTTATCAGACTCCACTATTCATGGTATTTTTAAATGTTTACTTTTTAATGTTTTCTTTTGAAGTAATTCACATTGAATTGCTTTGATTTTTCTGATTAACAGTATAGGGGTGTTTAATTAATTTTGAAATGCTATTAGATAATCTGTCTCCTAGTTTGTTCCTTGACTAACATATTTGTAAAAAGGCAATTTAACCTAGCCATATTACGGCAAATTAATAAACTATGATACAACTCAGTAATAATGCTAACTTAAAGTTATCTTATAGTTGGTGCTCTAAGCCATAACATGAAACATAAACTAAGAGTTATCTTGTAATTTTAGATTTTGGTATTAATCATCATCATAAGTAAATTAGAGTGTCTGCTAGGTTTGTTCAAAGTTAAACATATTTTAGTGTGTTAAGAATTTACAGTTCAAGATTGAGATTATTCCAGCTTAAGAAATTATTCAATTTTTAAAAATAAGAGACCTTCAGTTATTAACCCACCTAACCGTTTACCTAAACGTTTTTGTGCTTTTCAGTGTGAAATCATAATTTTGAGTGTATTTGGTTCTCGAAAGTGTTATTTTTTATGTTTTAGGGATAGTATGTGACATTAATCTGTACAATGTATATATTAAATTGTAAGTTCAAAATTGCAGTGACATACAAATGCCTGAATATATTATTTATAAAAAAGTAAACAATATCTTAGTCCTGAAATAAAGTTGTATTCAGTTAATAATTGAGAGTTTTTAATCACAGAGTGTCAGAAAAAATGCTATTGGAGACCTGAGAACTACCCTCACTTATGTTCACCATTTTCACCATGTATAACATTGCAATGGACTTATCGGGATAATAGGCTTGTCAATCTTCCATGGGCACTTCTTTGCAAAGGTGATGTGATAATGTTAAGACCTGGTCAAGCTGCTCCTGGAAACTTAATCCAACAGGTAATAAGATGAAATATTAGTATATACTTAATTGATTTTTTAATTGATTTATTATATAATGGATTGGTTTTATTAATTGTAATTCTATCTTGGGTTTATATTCACTTTTAAATTAATTTTTTTAATTAATTTACTTTTCTTGTAGGAAAATCATTCATCATTTTTGGCTTATGGTGATGTTTACAGTCCTCCACAAAAACATGAAACTATAAATGTTCCTACAGCGCGAATTCCATTTAAAAACAAAAGGTAGGTGTTAAGAATTTTAAAAATAATTTTATTTCTTATATTATATAAATTATTAAACCATATCTTATGAATGATACGATCTATTCAACCTCTAATTTTATTAAGTTTTTCATATTTATAATTTTTACAATTTATAATATATATATATATATATATATATATATATATATATATATATATATATATATATATATTTATAATTTCTTAGACTCCTCCAGAATTCCTATAAAGACCATTCTACCCCAACACCTCCTTAACCTAATCCACACCAAATGCCGTGCCAGATTATTATGGCAACGTACCCGACATCCTACCGACCGCTGCTCCTATAATTACTACTGCAAACAATTAGCCACCTTCAGATCACAATCCTTCAACTCCTACCTATCCTCCCTCTCTTCTCGCGACAATTCCCTTTGGAAAACCACAACCAAAATCCTAAATCCTCACCGCATTTCCCATCCCCTCCGACGAGGTGATGGCTCCTGGGCAGCATCTGACGAAGATAAAGCTTAGGAGTTCGCCATTCACCTATCCAATACATTTATTTCACATCCGGAATCCCATCCTGCCCACACCGTAACAGTAGAAGAACTCCTTACATCACCAATCGCACTTTCCTTGCCCCCAAAAGGTATTCATCCTTCCGAAGTAAAATTTCAATTAAAAAAACTAATCCCTCATAAAGCTCCTGGACATGATCTCCTTACACCTCAAATCCTTTGACAACTTCCATCCAAAGCAGTCATATTTCTTACATATATCTACAATTGTATCCTACGCACCACCCACTTCCCTCTGTTATGGAAACACTCCACTATTATCCTTTTCCCAAAACCAGGCAAACCTCCCAATAGCTCAACATCCTATAGACCAATCAGCCTACTCCCAATCCTTTCAAAATTTTTTGAAAAGATCCTTTTGAAACGAATCCTACCCATTATAGAATCCCAAAATATCCCTTCCCATCAGTTTGGTTTTTGCTCTCAACATTCTACTGTTCAACAAGGACTCCGAGTTGTTGATCATATTTCCTCAGCCCTAGAAAACAAGGAATACTGTTCGGGTTCCTTTCTGGACATTGCACAGGCATTTGACCGGGTATGGCACTCCGGACTGCTCTCCAAGCTTAAAATCCATTTACCTCAGTCCTTGTACCTAGTCCTCCGATCCTACCTCTCTGACCGCTCCTTTCGAGTTTGCTGTGGAACAGAATTTTCCAATATCTACTCCGTTAAAGCCGGTGTTCCCCAAGGCAGCGTCTTGGGTCCCGTGCTTTACATCCTCTTTACTGCTGACATCCCTGTTCAGCCCGATACTTTTCTTGCAACATTCGCTGACGACACCGCAATCTTATCATCCAACTCTGATCCCAACATAGCATCCTTAAATCTCCAAAACCACCTCACCTTGATTGAGCACTGGTGTAATAACTGGCGCATTAAAGTTAATGAATCTAAATGCCAACATATTACTTTTACACTCCGACGCAATTCCTGTCCACTAGTACTCTTTAATTCCATCCAGCTTCCTTACTCAGACACAGTCCGGTATCTTGGCTTTCATTTAGACCGAATACTAACTTGGAACCCGCATACTAGACTCAAAAGACAAGAACTCAACCGACGATACGGCCAACTATACCGACTACTAAGCAGAAAATCTAAACTTTCCATTGAAAACAAGCTACTGATCTACAAGACAATACTGAAACCTATTTGGACTTACAGACTAGAACTGTGGGGATCAGCAAAATTTTCTGACATCAAGTGCATCCAATCCTTCCAGTCTAAAGTTCTTCGAACAATAGTCGATGCTCCTTTCTATGTAACTAACAAAACCCCACATCATGACCTCAACATCCCATTTGTCCTAGACCTTATCCCAGAAAAGTTCTCCAAATTTCACCAGAACCTTACTTACCACCCAAATCCTCTTGCACAATCCCTATCAAGCACTTCCCATCCCTATAATCCTCCAAGAAGGTTGAAACGGCAGTGGCCTCGCGACCTTTTGTAGATTGTATAAATTGGAGTTCTGGCAATGGCCAGATTCTTCACTCATGAGACATGAGTGTATGTGGCTAAAGTGCTCTCGATCAATCTCCGCTGGCTTTAGTACCAGTGACGCGGTTGGGAGAGTAGCGCAGGGTTCTCCTGGAGTTCCCTCGCCTGATTCTATATAGGTATGCATGTGTTTTTTTTTTTCTTAGTTTTAATTTTCTTATTTTTTAGGTTATTTTATTTTATTGTCTATTGTATATACTTTTGATTATTATTTTGTTCTATTTATTTTATTTGTTTGTACAAATAGTGTGAATATCATCCTACCTCACTATAACCAATGTCCAACAGACAGATTGTTATAATACTCAATAAAGAAATTAAAAAAAAAAAAATAATAATAATAATTTTTACATATAAGCAAATTTTCTGATATTAAATTTGGTGAATGATTCCATTTGTATAACTTTTATTTTTATAATATTCATCTAGAATTAGTCATTACAATTGTTTCTTATTGCTTATTTGACTCCTCAGTAAATAAATAACTCAGAGAATATTTATATTTGTTTTGTTTTTTTCAGATTTATTTTAACTGAGACACCACTATTGAGAAATATTAAAGATGTGCTTGATGCTAATTTACAGAAAAACTGTGTTACTTCTTTTGATAAACAAATTCATATGTTGATGACCAAATGCATTCAAAATATTGCAGTGCCATTGATTTTGGTATTTCAGTTTTTATATTTTGCTTTAAATGATTAATAAGGTTGTGGTTTTCATTTTACAGGAAATTTTAATCCATGATAACTTTTACTCAATTAGCAGATTTTTAAAAGTTCTTGTATCTGGTAAAGTAGCAGTTCTTCCTAGTGGAATATCTATAGGTTAATAATTATCTAAATATGAAATATATAAGATAACTTAAGCATTCTGAATTGTTAAAAGTGAAATATGTTTGTATCCTTTCCAAACTTGGCCCTTCCCATGGAGCCTACCCTCTTGAATTTGCATCATGAAATAAGTACCTTTAATGTTTTCAGGATCATGATCATGGCTGTTATTATCATGGTGCCTTTCAAATTATTATATTCATTTTACTATAGGATGTTGTAAGACATTTTACAGAAAAAATATTTTTTTAATGTATGTAACCACGGTTTTGGCTGACAAAAATAAATCTTTATGCCATTACCCACATTTTCTAATCATGAATATTTTGAAGGAGATAATTCAATTTTTTTTTTCTTTTCTTAGTCTACTTACAAACGTTAATTGTCGAAAATAATAAAACAAAAAAAAAAAGAAAGTTAATTCTTGTTATAGGTGATAAATATTCAGGGCGCAGTCATTTTAAAGGTTTTTATTGGTGCCAACAGTTGACTAAATTCCTTTAGTAATTCTTACTATTTGAATTATTTTGATTTGTGAAAAATTGGGAAATGAAATTTTTATTAAAATATCAATACTAATCCTAACAGGCAACAATAACAACATTAGAAAATCCTGGTGTTTGCTTGTAATTGACATGCCATGTAATTGAAAATTACTACTCTTCTGGAAAGTAAAGCCTTGTTTGGAATATGTTTTGACTACTTTTGCAGACATATCATTCTTTTATAACTATTTGTGTTTACATCATTAGAATCACTTAAGTATATAAATAATGGGAGAAAATTGGTTTGTTATTGTAGAATTTTCGGACTTATTAGTATTAAATTAAAGTTTTATACATTAGTATTGACAGGAGTGCTATCAGTGGGTAGTTTCTCTTCATGTTGTACATGGCATGTTACTAATTTCATATTTAATTGTTGTATTTATCATTTAAATGCAGTTGTAAAGTTCAATAAAGAAAAAAAATCTGGTGCATGCAACACGCAACTTTCACTTACCGCTCTACTTTGAATAGAAATTATTTTCTGGCAATGTTGGGCTATTACAAATTTTTTGTAGTGTATTTTAAACAGAGCTAAAGCTTAAAGCTTACAGATAACAAATCATTAAGTCCATATAAATTACAAATGTCTATTTATTATATCGACGGTAGGCAATAAAAATCTAGTTCCTCCATCTAATTTTATAAACTACACAACTTTTTATACTTTTATAACACCGTGAATAAAGGTATACATTTTTCCACTAGAAACATCAGTAAAATTAATAATATAGAATATGAAAATTGGAGTTAAAAATTCTGTCAACAGAAAGGCTCATATATGCCTAGAGAAAGTACATCTGAATATTTAACCTATAAATGATTATCGATTATCGGACTATTAGTTATTAAACTGTTACTTTTCATTGTAAAGTTTACTGAAATGATATTAACAGATTTTCATTGCCTACCATGGTTAGGTCAAAAGTTGTTACACTATTGTAAGTGGATAATGTTGGGATTTCACGAAGGAAAAATTCATGAAATTATTCACTAATTTAATTTTCTAAAAGATGACTTTATGATGTTTTGGAATAAACGACCAATAGATACCTGATTATTTAAATATAATATCTCTAGAGTTATTGAACTTCAGTAAATATATGCAAGGTTATAAACATATCCATGAAATATTTTTATATTACACTTCTTTCACCCAAGTACAATGAAATAATATTTTAAACGATGGCATTTGCTTGATTCGGTGAATTTTAAATACTTTTTTGCTTTACTTAGAAAAAATTAAAAAGTTTACATTTAGTAAGTAAATTTCATTTGAAACATGTGATTTACGTTAAATAATGTTAGTTTTCTGAAAATATTATTTCTATTATTCTATTTTAGTAAGAATATTTCATTTAATTTCCTTGGAAACTTGTGATTTACGTTAAATAATGTTAGTTTTCTGAAAATATTATTTCTATTATTCTATTTTAGTAAGAAAATTTTTATTTAATTTCCTGGGAAACATGTGATTTAGATTAAATAATGTTAGTTTTCAGAGATTATTATTTATATTTTATTCATCACTCTCTGTTACCTTCTACAACTTTATTTATTTGATATTATTTTTTCTAAAATTCTCTGCTTTCCAATTATATATTATACATATACATTCTGACTGTTATTTCCAAAGATTCATTTTCAACCTGGATAAGCATTTTTCTTCAGTTTCCAATTAGCATATTCTTTCAAACCTTATATTTAGCAATTTTTTATAGTTAATGTCAATAATAGAGAGTTCATTTTTTTAAATAATCCATATTAAAGGTACTTTAGAAGAAGACGCATATGAACATTGGGAATTTAATTGCCCTGTAAAGTGACATGAACGGGGATAAGACCTAAATGATATTAAAGAGAACTTAATTATACAATGATGCACCGAGTTTAATCAAAATCGTTAGTGCCATTTTTGAGAAAATTGTAAAAATGTGTTTCACCGTTGATATTAAATGGCACTTCCTGTTAATCAATTATAAGGAAAAAGTTGCTGTCACATCTAAGGCATATATCTATCTTAGAAACTTAATATCAGTTTCATACAAATTTTAGTTTTTGAGCTAGGCTGTTCACATACACAGACAAATTTTTCGGGGCTTGATTATTTGGATTCAGGGGATCTCAAAACGTGTATATCTGTTGAAAATTCAGATTCAAAAGTTTTCACGATCGCAATATTTTCCCTTACTATATGTATCCATAAATAGGTAAATGAAAGTAAAATAAGTATTAACATTTTAGATCTAAATTAATTATTAATAAATAAATAACTATTGTTGTTTTTAGATATCTACGATACTGTTGGGGCTGTTGAGGACAGTATACGTCGATAATTGGATTGGCAATGGCCACTGGACTGTTACGTTTCTACTTACTCCCTCTTGTATTATGATTTCTCTTCTTCCTATTTGCTTTCCCGCTTGTTGGATTGCTTTGCATACTCTTGGAAATGCTAAACTTTCTGCTTTTCTGCAATCAAGTTCCACTATCAAGGTATGTTGTCAATTTATCTTACTTATGTAATACAAAATACACAAAACTTTTCAGCCATAAACTACTGCTGTAAACGTAACTCATGGCCAGATCCCGGATTTTTATGCTATTGCATATTTTGTTTGCATGATTTTTTTAAAATACTGATCAAATATCTATAGGAATTAGTAAACTGTGATGCAATTAGCCAAATTTTATTTTGCATATTTGAGGATAAATGCATATAACTGCATATTTGAGGATAAATGCATATAACTGCATGTTAGAGGACAAATGCATTTAATTGAATTTTTGAGGATAACTGCATATAATTGCCTATTTTGATTAATTTAATGGAAGAAACAAAAAATATATATGTAAAAGAATATTTGTTTATTTATATATACAAATTAAAATGCAACTTTGGATATGCAATGCAACATCTCAATCGTAGGTTTATTTTCAATGAAAAAAACAACAAAATCTACCACTTTTGTGGACTTTATAGCTATACCCTTTAATAATTCTCTTTATAGATGAACACCAATTCCTAGAAATTCTATATTTCTGCTTCTTGTCCCATGTAAACATCATACTAAGTTTCTGTTGCCTACATTCTTTGCAAGAGATCTTATTGCTGTTTATTTAAAATGCCAAAAGTATGTTCATCATTTTCATCAAAGTTGAAATCTTGGATTGAACCTTACAACAGACATGAAACAGTTTATACAAATGATGGAAATCAAGTGGTAACAGGCCAAGTGGGCATTAAGCAAAAAGCAGGCTATTCCCCTTTTTTTTCTTGTATATACTTCGTGTTAATGTTGTTAGTTGGAGTCTTGATTATAGTTATAGTATTTTTTTTTTTTTTTTTTTTTTTATAATTTTATGTTCAATTAGATGGTTTATGATTTTTATCAAAGTTTGGAAAGCTTGAGATAAAATATCATCAAATATCAATTTATTTTTTAAACAGTTTACTCGATAGATGTATCACTTTAACCTGCTGGGGGTATTCCACTTATGTTCCAGTTTACTCATGATAGATGATTAGCATTATTCTTGTATATAATTGGATATTGTGATAAAGTAATGTTTTAAAATTATTCTCAATATAATGTTTTATTTTCAAGTTAATTTATTATTAGCCATATTTACACCAATTTAAAAAAAAAAATTGTCACTTAATGACTACTCATCACAATGATGACGTTTCGGCCAAATTTGAAATAAATTAGCTAATATTACTTAAAATAGATCCACATATAATATTGAGAAACAGCATTATATATGTTTATAATAAATAGTCTTCCCCTACTCCTATAAGAATAACCAGTCACTGAATAGAAATGAGATGGATGACATGTGGGTGATTCAGAAACAAGGTAATTTTAACTTATTTGAATCATATAATAGTAAAGAATGGAGTAATAATAATGTTGTAAAATAGTTAAAGGTGAACATGACAATAATATGGAATTTTATTATGAGTAGACGCTTGCAATTCGCATAAGTGAAAAGGACAGGTACATGATGGGTATTTTAGGTACATAATAGGAATCTTTATAATTTGAAATATGTTAAAGTTAATATATGCTTGTAAATGAAAATTTTTTTAGACTTGAAAATGGCTCGACGAGCCGAAACTTCGTCATTGTGATGAGTAGTCATTAAGTGACAAAATTTTTTTAAATAATGTTTTATTTACATTTTGAAAGTATACATAACAATGTTTTCAACAATTTGCATATCAATTGTTTTAATGTTCCAAATCTTTAACAGACTGCTGATCCATTTGAAGATGTTTCGATCGATGAGGAGAAAGTTGAGGATATTGTTACTGGAGTGAAATGGAGTCAGCACTTTATTCATGCCTTACTTGGTAAACAGCATTCACTCACATTGGCGCGATCTTCCAATCCTCTTCATATACTTGGATCTGTAACTGTAAGTAGCAGCCTAATTACATATGTATTACATTACTAATAATTTCCATCACCAAAATATTAAGGACATTGCATATTTTTACTTTACATTCCACTTCATTTGCCTTTGATCGCCATTTATTTTCAAATCATAATTGTATAATATTATTGTACTATGTTAATTAAATAGAGCAATATTGAAGTCCTTAAATGATAATCTTGGTACTAACTTTTTTAAAATAATTTATTTATTCACAATTTGAACAAAAATCTCTTACCTCATAGCTTTATGACTTAAAAATGAGCAGAAATTGTTTTTAAAAATATTAGATTGCGTTGCTTAACACGTACGATAAAAAAATTTTCCTTCTTAGAGGAAAGTTGTACTTGAGGAAAGTTGACATTAAAAAACAGTTCCAATTTCCTGTAATTCTTCATTCCATGTTAGTTTTCGTGAAATGCATATGTTTGTCAACTATAAATATATCTGTATTGAAAATATTTAGTTTATGTTGTTATTAGGTGTAAACATAACTTTTAAATATTAATAAAATCGTAAATATAAAAAAAGTCAATAATGAAAAAAAATTATTTATTGTAAAATAATTTTTTTTTCTATTATTTGGGTCCACGTCATTATTATTATTACTTGTATGGCAGATATCAATTTTTTTTTCTTACTAGCCTGGCCCTTAGTTATAGATTTGTTTCTTATAATGTATCAAATTTTAATATTACTTACCAATTTGAGAAAGATTTGATCGGGATGCGGTCAAATTAAATATCATTATAATATATAGTATTTAATTTGACCGCACCCTCAATCAGCTTCATCTCAAATTATAATCACGATCAACTATTTCCACAACATTACTTACCAATTGTTTCCTTATGGGTGGATATGAAAACTTCTGAACTTAATTCTTTTTTAATGTGAAAGTTGATACATTAAAAAATGGTCCTCATGATATATGTATTATCCTACCTCAAGTTTTCGGCTATACAGGATTTTCCAAGGGCCAGTAGAGAGGACTGTGGATTATGATCATCACCCAAGCCTTCTTAAAATTAAGTTAGCAGCAGTATTTTCTGGACCTATTAGAACTTTTCAGCATTCCTAATACTTTTAGTTTTTCTAATTATGTATTTCTTAAAGAGAACCTTTTACTACCCTTTGAATTTCACAATTAATTAGGCTCTGCTAATGTAAAATATCACTTTCTGTCTATCAAGAAGATTAATTTTTGTAATTTTCTATAAAGCAGATAACTTAAGATGTCAATAAAAATGATAGGAGTAGGAAAATTTATTGTGCCATGTAAAATTTACTTATGATCTAAAAAAGTGGAGTTTTCTATTGATAAAAATGAATGAAAATTCCCAAAAGACCTGCGAAAAGTCCTCAAAAAAGTTTGAGTTTCCTTCTGACTTCTTGGTTCTTGTGCTTGGAAGCCTCACAACTCATAGGTGATATTTCTGCCTGCTGCACGCTCTTTATAATCTTATAAGAGCCCTGTCACTGTACACCAGGTGATATGCATTTAATCATAACAATTTGAAACAAGCCCAGAGAAAGTATGTCTTAGGTATTTGATATTCATCGAACTCCTTTTTTGATATTCATCGAACTCCTTTTTTGATATTCATCGAACTCCTTTTTCTAAGTTGAAGACACATTTGTCCCTCATAGCAGGATATAGGTGATTATTACTCATTTGTCAATTATTTTATATTTAAATTACTTAATTAAACACACCAAATAAGATTATTTAGCGCTCAGCCATTAATCAATTATAAGGACATTGAAATCATTTTATGACTATATCTCGCTTATATTTATTAGTATTAGTTTTTTTTTTTTAATCTTTATTTGTTTTCAGGAAAGAACCGTATACAAATATAGTCTATCTCTATATTATAAACATTATTAATCTTATTGTATTACAATATATTTTTTTCTTTTTTCTGCTACATTATAAATATTACAATAATCTAAAAGATAACTTAAAAATCACATTTATTAAAAAATCTGATACTTAAAACAATGTCAATTATCAACATCAATATAAAATCTAAAATTAGCAATAGAACACATAACAACAATAAATAAATTGTATGCTTTAAGTATAAATATCAAATCACATACTAAAATTAAATTACCAGATCATTTACATAAAAAAAGAAACAAAGAAGAGAACGAGACCCGAAAAATCTGTTCAGCATTTATCGTAATCCATGCCGACATCCAATCTACATTTTTATTACAATACTCAGAGGACAACACCGTAGATAACCCCACCAAATCTCTATAATTACATATTTTAATGATTAAAAAAATACAGTTTTCTCATATCATCCATAGTGGTTGGCATGATTCCATTAAAATTTCTGATACCCTAGTAAGTTCTTACTCTCAAATTGTTATGTATTGGGGATTTAAATAATAGATGATAAATGTTTCTTTTTCCATTGTATTGCACATTGTGCACTCAAGTTGTGGATTGATTTTAAAAATTTAATTGTTAACTGAAATTTTAACTAATTGTTTTCCCAAGAGGTGTATCTGCATTAATACTCTGCTATATTTGAAATTAGCTGGCATCAACAGATACTGGGAGATTCTACCATTGTTAAAAAAACATGTTTCAAATGTCCACTGTAAGCTGAGCTATGCAATGCTTTCTTGTCATTCTGCAAATGTCGTTTATATTTGTTTAATATCTTTTTAATATTAGCTCTAATTATGACTAGTTTTATAAACCAAACCGCCTTCCTCTATAGTATCTAACAATACTTTCCGCTGAGTATACCAATTATATTTCGAAAGAATAGAATTAGATCGGTAACATTTGGTTCTTAGCTTTTCGAAACATATTTTAGGATATCTAAATTCCTCCATTTCCACAAGCTTAACCAACTAATTCAAAGAATACTTCATAAAATCAAAACTAATATGAACAGAACCTGTTTCTAAATGTATGTATAAAAGTCTGGGATGGATTTACAAATAGAAAATGTGTTTTTATAAAAATTTATTTTGATCTTATCTAAGAGGTTTATTAAATAACTATTACTAAGAAAAGATCTTAGTATTAGTTATTTAATCAAACTTATAGTTTATAATAATAATAATAATAATAATATATTTATTCTGGGACAATTCCCTTTAGAATAATACATAAGGACAGTAATGTTGGCTAAGGAGCCTCAAAGATACATAAAAAAAAAATGTTGAGAAATGAAATAGTCGTATTAAAAATTATATGTTACTTTCTAAATTAAATAAGTTCATAATAAAATATTTTAAAATAAAGTAAAAATGATGAAGAACAATCTAATAATTTATATACATATTTACAGTGGTATCTATTTACAATTTTATTGTTACTGAATGGATAAGAAATGATTGAACAGGCGAGATTTAAAGGTAGGAAGGGTATTGGATTGATGGATGTGGGAAGGGATGGAGTTCCGTAAGGATGAGGATCGGATTATATCATATTATAGGCTGTGTTCATTCATATAGAGGCTCATTGTGATTTCTTTAATGTATTGCATTGTTTAAGATTGGCTTCAGTACTTATTTCTTCCCATCTTATCTCTTTTTTATTAATTAGTAAAACCGATATGAAATTTAAGTCTAATAAAGTCATAGCAGGAAAACAAATATCTTTTTCAATTATTTATTTTACTTAGATCTTCTATCTATAGTTTATTTCAATAAGATTAAATGTTAGTTAGTATTTTATTTTCTCTTTATTTGGCTGCTTTGTCAAGTTTGGAGTTGTATAGTTCATTTGTAATTTTTTCTGCTTGAGGACCCGTTTCCACCAAGAACATTTTTTTCTTCTTTCCATTACTAATATCTTCAGAAAACAACATAACTATTGGTTTATCTTGAAGTTTCAAAATAATATAATCATCTTGCTTTTCTCTACTAATACTTCTAATAGTTATCTGATCGTTCTCCACATTGAGAGGTGTACCTATAGAGAACAATTTTAATATTTATTAACTTTTATTAATTGTTAATAATAATAGTAAATCTTTTATTGTATTTTACCTGTTGTATATACCATAAATACAATGCTATAGAAAAATGGCAGTATTCGCATGTCTTATAATCATTATTATTAACATATAATATCTTTATTATGTGTTATAATATATTTTGTTTTGTATTGTTATTTACAGATGTTAAATATACTTATTTTTGTTTATTTTGGTATTTGTTTCTTTGTTTATGTTATGGATGTATTCTCTATTTCAGGCCCTTTGTTGTGTTGACAAAAAAGGCATTCTTTCTTGGCCGAACCCTACTGCAGAAAAAATATTTTTTATGAAAACTGTTGATAAAACAAATCTCACCAGGTTTGTTAAATAATGTCTACTTCTATGTTATTTTCTATTTTGTTTACCAATAGATTTATAAGTATATTTTAACTTAAGGAATACAACTATTGATGAAAATGTAAGTGATGTATACGATGCCGATGAAATTCTTCCTGCAGAAAGTGAAGAAGTGAAAACAAATGAAGTACTACCTTCAGGTATCTGCTATGTGAATTCTAAATTTATTAATATCTCAATGCACTAAGCACATTTATTATACACTAGCTTTGCACCATGGTATCACTTTTTACCAAAGCGACATGAGGGTTATGCGTTTGTTCGAAATTCGGATAATAAATGCATGTTTCATACAACTGATGAGCAAATGACCAAGTGCACCTTATTAACTGAAAAACATCTGACATTAATACATTGAATTGTTCGGACAATAATGCAAGGTTTCATATATTCTTAATATTAATAATAACCTTCTGTATAACAAACTGTTTACATTTGGGGGATTATTCTTCTGTGTGGGAATCAAAACGTATTAATAAAATGTTTTTTTCTTCTGTATAAGTTCATTAGTTGGAAATATTGGGTTGCCTGGAAAATTATGCAGGATTTTGGTTTAAAAAGAAAAAGGAAAGATTTACAACTGTTGTATTTATTCAAATAGTCTCCACTACTATCAATACATTTCTGCCAACATGTTGGCAATTTTTCCATTTCCTCAGAATAGAATTTCCCATCTTTAGAATTGATAAACTCCTAAAACACATTTTCTAATTCCCTTTGTCCATTAAATTTTTTGTCATGTAAATAGTGGTCCGGTCCAGGTGTTAAAAAAAATGATAATCCGTAGACGAGAGGTCTGGAAAGTAGGGAGAATGTTGCAGAGTTTCATATCCAAGCTCTAACAGTTTTTGTAACGTCACACGTGAAGCATGTGGCCAGGCGTTGTCATGCAACAAAATGGACCCCTTCCAATAGACAAAAAATGGCTTCATTATTGCCAATTTCTGATGCATTGCATTAATTTTGTTACAATACGATTCGTCATTGATGGTTTCTCCGGGGTTTTAAGAAGCTGTAGTGTATCAAACAAAATGAAGCCCACCAAACAGTAACCATCACCTTTTTTTGATGAGTTGGGGGCTTTAGAAAATGTTGTGCCACTGTTCAGAATGTCTACTGTTATTGTAGAGTATCAAATTTTCACCACAAGTAGTAATGCTAGAAAGAAAAGGGTCTTTTTTTTCGGCTAAGAAGTTTAGCACAAACTTCATAACGCTGGATTTTTTGGTGGTCGCTTAATGTGTGTGGAACCCAACTTTCAAGATTTTTTGATCACACTATAAATGGGATTCTGAAAATGGCAAAATATTGATGTGTTCACAGTGTAATCTCCCTTTATTTAGATCACAATTTACAATTCTGACAAACTCTCCACCGGTCCTTTTCAATGTTCATTAGCTTTAATTTCATCACTGCTGTCAACTCCTGCTTGCTCTAATGAAATAAGCAAACCTCCAATGGGTCCTTTTTAGCAAGCCAGGAAATGCAGGAAAACCATAAATCCACATTAATTTTTGGACAACCCAATAGAATACTGAAGGACCAATCACAAAAAAAACTTTTTTCAACAGAGTATTTTGTAAACTATTTAAAGGAACCTCACTATATTTCAGAATATTTTAATTTATTCTGAAATACGTAGATACTAGTTTTCTCCCCAACTTGTTCTAGATAAGACAACATATAGTTGTCTTGTCGATTCAAATTTACTTAAAATGTCAATCCTGCACCTTACTAGTGACTACCTAAAGATCCCATAATGGAAAGCTATTTTAACACCATTGCCTTCTTTTATCCAGATTTATTAATGTTTACGGGTTTGCTGCTTTATTTTTATGAGTCACAACATGGTGTTATTAAGTTTTCCTCAGTAAATGATCTATTTAATGTAAAAATAAATTCAAATCAGGCTGATGCTTCGTTAGATAGTGAGTTCTAACAAACAAGCTGTTTAGATTTATAATTACTAGGTTATTGAAATGACAATAAGAAATCATTGTAAGTTTCAATTAATTTTAAAATTTCTCAATATCCAGCTACAAACTATGAAGGAAATTTTGATCCAGCTCAAAATGTTTTCCAGCAAGTCTAAGGCATCTCAGGCACTAAGGATTGCATCACATGGAATGAGACCAGTGAGACCAGCTAGGTGCCTAAATACTAGTGAATTTGTCCATTTTCTATTTCTTTTGTAGCCTGTGAAGAAATTGTCTTATAACCCATGTGGGTCGCTCTTTGACTTTAGTTAGTTTCAACAGTTCACTGTGAAGATTTCTTTGTCAACTTTAGTCAAAAAAGTGATATTTTGCTAAAATACTCTGTTGATATTCAGTTTATTATAACATACAAGTGAAATACAGTTTAGATACATGATTTTAATTGAATTTGATTGGTACACAGTGAATTTAATTTTCCTTATAAAATGTTGCAGGATTGCAAAAAAAATAAAAAAATGTTGAATTCTGTATGAATGAACATAATTTTGATGTTCTACTTTCTAACATAGAGGAATCAATACGAAAACAGGTAGTTTTTATAGTATAACCCTAGGTTATACAGATATAGGTCTAGGATTTTTAAGGAATATAAAATGGGAACTTTGTTTTCATGAATCATTTCATTGCTAAATAAAAGAAAACAGCTCATTTGCTAAGCACCCTTTACAGATGGTCCTGCCCTGGTACTACTATCGGTACTATATAAGAACAATACTGTTCTTAGGCCATATTCCCTTCAAAAGTGACGAGTTATGTGACTGGTGGCAAAGGTGGTTGATTGGTGTGTCACCTATTACCACCGAACTAGTTTGCTGCATGACAAACCTAAATAAATTAAATAAGTAAAAGGAAACAACTTGGTTTGTTACTATAAGACAGGTGGTAGTGTATACAAAATAAAATTGTGATTATCATATATTTGGCTATAACAACTGTAATTTAAAATCTTGTTACTATTCTCTAAGATTATACACCTTTGTTTCTGCATTTCACTGTTATTATTTCTTTGATTGAGATCATTATAATTTGTATTTGCTTAAAATAATTTAAGAGTAATGCTGTTTGTTGTAAAACTTTATGTTTCATGTTATTCAGATCACAAAAGTTCATGTAATAATGAAAAAAAATTTTTTTCATATTTATAGCCTAAGATAAAATATTTTGTTATTAGATGTGAAAATAGTTTTGTGGTTTTGTATTTCTTTTTTCTTCATGAGAGCTTCAAAATATTTTGTAATTGATTTATGTTCACCTTGGAGGTAGATAGACCAAATAAAATTTTTATTATTGTTGTTTTTTCACTAGATTTATGCACTAGAGTGGAAGTACTAGATCTGACTCATGACCTATCTTGTCCATTCAAACTTCAATTTGATGATACCCGATGGTCGGAACATCTGGGTTCTTTAAAACCCATCGGACTGGCTATTCTTCTCAACACATGTAATATGGCCACTCAGGAGCACTATGTTCAGTTCTGCTCACATGTTACATGTGAGGCACTTTATAATGAAGACCTTGTCCCTGTTACGAACCGGAGGTAAAGCTGTTTGAATTTATTGGAACCGTAATCAATGCATCTTGTCCTGCAAGCTTTTTGTTCTGTTTTTAATTTTATATATTACTTTATTATTTTTCAGTTATTTTTTGGGCTTACTCTTCCAGTTTTATTTTTTATAATTAAATTTGTTTGTAGTATATTCAATAAAAAAATATTTTTATTTGTTCAATAGTTACTTTGTTGATTGTATATAAATATACTGTAATATACATGGTGAGTCAGAAGGATCGGACTAAATTCCAATAGTGGGTTGAACACAGAAAAATAATAGAAAAAACTCATATGTTATTATACAATACTAATTTGTTTAAATTTTATTGGCTTATTACAATTTTAAAAAAATCATAAATAAACATTATTTCTTACATATATTAATATTTTGGTTATTGAAGTCTTATTTTAATAAATGTTCAGAAGTACCACCATTGAGTTTAACATTTTTGGCTTTACCTTTGATGAATGACTGTTCTCCTGATTGTTTCATACCTTCCTTTAATGATGCCTGCATCATTTTTAATACGTTGAATTAGTGCATTCCGAGTATCTACTTTATTTGATACACTCCATATTTGAATGGCCTGTGTCATGCTGAATGTACATTTGCATTCTGATGCCTAGAACCTGTCTTGACTCTAGTGATGCCAGTTTGAATCTGGTTGAAAGTTATTTTGTGGTGAACTCATGGCCTGAGATTTGGTTATACCTCAAGGAAAACAAATCCCCTTTATGTGAAAGATGTCGAGGTAGAAGGAATTGAAAAAAAAAAAAATGTTTAGAGAAACATCCTTTAATCTTCTTTGTAATTCGCATTGTAAAAAATTTAAGATGTAATCTCTTGTGAGATAATTCTTAAAAATGAAAGAGCCAGTAAAGTAACCGTCAATAACACCACACCACACATTTACCGAAAAACACTTATATTAAGTAAAGCAAACGAAAACAAGAATGAAATAACTGGTACAGTTGACATAGGTTCTGATCTGATAGTCACTTTTTTTACAATCTGTTGTAAACATAATCATATTGTTGGGATATTCTTTGTGATTTTTTTTTTTTTGTAAACAGTCAATAAAATTTTAACATATCTAAATGGGATTAGCTTTTTTTTTATTATTACTTTCCTCTTTGTAATTTGCTGCTGAAGTTTGACTGATTCCTCCTGACACTCTGTATGTGCACTATTTTTTATCACAAGGAAGAAAGATAACTGAATAGTTGGTTTTTCTATCAACAGTTAAACCAAGGGGTGGATGGGAACATTTAAATACAGGTGGAATTCCAGGCACTATCTAAGAAGAGGTTTTTTATATTTCTTGATGAAGATTATTTAATTAAAAAATGAGGGTATTATGGAATCAAGATCATTAAAGATAGTAAAAAAGAAATCAACTATAGCAGTATCTTGAAATCAGATTTTAAAAATGATATTGGAAGATAACGTAAAAAAGAGAAAGTGTAATGTGTGAATTTGAATCCAGCCTGGGTGTATCATAGGTATTGACATATGATCCCATGGACCAATCAAATTTTAAGTTATACAAAATAAAATAAAGAAGACCTGAAAAAAATAAAAACAACCAACAGATCATCGACAGTTACACTGTAAAATCTATTTTATTGTAAGATGTGAATTTCATCTTCTCTAGTCGATCTTGGCTTAAGAATTACTCAGAAATTATCACCAAAAATGTTACTTAAAATATTATATCTTTGTCTTATGAATGCAATCAAAATTGAGCAGAAAATCTCATTCACAACATAAAAAAATCACAGGCTTTTGTAACATATCAATTAATATTTAAAATCTTGTCTATTTAAAAAAATTATTAAATGTTACATTAATTATCATATAAAACAAAACTTTAAAAGAACAAAAAGTATTTAAATTAAATATTTTTCCTCCATGCTACTGACAGACTTTGTTGGATACTCTAAAGAAATATATTACTAACACAAATTAGAAGATTTATTTATTTATTTTATTTTTTCTGGAAAAGTTCTCAGATCTATGTAAATTTCGAATGTAAAAAAAAAAAATAAATAAATACTTTATAAATTGTGTTATGAATAAAGACAAATCAATTGTTTTAAAATTATGTTTATTTATATTACATTATTTTTAGTCAGAAATATGAAATAATTAAAATAGTAACTTAAAAATTTGTCATGGAATAAATTTCTGAAAGTTCACAAATAATGATTATTGGTCTCTGGATCCAATGGGCTCTGAATTCTTTCAAGAAAATCACAACCACAGAAACGGATAAACAGACAATCACTTTGTAATGCTTTCAATAGGTTGATGAATTAGTGGAAAATGTTGAGTAATAAAAAACATTTTCTCCATTGGTGATGGGAAGAATACCTGGGAACAGGGACTGTGAAGTTCGAGGGAACAAGTGTCACTAATTAAAGAATCATGACTGATTTTCTTTTATCCAGTAATTATGTAATCTTAATCATGCATTTTTATTTTTAATCTGGAAATAATTTTGTCCGTTATTCTCTTTTTCCAAATTATATTTTATTGTGATTTTTTGTATTCGTTTTTTTTTTTTTCAAATATTGATTTTTACGATTGTATTAATTTCATTATTTATCATTGAATGATTTATTTTTTTTAAAACATATATCAATGAGTGTTTAATAATTATTTTATTTTTAGCTATATTAAAAATAAAAAGGGAATATGATAAGGTAACTTCCATTTAAAAAAGTAGCTAGTATTTTATAATTTCAGTTATAAACATTTTTCTTAGAAATTAGCTTAATTTATGTCAATAAAATTTTGTTAACTATCATTTTTATTATTGTTCTAAAACTATATTAACCTTTGTTTCTGTTTTTTAATGGTGCAGTCTTTCTAAAAGGTATGAAAAATATTAACAATATTGCTTGCTGCATGAGTAATGAAGTTATTGAATGTTTTTGTAGTTGTGATATTTTGAAATCATTGATATTCATAGAATATAAAAGAAATATTTTCTTTCATTGGTTTCAATATTACAAAAGTTAAAAATTAATATTGGTGGCGTGGGAGAAAAGATTTTGTGCTTCTATCAGACTCATGCATTTTTTTTTTTTTAGTTTAATTAGCTTAATGGTTTCTAGATTGCTGTATGATTTAATTTTTTCAGTTCTGAGTACACCGTAGTTGTGATCTGGTAAAGTCGACTCTGTGGCTGTGGTCTTATAGTTATTACTTCTTCTTCTTCTTTTTTAACTTACTTTTAGAGCCTTTCAGTGTGAATTTGATCCAACCCAGGATCTCCATCTATCTCTGTCTCTTACAAGAGTTGTCATCTCCTGCAATTTCTTTCCTCTCGCTTGACTCAACTTGGAAATATAGTTATTATATCTAAGCAGAGATCTTATTCTAGATGGTGTTTCGCTTCTTACTTGTTTTGCTTCAATAAATTTACAAGAAAATGGTCATTAGTTATGTAGATAAAATCTTATCCCGTCATAATTTAAATTGTCTTTTTCCCTTAATATTGGAGGAACATTTCTTTAACATTATATTCTGTTATTAAAAAAATTGTTTTTCATTTTTTCACCTTATGTATCAGTGATAAATTTGCATTGTTTATTTGAGACAATTTGCAGCATAGATTTATGATAATTTTTTTTCTTCACAAAAATTATTTTTTGGGTGAGGATACCTCTGGACCCAACATGATATTTTGTATGTGTAAAATTTTAGATTCAATTTCGTTTGTTTAGGTTTTTTTTTATTTTCCTTATGTTGTTTATAGAAATCAAGTCAAGACAAACAGCAAAAATTACAATTGGATGTGCATGTCTCCTAACCTAGGTGAAAATGTGGCCGAAAAAGCAAAAATCTGGTGTGTCCCACGACTTTCCTACCTATTTCAGAAAAGTTTTTATATCTTTACATATGTCCATCAAGATACAAAAAAAAATTTAATTAGATTTATTTTCCTGAAAATTGATCAAAGAAAAGATTTGAGTTCGATTTATTTAATAAGCTAAAGCAATGTAAACTGGCTAAGGGTAGATCAGTTTAAAAATTTCAATACCTTCTAATATTCCTGATCAACAATTTTTTGCCATAGCCTAATTTTGTCAAACAATAATTTCTGTTAAAAGTAGAGTTAATAGTGAAGCTTGTGTGATAAAGGCAACAGATTTTCTTATTTTCATTAAGTTATCTTTTTTCTCTCATTCATTTCTTTCTAAGACCAGGATATGTACCCTTAATCTTATATTGGAAATTAAATAACTGTAACTTCATTAATAGTTGTCCGAAATGAACGATTTTTATATAGTTTTGTAGGGAATTTCATTATCTTTCAAAAAACAGGCTAAACGGTGGTTTTTCGGGCTCAGCTGGCTCTGAAACGTATGGATCCGTCAAAAACTGCTGACTTGATCGCAATACTTTCCTTACCTAGTATAGGTAGGAAAGTAATAAATTAAAACATGTGTAGAAAATAGAATACGCTATATCATCGCTAATACTGGTTCGATTCCAGTGATTTTTTTTTTGTTTTGCTAGTAATTTAATTACCTTTCAAAAGTTTTATTATAGATTTTACCATAGAATATATACTTAGCGAGTTAGGCCCCAAAACATTTTTCTTTTCATTATAACTTTTTTTTCCTAAATTTTTTTGGGAATTTACTTCGGGTATGAAAATTGAAAGGACAATTATAAGAAAATTATAAGAAAGTTTCATCAAAATTATTAGGGCCGTTTTCGCACTACAGTCTATAGAAAAACATGTTTTTCATTTATTGCGCATGGAGCACTCAATTAGTGTCACAGGCATCAGTAGTCAAAGCCCTACAAAATAAACAAAATCAGTCCACTAGTTCCCAAGAAAATCTTGGCACAGACAGACCAATGGCTAAAAATGTGTTTTTCGCACTGGCTCTGAAACGTATGGATCCATCGAAAACTGCATATCGGAAATTTGGCCCGATCGCTATACTTTCCTTATCTAGTATAGGTAGGAAAATAAAAAGTTATTCTTCAGATAAGATATCATTGATTTATTACATTAAAAAATAAGGCTAAAAGGAACATTTTTAATCTAACAAATGAAATTTAAAATTATAAATTATAATAGTTAATCTTATAACTTAATTTTGAAAAATAATACCAATAAATTTTTCTTAATGATCACAAAATTTGCTGTGTCAGCAATAGAAGATGAAATTATCTTCTATGCTTGAAATCTCTGTCTGTTGAGGTGAAAAAATTTTTGGTTATTTTTTGGTGTTTTATAAAGTAAGTTTGAACATAATTTAAACTTTTCTGATGGCCATAGGGTAAAGGAACATGAATAGACCATGGAAGGTTTTAGTGGCTTGGGAAACTATACAGTAGTTGGTAAATAAATTTTAGTAATGGATAACCTTTTTTTATTGCTCAAAATGATTAATGTGCCTTTTTATTTTAAGTATGTTATAGATTTTAGTACAGTTGTAATTTTTTTGCAATCTTGCTTTTTTGTTACTTTAAAATATTAATATTGTAGTTAAGTTTCTCTTCACTGATTTTATTATTGTTGTTATTGAAATACAATTTTTTAAAAAAAGAATGTTACATTAAATTATTACATATAACTATGACATATTATTAAAGTTTATTCTAATTAAACTTCATCTTTACAATGCAAAGTATCATAAGTTCCTGATATGTTCAATATGGTTACTTTAAATAAAGATATTTCACCATAATTTTTGTATAATGTTTTGTATATCTTATTTACTTACTTTATTTATTTATTTAGTTGGTTGGTTAATGTTTTAGGCTCAAAACATCAAAGTCATCAGTGCCCCATCCATAAAATGATACTATTAAAACCAGTTGGTAGCACTCTATTTCATTTAATAAAGTTTTTTTCTGTCCACCTTTGTGATTCATAAGGGACTAGTCACAGAATGAAATTGTTTTTTTTTCTAGTAGATTTTTAGTGTTTGCCATTTATATTAGGTATTATTGACAGCTTTCATTTTCATTTAAATAATAAGGGCTTAAATATTGAGTTATATTTTATTTCAGATGTCTTTGTGAACTAGCGAAACAAATTGGCTTTACTGAAAATGCCAAAAATAGTTTTTATTTATTGGAGCAACTTTCTACATTTCGTCATGTGGTGAGTTTACCTTAAACTAATCTTTTTTTATCTTATTTGTAATAACCTGTTTACATTTTTAAAAATATGATTATTAATTTGTTTATTTTTGGTTTAAATTATAGTTTTTAAACAGTGACCAATACAATTATATGAATTACTCAACTTAAGCAGTTTCATAAACTCTTATGTTTTTGTATTTGTCACAAAATAATTTTTTAAAACTTTTAATAAATTTTTTTCTAAAAATTAAGAATCTAAAAAAAAGACACCTTATCCCTGTAAATCTTATTGGCCCCATGTGAAGTATCCATCCCAAATAATCTATTTTTGTAGAGTCTGCAAATTCTAGAAATGGATAGTAAAAAATTAAAAAGTTAAAACAAAATTAAAATTGAAAATTAGTTGCAACAATTTAAGATTGCTGTTGTGCCTATAATTGCTTCTGCAAGTGTCTTTTAAAAAAAGTAGAACAATGCCATTAGAATTTTTAATTTGCAAATAATATCTAACTTTCACATATTTGAGGCTATACTCTTGGGAGTCTCAAATGACTGTAAGCCGTCTGTGACTAGGTTGCCTTCTTTTTCATATCTGTTATATCTTGCATTGAGTCCTCTGCCATCTTTTCTACTTGACTTTTATGACTTCCGGATAAAATTACTCTCGGAGTTCTTTTTTATTAATATGAGGTTTAATAGAATATTAGAATTCTTATCAATCCTCTAGTGGAGTGAATGTCTTACATTTTAATATATGAAAATTATAAAATTAAATTTAAACAATTAATATACTGTTTCGTTTATAACATTATACTTAGAGTAAACACTTTAAATGTAGATAGATCCTTATAAGTTGTTATTTTTTGGTTTATTATTTCTCTTAGTGATCATTATTTAGAGAATAGGCCTTAATAACATTATTTTAAAAAAATAATGTTTAATATAACATATTTGCCTGAATATAGGTTGAGTTTTTTTTTCTGGAATTTTCTACTAAATATTATTTAGCAGAAAAAATCTGTATATTTTGGCTAAATTGTCCATGGATAGATTATCCTATGTTTTTTGGTACACATTATCTGAAAATGTATCAAACTGCAAATATTATTTTTAAGATAATGATTTCAGATGTAAAGTAACTAATTTCTTATTTAAAACGGTTATATCTTGTTTTATATAGTTTGTCTCACTCATGCTGATATTCAATTTTATTAAACGTCTTAAACAAAAGAAAATCATAAACCAAAAGATTGCAAAATTTGCAGATGTGACATTATGGCATTGGGCAAACAACATTGATGTTTATGTTTCCTTTATAACATTGTACCTAGAGCAAACACTTTACATGTAGATAGATCCTTATAAATTGTTATTTTTTGGCAGTTTTGCTTTTGTCTTTATACAGTGTGTTTATTATTGGTGTTAATTGTGATAACTATTTTTTATTATAATGTTCTTTACAGCAACCAGAGACAGTACGAAAGGATATTAAATTTGCTCGGTCCCTTGCCCTTGCTACAAAACTAAAATTACCATTTCCTCATATGGTTGCAGTTGTGACAGTCGAAGCTACTATTCCTAATTCTCTGCAGATGTTTTCACAAGCTACAGGTGACATAGCTTTGGACTCATGTGTTGACTTTTGGGATGGAAATACCCTCAGGACCCTCACTTCTTCAGACAGGTTAATAATTTTAAGGATATGTAGTTTAAATATGATAACTAGTTTCTTTAAATCTTTTTTTGAGGTATATTTTTTATCATATTTTTAAGTCAGAATGAATAATAAAATCATTGGATATGCAGATGATATAGCTGTTCTTGGAAGTAATAAAGAGAATATTGAAAAACCTGCTAAGACTGTGTTAAGAGAAGCTGAGCAAATTGGTCTACAAGTAAATGAAAATAAAACTAAATATGTGATAATAAGTTGAAAATTTCACACCCATTACAGGATCTATATAAAAGAGACAATTTTCCTGAGAGTAGACAAATTGAAATACATTGGATCAACAATAACCTTAATGAATGACAACAGGCGGAAATAGGCCAACGTGTAACAAGTGCAAGCAGAGCTTTCTTCTCTCTCTCAAAGATATTAAAATCCCAAAAATCTCAAATTAAGAATACTATTATAAACACAGTCCTAATATGTGGCTTTGAGATCTGGATATTAACCAGCTCCATAGAAAAGAGTATGGATAGATTTGAGAGAAAATTCCTCTCTACTGCAACCGGAGGGATCTAGGATCAGAGTACTAAAACATGGAGAAGAAATACCAATAAAGAGCTGCTTACAGAAACTAGTCAATCAATATCTCATAACATGAAGGCAAGGATGTTAAGATGGGCTGGACATGTAGCTTGGAGTAGTACATCTAGAAGCCTCTTCATGGCAATGAATATCTTAATAGTAAGTATGGGGAAAGCCAAAAACCAGATAGATCGAATTAACAAAGTTGCAATAGAGCTGCATGCAGATATCTAGAAAGGAATAGCCTAAGATAGGCAGAGATGGAGAAGACTTGTTAAGGTTGCAAAAGGTCTACATGGTCTGTAATGACAAAAGAAAAACTACTTGTATGAATCTTGTTTATAATATTTACATTATATATGTTAGCAATATTTACATATAGAGAAATGAGATTAATTTAATGTTCTTCTTGGAATTAGTTTTTGAAAAGTAAGGTTATGCAGCATCTTTTTTTTATTGATTAGTAAGTAATAAGTAATTATGTTTGCAAATAAATATTGTTTTGAGCAGGAAACTCTTTTCCTGAGGTTTAAGTGGCAAATACTAAGTAGAATGTACAGGCCATATGACTGAGCAGGCTAACACTTGTGCAAAACACGCATTTCCTGGCGATCTGATAAACTGAAGATTACGAGTTTGGGTCCCAGTGCTGGGGGCTTAAAACTCTGATAATAATCCCCTGTCCTCTCTCCTGGCCTGTTAGAAACCCGATATAGCCGAAAACGCAAAGAAGGGGTGGAGGAAAATACTAAGGAGAGTTTACAGTATATTTTATGGCAATAAAATCTGAAGGATAATCACCAATACTGAAATAACAGGAATTCAAATGTTACTGCTACATAAGGATGATAATTCAAAGGATGGGGCATAAAGTCATAACAATCCTAGACCATATTAATAGGAGATACCTTGCTGAAAGAGTTGAATGTATGAGAAGAGTTTTACTTTTACAATGTTTCATGATTCTGTTAGTTATCTCCAAATATTATGAAACAATATAAATAATAGTCAAAATGATAGAATCGGCAAGTTTTTCAAATTTATAATTGGTAATTGGTTGACTGTCATGGATAATGAAGAGAAGAATAGTTGGGGTGGTCAGTCAAAAAGGAAGGCAAAAATAAATGATAATATTTATTTTTACTTATGCCGACGTTTCGACCTGAAGTTCAGGCCTTCATCAGGGCTGTCTCCTTAAGTGTTGCAGGGAGAATGACAACACTCTCTCTGCAACACTTAAGGAGACAGCCCTGATGAAGGCCTGAACTTCAGGTCGAAACGTCGGCATATGTAAAAATAAATATTATCATTTATTTTTGCCTTCCTTTTTGACTGACCACCCCAACTATTCTCTTCATTTTCAAATTTATGATTGGTTGTAGTGACTGGATTTTGGTGTGGCCTCATTCAGTTTTGGACCAAAAGAATTCCAGCCACTTCACATTACTCCTTAAAAAAAAAAACATACAGGGTTTCAGATTCATGATCATTCCATGTTCTTTTTTAAATAGAGCAGTTAGAGTAGTGGAATGATCGTCAGTGTATACCTTTAGGACAGAAATACACTCGTCGAGTGATAGGCTGTCACTTGTTTGCTGGAAAAAAATATTAAAGAATAGAGGTGATTAAATGTAGAGGAAACAAGTCAGTTCAAGGGACTTGTTAAACTTCAAAGAGAAAAGAAAAAGAAAAAAAATTGACCGAGTTTTAAAGAAATTTTGTCAATCATACCTGCCATAAGAGTGAAAATCTAAGATTATATTAAAAGAATTATGGACTAAACCATGAAGGTACATTAAAAAAATATATATATATATATAGTTAAAATTGATAACATTTGTAAATATATTTGTACCCTAGAGGTAAAGGACACCATGTCACAATTTTATATTTGAGAAGGAGTTGGTTGGGATGTGGTCAAATAAATACTATAAACTATAATAGTATTTTTAATGATGTAGAGATGGTTTACCGTTGATATAATATGAGAAGGAGTTAGTCGGGGGTGCGGTCAGATAAATACTAAATTAAAATATAGTAATTATTTTATTTTAATTTTGCCGATGTTTCGATCCACTTTGCAGGTCGTCTTCAGGGCTACAAAAGATACAAAACATGTTGAGAATAAAAAAATGAATAAAAATAAAAATAAAGGAGAATATAGTATGTAAGTTAAAAGTAAACAGATTGTGATAAAACATATCGCATATAGATCTGTTTACTTTTAACTTACATACTATATTCTCCTTTATTTTTATTTTTATTCATACTTATTTTCTACATATATAATACTTAATATTTTACTACATTGTCCCCCACTATATCTCTGATATCATCTTTTATTTCTGTATCTGACAACTTCTTCTTATTTTATATCTACTTATATTTAATTTTTATTCTCAACATGTTTTGTATCTTTTGTAGCCCTGAAGACGACCTGCAAAGTGGGTCGAAACGTCGGCAAAATTAAAATAAAATAATTACCATATTTTAATTTAGTATTTATCTGACCGCACCGCCGACTAACTCCTTCTCATATAATAGTATTTTATTAGTTATCCCTATAGGTTGTGGGTTGTTATCTTGTTGTTGACCCCATGGTAGTGTATTCATGATGGTGTAGAGATAGAGATGGTTAGCCGTGATCAGGCGTAACTAATAAAATACTATTCTAGTTTATGATATTTATTTGACCGCATCCCCGACCAACTCCTACTCATATCATAATCACGATCAACCATCTCTACGCCATTACTAAATTATTTTATAAAAAAATGGACATGGTATTCTTTATCTCCGGGGTAAAGATATATGTATCATTTTTTTTACAATGATATACATAAATGAAAGTAAAGTAATGGGCAGAAATAGCGCTTAGCCTGTTGGGTAGCACCTTACAGGGCTACAAGATAAGATACTCCTGTGTCTCCTGAATAAACTCACCTCCTCGTAGATCAAGTAATATCTGTACTGATCTCATTAGCCTAGCATAAGGTCATATGCTCTGTATTGGCCCGTCTCAGGTGTAATTCAGCCATTGGGGTCTAGGAAAATTTTATTTTTATTTGGTTATGAAATTTATGATATTGCCACTTATCTTTTATGGTAATTTTGACTTCTTGCTTGTAGTTTTTTCATTAGATTATTTATAAATGTGTCATCCATTTTATTCAATATATTATTGTTGAATTTATCTTTATTTTTAGGAAAAAGATCCTTGATTTTTACCAGAGAACTAGTTTAACTGCTTATTGTACAGCTTTTGCATATAGACCCCTTGGCAGACCAGTCAATTCTGACATGACAAAAATTTATATGGAATTGCCAGCTGACAGCCATCTACTATATCTCAAAAATAGAAGTCCTACTCCTATTGAAAGATCTTTACGCCAAACATCTGGTATTTTACTTAATATCTAAATTCTATTAAATATTTTTTAGTAAATAGAACCTATAAAAATCTAGTGAGCGCAACACACAACTTTCATTTACCGCTCAACTTTGAATAGAAATTATTTTCTAGCCATATTGGGCTATTATAAAAACTTTAAATTGTATTTTGAACCGAACTAAAGCTAAAAGCTTACAGCTGACAAATCATAAATACCATTATAATAACAAAAGTCTTATTTATTATATCACCGATTGATTTTGGATTGTACAGCTATCAGTTATTAAACTTTTATTTTCCATTCAAGGTTTACTAAAATGGAAATGCATTGTCTGTCATAGACACTTACGAAATTATGAGATTTTCATTGCCTGCCATGGATAGGTCAAAAGTTATCACACTAATTGTAAGTGGATACTGTTGGAATATCACAAAGGGAAAATTCATCAAATTATTCACTAATTAAATTTTCTAAAAGGTTACATGATGATTTTTCGGAATAAACATTCTGTAGATACCTAATTATTTATATATAATATCAGATTTAGAATTATTAAACTACAGTAAAAGTATTTATGGTTATAAACATATGCTTTATACATCCATGAAATGATTTTATATTTCACTTCTTCTTTCACACAAGTACAATGAAACAGTTTTTTAAACACTGTCATTGCCTTGATTAGGTGGATTTTAAATACTTCTTTCAAACTTAAAAATATTTTAAAAGTTCAACCTGTAAAGTGACATCAATGAGGATAAAACCTGATTGATATTAAAGACCACTTAATTATACAATGATTCACCAAGTTTAATTAAAATTGTAAAAATGTGTTTCAGTGTTGATATAAAGTGGCACTTCCGGTTAGCCGATTTTAAGGGAAAAGTTGCTGTCACATCTAAGGCATATACCTATCTTATATACGTAATATCAGACACACAGACCATTTTGCGGGACTTGGTTATTTGGACTCAGGGTATTTCAAAACGTGTATTTCCTTTGAAAACTCAGATTAAAAACTTTTCGCGATTGCAATACTTTCCCTTATTATATATTACATATATAGGTAAGTGAAAGTAAAAACATTTAATGTGTTATTAAATTAAATTTTTATTTTTAGTGGATTGTTTGACAGCTGAAGAGGTGGCTGAAGAAGTTAATGATATTGAAGGTTGCTTTGAAATGCAATGCAATCAAATATTTCTCGGAATGGTCACTATGCAATATCAGGCTCAGATTGAAATGGTAAAATGATTTTCAAATATTTTGATATTTTATTGTAAAGCCTTGTTTAAATGGTGACAGTTTCCATTGTGGCAATATTTTCACAACAGAACAGTGAGACATGGGCAGTGTCTTTGTTTATAAGCTGACAGTAACTGGTGACACTTCAAAAACTGGCAATTATAGAACAGCTGACTGAATACTAGAGTATTATTACAAATAACTGATTTATAAAAAAAAAATAATCTAGGAACTTAATTTCAATTTCCAAATTAATGTAATGAAAATAAATTCAAAAACTAAATTAAATTTTCCGAACAATCACTATTATAGTTTAGATAAGCTGTGGCAGTTCACTGTTTAAAGTTTACTTATGATAGTTACCACGACTATAGCTTTCACTCTTGCAACAAGTATTTTCAACTATCTTGCAAAATCTGATAATATGACTATACTGTCAAGAGACAAATGTCATACTATTGTTCAATTTATTTCATGAGCTATCATGTCTGCTGGTAATTTCACTGTGGAAATGAGGCTTATGTTTATTCTTTTTGGTAAATGCTTTTTTTCTATTTTCCTTCAATGATTGTTCAATAGGTTCATTTGATTGAGCAGCTTGAAAGAGCTTGTATCAGATTTGTACATTTTAGCAAGGAAAATGAGTTGAGGTCTCGGGTATTTTCTGAAAAAATGGGTTTGGAAAGTGGCTGGAATTGTCATATATCTCTTTTGAGCAGGTACTTTATTTTCATTTTTCTCATATTTTCTTCTAGACTTATTTTTTTTTAAGTTTTCTTTGTCTTGAAAAATAAATGATTTTTCTGAGTTGGAATGGTTGAGTGATTTTAAATTAAATTATTGCATCATTGTCATTGTAATTGTCGTCTGATGTATTTCATTTTATTTCTCAGGTGATGGGTTTTTTTTTTTTAACACAAATTAAAGAGGATAATCAATTTTTAATTCTACTAAAACAGTGTTTTGTGACTTTTTGTGTCTTTTAACGGCTTATTGTGATTGTTGATTTGTGATTAACCCCATGTTGTGTGTGTTATGTTATCCAAATAACAGTGAGGAATCAAAGGAAGAACTTCTTGACGTTGATCTCAAAGAAGACGATTGGGAGAGGAGTGATGCACATGCTCCACTCCTCAGTGGAAATCAGTGGTATGAAATATTGTTTTTATCTTTTATTTTTTATTTTTCATTGTTTTTATTTGTGCTGCATCTGGGGTTCTAGCTCTGTATCAATGGAGCTTTGTTTAATAAATAAAATTAATGTTGAATTTTATAAAATATTTATAAACAGTTATGTAATGAATTCATTCACTTTGTGGTTTCATTGCAAGTGCATAGTTTGGCAAACTAATAATTAAGTGGAGAACCGATTGCTTGAAAAAAATTACTAAGTTTACTGTAAAACCACAGATGTATTAGTAGAAGTAATATTTTCGTTGTAATGAAGATTTCAAGTTAGACAATGTACTTAATTAATAACTAGGACTGAACTAAATTATTTTGAAAATAAATTCAACAGAAATATGGGCCAAAAAATTATTTTGCTTAGTAAGAAAAATGGTGTCCCCAGAAGTTGCAGCACAGTGTTTCTCTACTTAATATAAATCTATATCAAATAAAGCTGCGGCATCTGTTTGGAATAACTTCTACTTGTTGTCTCTGCCTGCGTTACCTTCACTCTCATCTTAGGCATTAATAGGTCCTTTCAAAAGTATTTCAGCCATCTGTTGATAGTTTAAAATCTCATGATTGTAGTATTTGTCTCGCAGCTACTAATACACATCATTTCCATTTGTCTATTCACAGCAAGGAATGTTTATCTAATAGCTCTTGTAAAACGCCTGTCTTTGTCTGCCTGCTGATTTGGGTTGCCTATGAAAGTTAGACTTGGCCGAAGTTTGTTGTAGTGTTTTTTTTTTTTTTTTTTTTTTTTTTTTTTTTTTTTTTTTTTCTTTTTTTTTAAGACGTTTAGAACAAACTGTGTGATAGAACATAATGAAATTTATATAATTTAAATTTATATTTAGAATTATTTTGCTTAATCAGAAATTGGTCTGGTCATAATAATTTCAGACAATGAGAACTCCTACTATATACTAATCAAAATTACTATTTCAATATAACTTTCAATAGTGCATGCACATGTGCCTATCTGTACGAGTAGTTGTGGATGTGTATTTCTTTATTTGAACACCTTATCTGAAAAATAAATAGTCATACCTAAGTGAAATTACATATTTAAGGTAAGTATATGCCTGAAATATTAAGAAATCTTTTTGCCAAAATTGGCTAACTGGAAATGATATTTTGTATGATCCATTTTACTGTTTTCTTGAAAATGGCTCTAACAATTTCTATTAAACCTGTTAAACCAATGTAAAATTATGTTGTCTTCGATGTACTATATGGATTAATCTTATTGAAATACTCTGATTTGGGTCAAATGCCAAATTTTCAAAATTTCTTTCTCTAATGTATCTTTGATTTTCTTTATTTTAAATAATTAAGCATCTCACATTGTTAGTAGTAATAAAAATGAATAAAAAGAAACAAATATGAAAGGATTTGATAACTAACTAAAGGGGAAATAGGGTCTGGTAATTCTTCAGACTGTGACCTAAAAATGGCAATAACGATGGCCAAACACTCTAAACTGTTTCTAAAGATGATGCACAATCCTAACATTTGTTTATTATAAAAAATAAAATAAATTAAATTGTGAAGTGATTTGATGAATTTTCTGTATAAAAAAAATCAAAAGATTGGGCACCAAGAGTAACAGTTTTTTATGTATAATAGGATTTTTGTTATTTGTATGCACTTAAATGAGTTTTTGCATTGTGAGATATAATCAAAATTCATAAAAATGCTCTTAAAAGTTTGGCTCCATCAAATCTGCATTTAGTAACATTTTGCATTGAAACCAAAATATAGATACACATGGCAAAATGAATTGAAGTAGTGCTTAAAATAAAGACTGAATACACAATAAATTATGTATCAGATGTGTAATTATAAATGAGGCATTCGGGCCTAGAAAGCTCTAGTTGTTACTTAGTTACTGTTAAACTATATTATTGATGCCATTTTGATTCTTTAACATTTTGTTTCTCCTTTGAACGACCAATGTCAATTAGACGTGATTTAATATATATTTGTCTGATATCTAAGTCTTCTTTTACAGTACATCTGTCAGAAGATCACAGGTTTATATGATATCACATTGATCTCTTAGAATTTTATCCAATCTAATGAATTTAGTATTACCAAATATATTGACAAATATTGAAGGTGATATGTATTACAGTCAACTAACTTTTTTCAATATTTTAAATATTTAAAGTACAAATATTTAAAGTGGATCATAAATGTTTCTAAAAGACTTGAGATATTTTTCAAATTCTATCTCAATTTTGCCTTTTCATGCTGAACCTCAATACGAACTGAGTGTAATGAAAACCTTGATGAAATGTAAATGAAACAATTACTATTGTTGTATTATATATGTCCAGTTTATCTCTAATTCTTATTTTCAACTGAATAATCTAAATAAAAATTAATGTTGCAGCTTATTAATTTTTTTTTAATGAAACTAATTAGAAACTAGTAATAACATGATAATAAAAAGCACTGGATTTTTTTGTCTGAATTGAGGGAATGACATTTGTTCATTCATAGTCAACTATGAGTTCATAAAGCCATTTTTGCCGAATGCTTCTGAACAAACGAAGCATAATGCAAAAATTAATCAGATGTATAAGAATCAAATCTGAAGATGTCATTTGATAGGTATTGATATTTTATTATTATTTAATTTATGTTCTCATAAAGTTTGAGCATGAATGAGTTCATTTTGGTCAATATTTCTGCAACAAGTTCTATTTAAAAAATCATCTTGAATAATTTAATTTTTGCCTATTGATAGCCCCGTGGTATTGAAGAGGGAACTAAATACTATTATCAGCAGATTTGTGATCATTTTATTATTTTTTTTTTAGTCCCCAAACCAGTCTTACTGAAATTAATGAATATGTTTATCTAGCCATGAAGAGCGTATTGCATAATATTTGCCCATAATTGAAGTTTTAAATGCTAAAAACGATCGGCACTACTTATTAGTTTTTTTTTTCATTATTGTTGTAATGTTAATTTCTTATTTTATTTTATTTTTACAAAAATAAATTCTTTAAAAGTAAAAAATGGGATATTTTAATCAGTTTTGAATATTAATACCCAAGATTGCTCAGAAAAGTAATTAAGATGTTATGAAGATAATAGCATTTCAATTTCTTTTTTTGTTTCAGTAATGAACCTTTTAATTAGCCAAGAAAATAAATTTTAGACCATTTTTAATTTTTTGTAATCATTCAAATAAAAAACAATTAATACAACTATTAGTTTTTTAGAAAATTGTTTCTTAGGGTTATATATTTGGAAATAATAAACTATTTTGTGATAATATGTAAAGTTTTTGTTATAGGAATTGACTTTAGTTCATCATATTACTGTTTGATTTATAAATATTATTTATTATTTGATGCCTATCAGGTAAAACGATTTCATGTGTACCATTATCATATCTAACTTGTTATAATTGGTTGTACAATACATGTTTAACTTGGGAGATGTTTTATGCTGTGTTTTGTCCAACAATTTTTTTTTTTTAAATTCTGTATTTTGAAAATTTACATGTGATATTTAATTGCTATTATTTATTTATTTTTTGCTGCCCTGTTGAAGAGGTAATTTTTACATTCAATTTTGTACCTTCAGCTATTTTTTTTTATTTTCAATTACGTTTTTATTTAAATTTGATTTTATCCTTTTAGCTTTTTTGAAATTATTGTCAATTTCCTTTCTTCTAAATTAATATTCTGGTATTTGTTTTTTTATGATCCAGCAGTTCGTTAGAAGGCTCTCGAGCAATGAGTGTGTCTGCTCCTTGTGCAATTAACACAGAAACATCTGCCAACCCTGATTATACAAAGTATTTGTTTTTTATTTTTAATTAATAATATTTTTATCAAAATTAATATTAAAATATCTCTTCCTTCCTTATTCAGTACCAATATTTTTAAGCTGTGATATTTATATATTTCTTATTTTAGAAGTAAGGTTGATGAGTTCGAAGTTATTTCACAAGAAGGATGGCAGTCCCTGAGTTGTTTAACTGATAGTACAGAACAGAGTGCTCCAATCAACTTCGATATGTCAAATAGAGTATGTCTTTTTTTTATAATATAATATAGTTTAGTAATTTTACTTATATTTATTGAAATTTATTAAAGTTAAAGAATTGTAATTTTTATAAGATTAAATTTAATAACATAATAATAGCTTTGTTTATCAAAAGTTATGAAAATAGTGAATGCACCTAGAACGTGAATTGAAGCTTCTGGGCTTGTCGTGAACCACGGCTATGGAAAGAAAGAAGTTTTATAGAAAGTGTAGTTTAGTTTATTTCAGTTCAGTTCAGTTGATCTGATATTTGAATATAGTTTATTCAATTCAGTTATAACTTGATTCATTGTTAAGAAAGTTTAGGAATATTATAAAATTATTTCACATTTATTATAAAGCAAACAAATGTGTATTCTTATTGTAAACCACATTGCATCAGATAAGAATTGTAATTTAAAATAACTAAAAATTATAAATTGTTAAAATAGCCTGTAAAACTCACATAGGTGATAAATGGTAAACATAAGAATAGAATAGTATTTATAGTAGAATAATGAACATTTTGTATTATTCATGATATGGCTATCTGAAAATCAAAAAGTTAGCATGAGATAATTGACAGAAACATATGACTTTTAAGATTCTCAAATGTTTTAGAGGCTGTAGGGCTCTTGCTACCTATCAAAATTTAGTTAGTTATTTGACTGGCATCATTCCATAAAACCATTACTTTGTTCAATAAAAAAAAAATATTAATTATTGCAGGTGAATTATGACTAAATTTTGATAGGTAGCAGGAGCTCTACTGCCTCTAAAACATTTGAGAATCTTAAAAATCATAGGTTTCTGTCAATTATTTCATGCTAACTTTCTGATTTTCAGATAGCCATATCATGAATAATACAAAATGTCCATTATTCTACTATAAATACTATTCTATTCTTATGTTTTTAATTTCTTTTGTCATAATTTTTTTCATATTTGAGTACAGACCTCTCATTTATTATTTGGTTATGAACTTGAAAAACTTTCGAGTTCAGGCTATCAGTTCACAAATAAAAACTGCAGGTGTATCAAATATAAACGGTAATTTTGGTATTTTGCTTATCTTGCAGTTCCAAGTGTTAAATGATGGACTGGGACCAAGTTATGGACCTGTGGCCTTGAAGCACTAGAGTCCCAAGGACAAGTCCTACAAATGACAACATTCTTTTCATTTGAGAGTTTATTTATTGAACTTGATGATCATCATCTTTTGTTGAAGAAATCTTGATTAGAACTAAAAATCAGTTATGAGTGATATAAACATCGCCTATCATCTCAACTCCCTGAGTTGACCGAAAACCAAAAATAAGTCAAGCTGGGGATTAGTGGGAGACTGCCAAATCGATTTGGAAAGATTTTTTAAGGTGAATTGTCACATGTGATGAGAAATAAATCACCTACTAGTTGGTCCGTGTGAATAATTCGCAGACAATTTTGTTTAATGGAGAAATAAAAAAACAATATGGAAATAAGTAGTTCCTATGTATTATGTAAGGAAGGAATTAATATTTTTTCCTTGGTCGATTACAATATTCCATTTAACATAATTAAACAAAATATTTGTACTAATTGCTTTCCTAGGACCTATTTTTAAACACTGACTGGAAAGAATTAAAAGTAATAAAGACAAAATAATGCCCTGATCATGGGATTTTCTAAATTATTAAAAAAAAAAAAAATGTAAGAACAAACAAATATCTTTAAGAAAAATAATAAAGTTAGTACATCAGCCAGGAAAAAAAGTGTAGTGGACTATTCTACTTCTAAATGCAATTTCTTTATACCATGCAATATCTATAAGAGGAAGACAATATTAAGTATACCAAAATTAATGGACTGTATCTTCGTTAATAACTATCCGATTTTTACGATTTTTTTTTTTGTTTTGTAAGTAATTTAGCAATCTTTCTAATTATCATGGGTACAATCCAGGAAAAAATGCATAGTTTTTGAGTTATTCGCAAATAAAGTTTCTTTTCCTTCATAAATTTTTTTTCCAGAAATTTTGGGGGGATAGAGAAGAATATCTTCAAAATGAGTGGTCAATCATTGGAATTGATGAAGTTATGGCGTACCGACAAAAAAACACCTTTTAAAAATAATATATAGGATTACACTTTTGAGTGGAAAAAGGTTGGTATGGAATGCCAAAAAAAAGTATGAAGGCTGCTCGGTGAAGACAAAAATTTGTCTTAATGGTACATTCTTTTGTACTGATTTTATTTTACTCAAATTTAACAATTATTTATTATTATTATCATCATGAATTACAATTTAATTATAATTTTTAAATGAAATCCTTACCGGAAAGGATTGTATTTAACATAAATACAAATATAATTGACAGTTGAGTAAAACAACATAGCCTTGACATTGATAATTTCATAGAGAATTCACAGACACTGTACTCACTGACTACTTTGATTTCAACTAGCGCTCAAGTATTTTTGTCACTTTTCGATCTGTGTACTACTTTGCACTGCAAGTTTGAGGAGTTTTATATAGTATATGGAATGTTCTAGGTGGGTTCATCAATCTCACCAAATCTCATTGATTTGAAATGTTCCTGAACTTTCTTCCCATTTTTATGAATTTTATTTTGCATAAATTCCTTATAATAATAAACCCAATGTTGCAAATTAGCAATCTTCAGAAAATATGTGTAAAATCATTACAAATTATAAGATTGTTGTCAATTGGAAGATATGTTCTGCTAAGTAGGTGCCATAGTTGTCTGATTCTTCAATAGTTATTTTGTAATCAAATATTAAACCAAAGAATTTTATTCTATGCTTTTAAAAATCAAATATAATATTTGTTTTCTATTAATTGCAGTAGAATCTTGCTAATCCGTACCCAGATTGTCGACACATCCAATTATTCTGAATAGTGTTAAAAAAATCTTATTCAAATTAAATATTAATTTTGTCTCCTGTTGTAGGCAAAATTACCTCGTGGAATAGAACAAATCAGGCCTCATTTAGAACAAGTTGATAATGTTCCTCTATTAGTGTCTCTCTTTACCGACTGCATACCCTCTACAACTCAACAGATGCTTGATATTATGAAAGATTACGGTGAAATAGTATGCGTTATGGGCTCATCTGCCAACGCAGACAATTCAAGTATATTTCTTAGAGCTAATGTAAGGTAATGTCAAAGATTTTTATTTTATAAGTTAATTTATTACTATAACACAATATTCTTTGTTTTTTGTTTATGTCTGTTTTCTTTTTAACTTTATGATCGAAATAGTAATTTTTAGTTGTATAATTTCTGGTGTAGTTGTTCATATTTTATTGAGGGTCTTGCATTAAAAGTGAATGATCTAAAAATTAAATTATATATTAAAGTTTTATCTATGAAAAAAGGCCTAACAAGTAGGGTCAGTATATCTTCCTTGCCATCTTGATCTTGGACTTTCTTGGTGTTAACTAGAAATGTAGAAATACATAATACATGTAATTTTTTTTTTTTTAAGTGTTTCAGTTGAACCTCTTTTTCCTCAAGTATGTCAAAAAGTACCAGTATATTCTAACTCTCCAGATGCGATATCACCAGTACAACTGTCCGGAAGACTTAACTCGCTCCCATGCTGTGTTTCTATTACCAGGCAACGCCCTGTCTCACTTTTCCATTTAATAATGCATGTAAGATTTTCCTTAATTGTATTCTTATGTTTTTCAAATTATTTTGGTTTATAACAACAAAAATTAAATTTAGAAAGAATTTAATGGCTATAAACAAATATATCCCAGCGAGAACTCTCACTTTAAATAGCTACCATTTTTCATAATACATAAACGAAAAAGCAATGCCAGTGAAACATGTATATTTGTATAAACCATATAATATTATCAAGATAGTCTATTCAACAAACGCAATTGGTGAAGCTTCATACTTTACCACAACTGTGAAAGAAACATTTACTTAATAAATGATTAGCTTGCTCCCCTGGAAAATATCCCTCCAGTTTAATAGTCAAGCATTAAGACACAGATTTCCCTGCACTTATAATTATCCATTTTGTATCACCTTATTTTGTTCTGAAGAGGTTTGTAGTTATCTCATTTGTTAAGTGTATAGAGGTCTGTAACTGAGAGTATAGAAGATAGTTACCACAGCTTTCTGTAATTACTGTTTGCAGTAACAATAAATAAAGTGAAAGAACAAATTTTGAAGTTATTTGAAAATATTATTGTTTTTTCACAGAAAATTAGATATAGCCTTTTCTAGAACATTAGAGACAGCTAATTATAAAGGACATAATAAATAAAATAGTATAATATCTATAAGTATAAATAATATAATTTGGGATATTTATAAATTATTTCAAAATAATTATAAAGATATCAGAGACAAATAGGAGAAATAGCTATTTCTATAAACTAGTGTTCGCCCAGTGGTCGAAATTTGACCATAGCCATTAAAATTTGAGGAAAACATATAATTAAATAAAAAATAAATTCAATCAATAAAGAGTAAATCATGATTCAAAATTTCAATTTCAATTAGAAATCAAGCTTAAACTACTTAAAATAATTTATGAGTAATACAAAATAGACTCATTCAAAAGATTTAATTTATGTGTTATTAAACCAATAAATTAATGTTATGACTAAGCAAGTAAAAAATAAATTAACATTAGCAATTTCAATTCAGTTTAAATCCATTTTTATGCAGAACTTCTCTGTAAACAATGTTCTTTTTGAATGTTCTGTTATTGTAAAGTACATAGCCTTATCCATTGCCATTGGAAATATAAATTTCAAAATTTTAAATGAACGTGCTCTATTTGCTACCACATTATGGTCATAACAAATGCAGCTATTGATAAGAACGTTGTTCTTTGAAATTCGAATGGATCGAAAGTATTATGTCAGAAAATATTAAATTAATTCTTGGAATTAAAATTCTTTTATTTAAAGTAGCTGCCATTAGTACTTCACTCTCATTTGTGTTCCATTAACTAATGTTTGTGCAGTATTCAAGTTAAGAATGAGTATAACTGAAGAATTTATTTTTAAATTTAATTTATGAGGTAACATTCCACTAACATTCAATATCATTGATCTCTTCAAATAATAGTCCTGATTACTTCATCAAATGTAAAGTTTTCGATTTATCAAAAACCAAAATAATGGAAATCGACTTTGCAAAAGAAAAAGCACTAAATGTTGAAAATGATATATCTCTGGAACAAATAGTCCGATTTGGATGATTTGTTTTTATTTTGTTGATAATTCAGAAAGCTTTCAAATAAATACTGGTATACTTATAAAAAAAATAAAAAGTGTACTTTTTGAGTTATTCGCAAATAAAATACTGAATTCATCATAAAAATGTATGCAGGTTGTTTTCGGGAAAGTATGGTATATACATAAATTATAAATGTTTCAAGGGGAAGACTTTAGCCAAGTTTCATTAAAATCTTTGAAGCATATTGGCGCTACAGTCTAAAGCGAATCACATTTTTCGGCCACCATTCCAAAAGGAAAGGCCTGATGATAATGAAACATATACAAAAACACTTTTAAATATTATTGCAATGTTAGAAGATGGAAGATTGAAGGAAAAATTTCAAAGAAATCGGTGAAGAACTTTTGGAGATTAGCTGTTTTGAACAAACTACCATTTATATTTTTATTTACATTCTATTTCATATTTTTATTTATTGATAACACTAAAGCTTGTCAATAGCTATTAATCAAAAAAAGAAGGAAGAAAATCGGTTGAATAATAGAGGAGAAAAAGAGGCTGAACCATTTTGTGTTTGCCTATTTATATAATTTTGAAACAAATGTTAAGTGAAATGTCTTTCATATATTTTAATTTTCAGGCTCGCCATTACATGATGTGCCTATGGAATTGCCTCCAATTTTGGATTTGCTGTATGTTTACTCTTACTATGGTTCAAATGATTACAATAATGGTTATGCTCCCACCTTTGTTTTCTGCGGGTAAAAAGTATTTAATACTTTTCTGAATGTATTTAATTTTGCTTATCATTCTATGTTATTCTAATCTGAACTATGCCACTTTGTGATTATGGATTTATATCTTTTGATTTGTTTTCAAGTTCCAGTTAAATTTGGTTTGTTTAAACATTCCCTGTTAATAATTCCACCTATCTATTCCATCATTTTTTTTTTTTACCTTTTTGTTTATGCTTTAAACTTAGCTAATTTGATTATTAAACTTAAATCTTAATTATAAGTGCCATTTACTTCTGTGATTTTGCTGTTTTGGTTTTATATAACTTTTTCTGTCTCATCTTTCAATTTGAATAACCATTTGCCTTGAATGTATCTTCCCTGATAATGTTTTGAACAATTATTTTATTAAATTTTCTCTTCCCATAATGTGTGACAACAAGTGAACAAGTTACCACTTATCAATTGTAAAACTTTATAAAGTCTTCCATCACAAAAATATAATTGAAAATAAAGTATTATACAACTTAAAAGTTTGATTGAATTTTTATAAATCAAATCTGAATATAAGTCGATTACCAACACATTTCAACCTCAATTAACGGTGTAAACCACATTTAACAGAAGGAAATTTCAAGATAAACCTCAGCTTTTATTCAGATGAATTCAGTACATGAGAACTATTTATTAGAGAATAAAATTGTCATTACACAATATGTTCATTCCTTACCCCTCTCATATTGCAATAAGCTACATATCTCATTTGGCCTTCAAATATTCTCAGTATGTAATATTGAATATTTGAATAAATGACACAAATAAATGAAATATTCTCAGAATACAAACTCTAGGCTGTAGACAAAAATAAATAAAGCTTAAATAAAATATTATTATTTTGATTTATATCTGATTTATTTGTATATCAATTATAAGAATCTGCTAATGGTTAAAGATCCGTTAATTGAAGTTATTGTTTTAGTCTAATTAGTAGATAACAAAAGATCAGATAGTTCCGAAAGAAAAAATTATACTATTTTATTTTTTGAAGTAAACATATGTGTATGTGATTGCGAAGATATTTGGTACTTGGTGCTTATCATTAATATTCTCATGATCACTAATAAAAGATAGTTACATTTTAACCCCTTTCACTCCTTACTATTCAGTGTTTAAAACTCAATATAATTTTCTTTGTTAAGTCATCAAAACATGTTCTTATATTCTTTGAAATATTTCTTTTAAAATTCATTTAACTAATTTTGAGATTATTAATATAATATGAGATGGTTCATTAATAATTGTAAATATAACTTACAATGTCCATACATGTGTAATTTTGGAATTATTTTCTTTTAGGACAGACACTTTGGTTGAGTTGTGTAGTTTTGCCACTTTTGTCTATTTCTTTGGTCAATTCGCCAACTAACACCCAAGTTATGCTTCGGCCAGTGCCTAAGAAACAGTCTACTATAAATTCTAAGGTATTATTTTATTAGTTGTATGTTATTGTATTCTTTTATGAAAGTTATCCCAAAGCCTAAAAATAAAATAAGTGGGATAGTTGATCAAGCAATTTTTACAATTTTTTTTTTATTAGTTTAATTATTTAGTTTTATATGCATTTATGTAGTTAATAATACTCTTATAAAAAAAAATTCTAACAAAGTAAACCACATTTTCTTATTTTGAACTTTTTAACTTGAACTTTATTAATTTTTTAAACCTTTGTTCAAAACTCAACATCAGCATCCACCATTCCATTTCTAAATGATAGCCGATTAGATATTGTATATGTCTGTATCTCTGGCAATTTTGATTTATGGCAAAAATATAGAGTTTAAGAACAATAATAATAAATCCCATGAGTCATTAAATCAAACATAGGTATGTATTTAATCTATAATTCCCAATCTGGGCAAATGGCTTGGATCCTGTGTTGCCTTTGCTAATGTCTGCTGTCTCATTTAAGTTCAGATATTACTACAATGTCTATTATTTTTATAACTATTATCATGATCAACAAAGAAGAAAAATCTTCGGAAAAATTAAGATGATTCATGTAAACAAGTAGGTTCAACAAAAAAGGTTTGGACTAATAAGCAACCAAAATTGTCATTAGATTCATTCTAAGAAAGAATGGACACCATTGATAAAATTCAGTGCATTCCTTTATTCATTGATTGAATCACTGATGGCTTAGTAGTTCCATCAACTTTTGGGATTGATGTATCCTCTGGACGTAACCTCATTATTGTCATTTCTCAAATTTACATATTTATATTCAGTTTACTTTCTATCTATATTTAATTTTATTTTTAGAGGTTGTGATGGCTGATCATGTTAATGTGTAAAATTTAACATTCTCGATTCTAGGTTCGAATCTGACCTGGGCAGGTTGATATTTAACCTTCCCCCTTCAGTTACATTAGGTTCGGTTGTACCTCTAGATCAACTCTTGTTGTAATTAAAAATTTTGAGTTTCAATGAGAAAACAATAAGTGTTAATAGAAAGGTGACGATTAGACAATCTGATATATTGTGATTGAGGAGATAATTAAAAACAATAAAAGGCTTAGTGAACCCTAGATTTGATGCCGACACCATCAATTGCTGTCTACACTCCTCCCTCCACACGCCACTGTCCAAACCCATACCCTTCAGATTGGTCTTAACGCAATCTTCCCACCTTCGCTTTGGTCTAATCCTCAGACATTTACCAGTCGGCACAGCAAATATTTAATTATTTTGTTACTAAATCCAACAATTTTACAAGCCCATTTAATTTATCCCTATGTAATCACCTCAATTATATTAACCGGATATAATTCATCCTTCTTTGGTCCAAATATTATATGCAATACTTTATTTTCATAAACCTTAAGACATTGCTTATCCCTTGATGTAAGTGGCTACGTTTCGAATCCATAAAGAACCGTAGGCAGGATAATAGTTTTATATATTCTAATTTTTAACTTCCTGGACAGGAGGCGCGAACTAAGTAATTTTGCCACAGAAAAATAACAAGCATTTCCTGCCTTCAGCCTAACCTTAATCTCCTCTTCAATTTCACTTTTTCTAGTTATCATAGACCCTAGATACCTATATTTACTCTACGTGTTCAAGTATATTACCTTCTATATTGATATCACTGAAATTATCACTATTTTTGCAGCTAACCATATATTTTGTCTTATCCGTGTTTATTTCGAACCTTACTTCTTTGTGAGCTTTCATTAATGTTGTTGTATTTAGTTTTATAGTTTCTGGGTCTTCACTTAACAGGACCAAATCATCAGCATAGCCAAGCATGGTTGTTATCCCACCCAGAATCAACCCTTTTTTGGTACGCATTACCTCCCTAATGGTATGTTCTAATGCCAAATTAAACATAACAGATGAAAGGGAATCACCTTGTTTTTAACCCGAATGAACCTCAAACTTTTAAACAACTAATTACTAATTCTTTCGTGGGTTCGTTTATAAGGCTTGTTGAAGATTAGAAAGAAAGTAAAATATATTATTAGAACAAGTGTGAGACCATGTCGTCAGCACCATGTTAAAGTAACGAATGTGAGCCTGTTTAACGTTCCACATTGATTATTTTTTAATTTGGTGCTGACGATGTTAGATCAAAACATTTTGATTTAGTTTCAATTTTATATCCTCAAAGAAATTTTTAAATAGGATTAATTTATGTTTTTTAACAAGTTTTACTTACAGTGTAGTAATTAACTTATAATATATGCATAAGATTTGCTCACAAATTAAATAATAGATTAATTCTATTTAATAAATGTTTCATTAATATGAAATGGAAACTAAATCAATATTTTTGGTGTTACTTGGTTTCACACTTTTGCCGACAAAATGTTTTCCATTCTTCTACGAGATTTTCTCACAATATTGAATATCATCTTATAAAACAGTAAATTTAATCACAATCAATTTATCTTACAAATTTAATACATTGTTATACCTAATTTTAGGTGGTTATTTTTGTTGCCTGGTGTTACGGTACCAAATTCGTGTTGACAATTATGTTGATACCACTTATATACGGAGCAACCTTGGCTTCATTTTGTCCTCATGTAGCTGCCCAGTTCAACCAAACTTGCCTATTGGTGTATCCTGTACCAGGAGAACCGCTTGGTGGTTGGGAATCAAACTATATCCCTCTAAAAAAAGCTCAGATGATTGCAACATCTCTTATCGTCTTTCATTTTGGTAAGTTTTTTAATTAGTGTTTAATAAAATTGAAATGACTATTGGATGGATGGTAATTAATTTTTTTTTGTTCATCTTGTAGCTGTTATATCAGTAAGTTTTATTCATCGAGAATCCTTAAGTTGGAGAAGGAGCCCTTTTAAAAATAAAACCTGGTGTGTCATTGTTTTTGGGCTGTGAGTATGATCAAATTTTACAATATACCACTTTTATTTAGTTAGTTTTCATGGTTGTAGAATAGAAGAGTGATGGCTGAACATTATTAGGAACATGGTTAGGAATGTTATGGGTTCAGTTCACAACTGGGCAGTGATGTGACAGGTACTGGAAGCAGTGACGTGTCACAGAGTCTCAGTTTCGAACAATGACAACCTTTTCTTCCACATTACACTTCCTTGGACCTTACCGGTACAATGACAACCTTTTCTTCCACATTACACTTCCTTGGACCTTACCGGTACAATGACAAAAGTCTTCTTATCCATGTCATAGATTTATATCAGAAAGACATTTCATTACTTTAAATAATTAATCCCTTTATGAAATCAGAAAATTGTGCACTCGTAACTGTATTCGATATATAAAATGAATTGTGTCATTTCCATTCAATTACAGTGATTTCATATTGAAAAATAAAGTCAAAATTCACAAAAAGCATATTTGAAAGTTAACGTATATCAAAAATCCACTTAGTATATTTGCAATAAACCACTGGTATGTGTGTGTATATATATATATATATATATATATATATATATATATATATATATATATATATATATATATAAAGTATGCATAAATCATATTGTTAATATGAAAACAATAATGTGATTTGTTTTATTGAGTCTCAATATCCAGTCGAGAAAATAATATTTTTAATTTGAATTAAAATTTTATACGTGTTTGATTATTATTTATTCATTTTCATAATCAATTCATTCCATTCAAATTCTTTTTTTTTTTTTAACAATTTGATACTTGACAATTCAGAAAACCCCTTTTACTCAGACTGTTGTGGCACTAGTCATAAACACACAGGCTGCTTCATACCTGTGCCTGTCACAGTTGAGCTTTACCGTATCTGTTATCTGTCGCTGGCACAATCAGATCAGAGCAGTGGAACAGTGGCCCATTATTTATTTACTTAAAAATTATTTTTTAATGAATTTCCGAGCTCCAATTTGGTGTGAGGAACCAATTGAATATTGATATGAGTTTTGATTAAAAGTAATTTTTAAGTATGATTGTCCAAATTTTATTTTTGTAGCTGTGGTTTAAACCATTGTGAAAGTTATAATGAAGACTTTTGAGTTTGATTAAAAAATTTAGAAACAACAAAGAAATGGGTGACCAATTAAAGTTATATTTTATTTTACTTTTTCTTTATCAGTTTAAAACTTTCTGGATTGTATTTCTTCACTTAGTCAGATTTGTTGAATAATCTGTCTTTCACCGCTTTATTATGGTTTTCTTTCAATGATTTCTTGTCAAATTATAAATTATTGTAAGTTATTGAAATAATGTAAAACAAAGTAAAAGTTAAAAAAAAAAAATATCAAGATTGTGGTCATTAGATAAGGAAGCTATTAGAAATTATGCTGAAGGGTAAAGTTTTTCCCTCCTTTAGCTTAACCTACTGGCTTGAACTCTACTTCCATATATTTTTTGTATTGTTTGGTACTTTAATATATAATTATGCACTAGGAAACAATGGAAAGATACCATTCATTTCTTGATCACTTGAAACGGAATACTGTATTAATCCTAACATATCTCATTTGTTTGATCAGGTTGCTAATCCAAAGCATTTCGGCAGTATTATCAATAGTTTTTGATGATGGACCATCTGGTTACGACATGGATACTTCATGGTGCATTATCATAACAGCGGCTCTATCACCTATTCTGATATTTCTTCTTAATGAATTCGTCAAGTGGCAAGAAATAAAGTAATATACTTATTTTAAATGTTAAAATTAAACATGAGAAAAATTCATCAAATTTTTTTTTTCGATATTACAATTTTAACATGATGTTCATCTAATTACATTTTTCATATATCAAGATATTTCATTGAGTAAAATTCTAAATCCGACAGCAGGTTACCCTTGTAGCTTGTACATACTAAATTTTTTTACTTAATACAAAAATAATTTTGAAGGAAGTTAGCCGACTGTTCTGCGAGTACTTGAATACCTTCAGTGCTTGAAACACACCCACATGTTTGGTTTGAAACATCGGCAAAAATAAAAACTTTATAATGACTGCATCCTGAATATTTATCACCCAAGAAGTACTATATGTTCATTTGAGAAAATAGTTTTAATGGTATTTTGGGAAGTAATAATTTTTTGTTTAGATTTAAAAAAAAAAAATTTTAAATAAAAGTTTTCTAGTCATGAATGTGGTTGCTCAACAAAAATTTAATTTATAGAATTTTGAAAATAGAAGCTTCATTTTTTTTTATACTATCATAAACAAAATCTTGACTCGAGTAATTCACTTTACCAATAATTGCATCCTTTTTGTTATTAATTTTTTTTTAAATTAATGGGTTTTTTTTAAAACCATTGTAAAAAAGTAGATGCTACTTATATTTATATATTTAACATAAAAATATCCAATTTCATAAAATCACTCCTGTTTTGAAAATAATATTTTAAAAAATTATAAAATAGTGAAACAGAAACTATAATATAATTATTTCTTAAGTACATTTCTTTACATCTATTCATGTTTAAAATATCCAAATAATTATTTCAAGAAATAAATACACATAGATATTTCCTTGATATTGTTTGATTGCAAATATGAAATAAAATTTGATGAATAATTTTTCATTTGAAAATTATTATTTCATGAAATATTCTTTTAATCTATTTAATTACCACATAAATCTGTGTCCAGGTCTACTTCAAATATTTCTGAGTTATATTCATTTTTTATTTAATGGTTTCAGGGCAAATTTAAGATACGAAAAGAGAGCAAGACTTGACTTTGGCACTAAGTTAGGAATGAATTCACCGTTTTAGTGGAATTTTTTACATATCAATGAAATAAGAAGACTGTACAGTTAGTAATAATTAGACAAAGCCTAAAATGGAAGTACAATTTATTTGACTGATAGAAATAAGCATTCGAAGATTATATACACTACATATTTTACGAGTTATATGTGTAATTATGCATAATATTTAAATAAAGAAATCCTAATGAACTTGAATTTACAAAAAAGTGTGATAAAACAGTTCTTATTAGTTTTAAAAAATTGCATCATGAAAAAAATAAATGTAATATATATTTAGAAAAGTATCATTGTTTTCTAGAAATAATGATACTTTCCTAAATAATTAATGATATTAATTTAATAGCTTAGTGAAATAATTATTAACCATAAGATAATATAAGATTTAATAAACCAACTTTCAATTTGTGCAAACTATTGATCGATAAATTTTTCATTCGATATTAATTTTAAAGTATTGTTTCATTGTTATAACAATATTGTTTTAATCCGTAGTAGAGATTATTGCTATATATATCAATAGTACATGATAACCTTGTAACTTATATTATTTTTTCGACTTGAATAAAAACATCTAATCCAATAGTTCTGTGGTTGTAAATTTGCATAAATCCTTATAATAAATTTTACATAGGTTTCTACCAATTTTTTAGCCACATAGTAACTTTTGAGAAAGTTTTCATTCAAATGTTTCACATAAAATGAGGCCAAGAAGTCAGTTACAAAGTTATAATGTGAGGCCATTGATATACTATTTCCTGTTAGAGTATATTTTCATAAGCTGAAAATGTCTGGTTTATATTTATTTTTAAGGCAGCTCATGGTGATTTACAGATATTTTTTAGTGGTGCCTTCATTATTAAGCTGGTAATTACTTTTCTCTTATGTATAGCAAACAAAATAACAAAGCATTGATATAATTAATTTTTTTCTAAATTCTTGTACTTGTTTCTTCATTAACTATCAATTTATAAGAAGGAAATAACAGGTGATTAATATAAATTATAATTGAGATAAAACTATTGATGAAAAAACTGTCAATTATAAAATCATTATTTGGATTGTCTTATACTTCTGATAAATTTGGTTTTAAGAGTAAAGTCCACTGAAGTTTTTATTATAGTATTATAAAAATTTCGTAGTGTGTATTTTATTTTATGAATTGCTGAAGTGAATATTGGGCTCATATTTTTAAATTAATAAATAAATATTGAAAATTATTTCTTAAATTTTCAATTTTTATTTATTTTCTAAATTTATGACTTTTTATTCGGCCAAATTTTTCAGTTTTTACTGTTAATTCCAAACGTGTCAGAACTGAATATTGTATTTAAAATAAATGGGATTAAGTAAAAAAGAGCATTTTTGTTGTGTTTTTGTTTTTTAATATTTTTAAATCCCTCATATAAAATAATGTATTTTAATAAATAGTTATTTTTTAATAACTTGAATAACATCTTCATCATGCATAATATGCTGAAGACCAACACGCTGTGGAGAATATTTAGTGCTTGTGCCCTGAAACAAAAATTTAATTTAATAAACCAGAAAAAATTCAAAAACTGCTTTAAAATATGCTAGAAAAAATTTTAGTGCATGCCTTAAAAAATATATGTATATATATTTTAAACCATATTATGATAAAAGTTTGGCTATTCATCATGATAGAAGGTATTCCCTCATCAGACCAGTATTAGCATATATAAATATATTGTATGAATATTCAGAACCAACAAATGCTGCTGAGATTCAAAAGATAAATTTTCAGAAAAATGAGACAGATATTTTTTGAAGAAAGTGAAGCAATAGGGAAATTATGATATCGATATATTAAATTTGGGATATTGTGGTGATATTGATAAATTAAAATTGAAATACTTCGTTAGGTCATCAGACATGAGATATGAATAAAATTAGAAGTATTATTAGATCAAATATACAAAACAATAAAAAAAAAATGGAGATTAAAATGGCTAAACTAAGTTGAGAACTGCAGAAAAATCCTTGGTTTCAACAGCTGGAAAACAATCACAAAAAGTATAATGACTGGCAGTTAAACAAATTGACCGGTAATGGTAGTTTTTAGGATTACGATAAAAAACAACATTTAATTTAGTTATATTTATTAAATTTTGCATTTATCTATTTTTATAAGTAGTAATCATTAAAAATCACTACAAATTTTATTATAGTAGCAAAAATATAACAGCTAAACTATGAGATACGAGTGCGGTCTGAAAATTTTCTGACCGCAATGTGAAGATGGCAGCACTTGTAAATAAAAGCAAATGAATTTCGTTGTTCATCTGTTGGCAGTTACCTACTAAAGTTTCAGCCATTTTGGACACGCAGTTTTTATGTAATAGTCGTTTGAGTGAGTTGATGTGTTTTTGTGAAAATGGACAAAATCGAGCATCGAGCTGTCATTTAATTTTTTTTTTTTGAAAGGCAATAAGCCTACCCAAATCAAAGATGAGTTGGATTTTGTGTATGGGGAGTCTGCACCATCATTTACCACATTGAAATTTTGGGCAGCTGAATTAAAATGTGGCCATAAGAGCTTGGGAGACGAATGTTCGGGACGTCCAAAAACTGCAACTACCGATGAAAACATCGTCAAAGTTAACCAAATGAACATTTCCAATGCTCTGTTGGCGCAGTTTAGGCGCAATAAATCCAAGTTTTGGCGCCGATTAATTACTGTATGTGAAACTTGGATACACCATTATACGCCCGAAACAAAAATACAGTCCAAACAGTAGACTGCAAAGGGGGAACTGTCTTCAAAGAAGGCAAAACTGTTTTCTCGGCTGGGAAAATGTATAACTTATTTTGATATCACTGACCAGTATAGAATTTGTTATAAAACGGAAAAAAAATTCATTATATGAATCATGCAATAAATATTTTTCTCATAATCGGTAACTTTAATAAAATCTATTATATAGCTTGTTTTGTTACTCAGTATAGACCTAACTTAAATATGAAACACTTGTTTTTAAATTATTTTGAAAAAATAAAACAATAAAAAGATAATAGATAATCTTACCCAAACAAGAGCATATTTAAAAGTCTCAGCTAATGATCGGTGGATAGCATGACATACATGCTCTACAGTTACACCTTTCCTTAAAATAAGACCATCATCAAAATCAGGAGGTTGACCCGGTTTCTTCGTGTAAACTCTAATAAGAGCTAAATATTCCCATAATCTTTCTAATAAGTAATCTAAATTGAGTTTCATGTTACAACTGCAAAGAAGAAATATTAAAATAATACATGCACATAATTTAACTTTCATAGACCTAAGAAATCTAAACTACTAATTAAAAGATAAGAAAAGAAAAATTTGGCGCACAATAGACCCTTGCGGTCGCGGTACATTAAGATAACAAAAAAAAAAACAGAAAAGAAAATATAGATCTTAAAAAAAAATAATAAAACAAGATCATTGAGAAAAGAAATGGATTTGTTTGATGTATCAATGACTGATGCAAGGTAAATGTCAGAAAAAGGATATCATAACGAAGATAGAAGTTTTCAATTTGAAAAAATTAAGAACGTGGCATAACTAACCCCACTTATATTGAGAATTTATTTACTGATATCAGTCATAGCTTACCTGACAACAACACTATGAGGCTGCCTTGCTATCCTATCAACTTCTTCCATAGAAATTTGATCGATTTTATTATAAACATAAAGGCAGGGAAGGTACACTCTATTAGCTGATATTACATCAATCAGTTCATCCGCAGTACAGTCTTCTCTGAATAATACTTCTGCATTGAATATTTTATATTCATGAAGTATCATTTGAACGAGCTTTTCATCAACTCTGGTAAGTGGACAAGTTGAATTGAATGCAATACCTCCACCCTTTTTAACCTATAAAATGGATTCCATTAGTAAGAAAAAAAATATTTTCTCTCAATCAAGAGATATGGTAAACAGAATTTGTTTCCTTAATCTATGTATGACACAGGGTGAATGCACCAGTTATGGACAGGGGGTCCAGTGATGGAGAGATTGGAATTTAAATGTAAATAATAAATTAGTAACAAAATAATCAAGAAAAGGAATATAAATGTTAGGTTATTCTTGGAAAAATTACAAACCACACAGCCTTATGTCTCCAAAATGAAGGCAAAGAAAAATCTGTCAGATAGCAATGGGACAGACTATAACAAAGACACCACACTTATTAATTAACCATAATGATTTCTCTTTTATTATGGTTACAAATTGACAATAAGAATAATTATAATTATATAATAATATAAATTAGCAATAAGGCCTGATGCATAACAGAGGTTTTTTAAGAAATTAAAAATCTGTTCGAACAGTGGTTTTATTCAGTTTATTTTATGTTGATATAAAATAATAGAATATGAATTACAGAATACATGTAAATTACAGTTATACAATTTATATCACTGTTTATTTAATTTTACTACTCAGTAAAATTAAATGAACAGTGGTATAATTTGTAAAATGAGGGTTGGTCCGCCATCAAGTATACAATAAAAAAAAATTGTATAGTAATTCACAGAGCTGTTTTTAACCATTTGCCTGTTACTGTTCCAGAGATGGGGCATTATTTTAATTATTTATTTTTTAACAACCTGAAGTTATTTATTTGTAAAAAAATTTTTTTACTCATTAAATCGAGGATGAAATATTTTTATTAAAATTTTAAATAAGGATATCATTTTTAATTTAAAAAAACAAGATAAGTAAAAATTGACAATTTTTGTGTGTCGAGGTGTATACTAATATAAAATGTCATTTTACTTTTACTTACCTACATATGATATATGTATATGTATATATAAAATTGAGTAAAGTATTGCAAATGTAAACATTTTCGAATCTAAGTTTTAACGGAAATACACATTTTGAGGTCCCCTGAGTCCAAATAACCAAGTCCCACAAAATGGTGTGTGTGCGTGTTTGTTTGCCTGTTTGTTAACATTCTAGATCAAAAGTGAAAAGTTGTACAAACGTGAAATTGGATATTTAAGGTTTTTATATGCCTGAGATATTACAGCAACTTTTTTTGTCAAAATTGGTTAATCGGAAGTGGCATTTATATCATCGATATAACACATTTTTATGATTTTTTCGAAAACGGCTCTAACAATTTGGATTAAATTCATTATAACAGTGTAAAATTAAGCAGTTTTTAATATAACATGCTTTATTCTCATTGATGTTTTCTAACAGGGCTTAAATGGCTAATTTTCAATATTAGCTTTCTTTAAAGTATCATTAATTTTTTTAATGATGTAGAGATGGTTGACCGTTGATATGATATGAGAAGGAGTTAGTTGAGGGTGCGGTCCAATAAATAAATAAAAAATTAAAATATATAAATAATTTTAATTTTTGCCCAAAATTATTTATATATTTAAAATTATTTATATATTTTAATTTTTTTTTATTTATTGGACCGCACCCTCAACTAACTCCTTCTCACATTAATTTTTTTATTTGAAATAATTAACCATTTCACATTAATCTCTCATATAAAAAATAAATAAATATAAAATATGAAAGAATTTGATAGTTAACTAAAGGAGAAATAAGAGATTGTAACAGATAATAGTTGTAATTGAAGAACCAAAGGAATACGAACGTGCCCGAGCTCACCTCAAAGATTAGAACATGCTTCCATAGGTAACATAAGCTTAATATAATACAGACTCTGACAATATTATGTACTTTCTTATTATGTTATCATTGCTATTATTTAAAATTTAATTGTATGGATTACTACAGTGATATTCAAATTAAAATTTGTGTATTTAAGGGTACTTAAACAAATAAAAATACACATAATGAAATCCTCCTAAGAGGATGGTAAGTGAAAGTCGAGTGATGTGAGCACCAGATTTTTTATTATTAGTGCCAGAAACTTAATTTGAAAATTGTTTTGATTTCTTATGGCAAATTAATAAAAAACAAGCTTTATACATAAAATATTTAAGTGAAAAATTCTTAGAATTAGACATGGTAATTTGAATTTGAATGTTCCACAAATGGAACACTGTGTAATCAATCAACAGAAACTTCTGTTTAATTTTTTTGTAGCACAGAACTGAAGAACTACTAATTCCAATGTTAAGGTTTTCAATATTTTTTATTTCTTTCCAGTAGAGTCCTATAAAGTCAACTTTTTCTGTTTCTTTGAAATTTTGTAAAATATTGTTTATTGTTTAAATAAATTATTGCATCAAATATCATTTGAATAATGATATGATTTTCATTTAGTAATTAATTTGTTCATGTTGTAATGAAATGAAATTTCATTATAAAAAATAATAAATAAAATAAAATAACTGAAATCTACCATGTTTTCACAGAAATATAGCGTTTTGAACTTTGCTCACATTTTTAACTTTGTACTATACAATACATAGTAAAGCACATGGGTACTACAACCTGTTTCAAATTTTCTTTAAAATATCATAAATAAGTATTTACACCTAAATTAGATGCAGGAGGTTTGAAGGTATGACAATAATATCATGTAAATCAAGGGTCTATCAAGAATTTACTTTGGAAGGGGGTTAATAATTTTACAATCATAATAATTTTTTTAATAAAAAACTAATAACTTTTTTTAATAAAAAAAAGAAACCATCACTTATTACCCACAAAGGGTCTTAGGATCAGCACTTGGCCAAAAATTGTGCAAGATGATTAGATCAGCCCAGAACCACACTCAATCACTAGAAATTTCCCCAATTAGGGGTACACACTTTATGGAAGCAAGGTATACTCTAAGAGAATATTCCTATCTCAGGGTCAATCCGCAGCAGATGTAACAGAATAATTAATTATCGGATTATTTTATATAAATATTAATTACTGAGACATACTTTCCATGAATAGAAAATTAATTAAAGTGTTGAGAAAAAATACTTTTTTCTATTTAAAGACTAAAACTGTCATCTTTCCGCTTTTGGAATATGTCGGAAAAAACCCTAGAAATTTTTATTGTTTTCCAACTATCTAAACTGTACAATATTGAGACCAAAATAACAGAAAAAAAAGTTCACTAAGAATAGGGGAGGGGGAAAGGGGGTTAATGTTATTTGTTCATAACAATATTTCAATTATATAGTCGGTTTACTACAAAAAGCCGTTCAGTAACATTTAATGAATTTTACATGATCAAATTTGAAGTTCCTGAATCATTAAAATAAATACTAATATAGCAATTTGATTTTTTTTTGCAATTCTAAATCTGTATTCTATTTCCGACAATAAATTAAAATACTTAACGCATACATAGCAATGGAAAAACTGAAACTACGACGCACATAGTGACTTTTTAAACAATACCACAGTAAAACAAAACACTTACTTTTATAACATAGCAAGTGCATAGGATGTGAGTTAGACTTACTTCACTTAATCAAGTTTTAGTAATTTAATTAATTAATTAACTAATTTTCCAGTGACAGAAGGCATTTAGTATCAGATAGTGAATTTTTATGTTCTACTTTAACCTTATTTAGAGAACAAGAATTTCATTGAGTAACGTGACGACTTTTTGCTCGGTATAGTGAAACTATTTTTTATATATAAAAGGATTTATATTATTTGCATGCAATTAATAAGTTATTCTATTGATAAGTATGATTGAAATTAACAACTACGTACCTTGAGGTTTAAATTGACCAAAAGTGTACTCAGTGACTTTTTGCAATAAACCAACGATATATTAAATAACAATAAATAAAAAAGGGAAAAAATCATTAGATAATAGTTACCTTAAAATAAATGTTAGGTTTCTGTTTATTTAACCTAATACCAACAGATTCCAACTCTTTTTCCAGTAATAGTCTCTGCACATCTTGTTTTGTTGCATCTAACATCATCAAGACAACATCTGCTGTTCTAGCAACCGCTATTACCTGGAAATATTAAACCACAATTAAAGGCGCTATCAAAACCACTATACCCTTAGATAAACAAAAACTACTCTGAAAATGAATTGGATCACTTAATATATAATATATATATATATATATATATATTCCAAAAAAAAAAAAACAAAAAAAAAAAAAAACAGTGAACAATGAACAAAGAAACATTGTCTATCCTTTAGCCCAAAGAATTTTAATTTAACGACTATAAAAGTTTTTCTTAGTTTTGGCATTACAAGATGCAGCAGCTAGTTGAGACTAAAACACTTCGAATTAGCCTATTTATTAGTTGACCGTGTAAGTAATGACAGAAAAGTAGTCCAGGTGGCGATGAAGAAAGGAACTTATAATTGTAAAAACTATTTATTATATACCAACATTTCGAACCTGTTTGCAGGGCTTGGTGGCAGCATATCCTGTCATCAAGGCCTGATGAAGATCAGAAGTGTGTCAAACATTGGCTTTTATAAATAGTTTTAATTATTTGAAGTTCCTCTCTTAATAACCACTTGGACCATCTATTCCTTCATCAACATATTAGTTTTAAGTTGACTAAAATGTAAATATTAAAATTTAAATCACTTTATATGAAGGAAAATAAAAGACTACAACAGTTTTGTATACTAATTATACACTTACTTCTATTAATATTACCATGAGAACACTGTCTACAATACCAGAATTATAAGTTCATTTTAAGATAGAGTTTTAGGATCTTAAGATTTACTAATTATAATGCAATTTTACCAATGGAAACTAAAACTATTATACTTTAGTTAAATCATACCTGTCGACCTCGACCTTTTCCTTGTGATGCACCTTCAATAATTCCAGGAAGGTCCAATAACTGAATGTTAGCACCTTTGTATTCCACGACTCCAGGTATACATGTCAATGTTGTAAACTCATATGAAGCAGCTTCACTGTGAGTTGATGTCAATGTACTCAAAAGTGTAGACTAAAATATATCAAGCAAAATAAAGACGATCAACATTTCTTTGACTATTAAAAATGAATCACTCAAAACTACCAAAATATCCATACATTATGACATCAGTAACACAACAATGATGCAGACACTAAAAAAAAGAAAACTACTGGATAGGTAAAACGTTAAGAGAATTAATATTTCACTCACTAACTTAATTAATTCCAAATTATTATATTTGAGGAATTTTAAACTACACATGAAACAACAGAAATTAATTAGACTAGACATTATACATAGTTTCATATTAGAATTTAAAATAGAAATACAATTTACAAACATGTCACCACTGAATTATAATGCACTAAAACCTCAGAAAAATGTTTAGAGTAATACCTTGCCAACAGAAGGAAAACCTATCAATGCGACTCTAGCATCTCCTGACTTCAGGACATCAAATCCTTCTCCTTTTTCACCTTTTTTAGATGGTTCAAGTAACTGGGCTCTATACTTGGCTAATTTAGCTTTTAATACTCCTAGATGGTACTCAGTCGCTAAAAAAAAAATTATCTTCAAGTAAATGCAAAGTGGACAGTAAATGGATCACCAAAGAAGCTTATTTAAAATACCTTTATTTTTTTGAGTACGAGCTATTTCTTTTTCTATCTCCGATATTTTATCGAGGATTCCCATTTCTGTAGGTATGTATTAATTCAATTATTAAAGAAAAATACACAATCCTGGACGGTGCACCTAACCTGCATTTGTCTATCTTCCCTCTGTCTTACATGCTTTGACAGTGTAGAGAGAAGCACGTTACCTCTCTTACCTGGGGGTTTATAGTCTCTTTAGAAACGCCAAAAGCGTTATTTATATTTGTTACACGCATTGAGAATATTTTATATGTATAATTTTAAATTATTAAATTAAAATTTGATACGATATATTGAACTGCTTCCTTATAATTTTTTAACATGTGTGTAATGAAGCGGCGAAAATTTGATATCTCTACCTATTTGTCACTATCGATAGTTGTCTTGCGATTCTTCAGTGATCGTTCAGTTCAAATTTAAGATAAGAACAATAACCTTTTGTTGATAAATGTTTCATCAATGAGTACATTTCCACTAGTTTAGTTTTTAGGCGTATTTTGGTATTTCACACTATAAGTTCTCTTATCATAACAATCAACTGCTTTGTGATGCTCTCTTTAACTATTATAAATCTTAAGAAATGTAGACATCTATCATCAATTAATAATTTTATTAGAAAAAGTTTTTGTTCTAAAGTTCCAAAAAAACCCTTTAGTGCTATAGATCTTTCAAAGTTACCTCCCTCTACTAAAATTGACAAAGAAACTATAGAGCACCTCGAAAGAATTTCATTGGTAGATTTTGGTGATGAAAAGGGAATAAAAATTGTGGAAGAAGCTGTTAGATTTGCAGATCAATTGTTCTTGTGTAATACGGATGGTGTAGAACCTTTAACAAGTCTTCTGGAAGATAGGTATTTTCTAAAATTAATTTGAAAATTTGTAGAGTACTTGTTCACAAGTGTTACATCTATGTTAATAGATTGGTAAAAGTGCATCAATCATATTGTATATGGAATTCTGGAAATATGCTTTTGTTGATAACTATGTTCATGTGTGCCCTTGTTGTGCTCACTTGAGGGACACAAAAATCCCAAGCGGATCCTTTTCATTTGAGGATAAGGCTTAATAAGCCCGATGTCCTTGACAGAGGGGATGGATCCTTTTCAATTCATAATCTTATATATTCCCTAATTTATTTCTCTGTATTATTTCTTACATAATTAGCTACTATCAGGATTCTATGTTCAATGGGATTTTTATTCACCTACCAACCAGATGTGCTACACAATGTTCACTTCGTGACCTAAAGTACCTATTCTTATGTATTTATTTTTTCCATTGGATATTCTAAAACATGTTTTATGTTAATAGAGCCTTGCCATTAAGGAGTGATGAAGTTGTAGATGGTAATAAGAGTGATATATTGTGTAATGCTAAAATCGTCGAAGAGGACTATTTTGTGGCACCTCGGGGCAATGTTCCATTAGAACCTAAGCAATACAATTTTGATTTAGATGACAAGAAAGTAAAAAATGAACAAAGTAACTAACGATGTACTCAAGAAAATAATCAAACATGCTGAGGATTATGGTTTCTTGAAAATTATTGAAAATAATGGCATATGCGAGTATTTTACACTTGGACCTGCTGGACAACTTTTATCTGAAAATATTAGAAAAGAATGGATGTACTCTAATGTGACTCATAGAGAAAATAATGTATTTACTTTTAAATCTTTGGAAAACAACTCCAATTTCTTAACTGGTTTGTTAAATTTACATTACTTTAATTTTATTTAATCATGTTTATGTTACTATAGAGTTCACTGATGGAACTGAATAATTAATGACATTTTATTTTATTTAAGTAATAATGCATTAAAAGTGAACATAATTGATAAATTTTTGTCTTATTTATTTTTACTATCAATCAAGTGTGAATATCGATATTGTTTGTGATTAAAAATAATGTTAACTTTATATTATAAGTCTGTTGAGTCAATTAAATGTATTCTTTTGAAGAAAAGATATTTATTACACAGATCAACCTTAACCGCAATATAACATAGTACTTATAATTCAAATTGAACCCAAATAAACAATAATTTTTATATATGTATGTCGGCCAGTCTATAGGTTTTTAAATTTTATTATTCCTGATTTTTGCCACTTAAAAAAAAAAAAATCATGTTCTGTTTCCTAAGTTAAAAAGATGTTTAAGAATCTACATGTTTATTATAATTAACAAATTTATTAATCCCGGTATATGCGTTTTTTCTGTATAAATGATAGTTATTAACTATTTTAATTATGTTTATATATTCTAAAAATTTACATAAGAAGAAAACTTTTTTGAGAAACCAGTGTCTATATTTATTTATAGAAATAAATTATTGTGAAGGTGACAGGGTAAAGGGTTGGAGAAGTGGTTAGGTATGACACCTCAATGTAAAGATACTTTGGTTTTGACATGTGAATGCCACAAGCCCTCTGTTTGATCTAATTTGAATAGTGGTGTAGAGAAAAGCTGCCATGGCTCTTTGTTGTGTAATGATAAATCTTTAATAGTTTATCAATATAAAGTGGATCAAAAAAAGTATTGGCACATCTAACTTTTTTCATGTTTCATTGTGAATAAACCCAAAATTGATTAGTTAAACATTTTTATTTAATAAAAGATTAAAAATAGATAATTGGGGAAAAAAGTTAAATTTACTTAATTAAAAAAATCTGTACACGAAAAGTCACTTTAACATGGTCAAAAAAATATTGGCACACTTTAATTTGAGAGTTATTTCATACCATTGGCATCTATGACACCGTTAAATCTTCTTGGCATTGTCAAAACAAGATTTTGAGTTAGGTCTAGTCCATTTGAAACTATTTCTCTGACAGAGTTTCTTTTAAATAATTTTTTGGAGGAATTTTATTTTTCTTATTTTAAAATCCAACAGATACATTTTTTTTAATTTTGCTGTGTGCTTGGTGTCTTTATTTTATTATGTCGCAAAATATCGACATATTGGTTGGCATTCATAATATTTTCAATAAAGGTTAAGTTTCCAACACCATTCCATGACATGCTCCTTCAAACTTGGGCACTTCCACATCGATGTCTTACAATGGCCCTCAAATGTCGAGCTTAAAACTCAGGGTCATTTTTCCGCCAAACTTACTTGTCATCATCAGAACGAAGTTAGTTAAACTTACTTTGATCTGAAGAAATAACATTTTTCCATCATTCGAAGTCTTTATTAACTTTTGGTCAACTCAGGTCACCTCTGTAAAAAACTTTTTTTTCCTTTGGAACTGGACATAATAATAATGTATATGAATTATATTTCTAACATAAGGTGGTATTTAAAGTAGATTCAACCTCTTCTGCTATTTTGTTGGCTGATAAAGTGCGATTTCACCCAACAATTTGATGGATATACTATTGTGCTCTCCCATTTAATTTTGTTGGCCGTTCTGAACAGGGTTTATTTAATACTTTCTAAACTTTTGTGCAATATTCTGAACACTACTAAAACCAATTTCTAATTTCTTGGTAGCTAAGTCCATTAGAATGTAATTTAATTATGTTTTTTTTTAAACTGACACAATATTGATTGGTTTACCCATGTTGTTATGCCAAATATACAGCGAAGGCTGATTTTTATTGTTGTCATTGTATTATCATTAATCCTCATTTCTAATATCTCAAAAGAAAAAGGAATCATTGGTTTTGACTGAAGCTAATAGTAAACATTTAAAATTGTGCCAATGCTTTATTGATCCCCAAATCTTACTCTTTATTTTTATTTTAAACATAGCTTTTGAATTCTAAACATGCATTTCTTCTAAAATATAATACTCAAAGACCACTTTGTTATATAAATATTATTTCTCGAAAATATCTTAATCCTATTGAGATTTTCATAAAAATTGGAGTGTGCCAATACTTTTTTGACCCACTAACTTAAATTTTGGTTAGTCCTTTGTTGTATATTTAGGTTCAATTATCATATTCATAAATGTATGTCCTATTGTATGTTAGTTGGAAATCATATAATTGATAATTTCATTTACCTTCACTAAATCACATGACTATATTGTAATTCTTAGGTTATTCATTTTGTGTGGAAGATAAACAAAGAATTACAGCAAAAGGACATATATTATTTTCTTAATATTCAGCTAGTTCAAATTGTAAATATTTTGATTTGTGTATATATCTGGAGCAAGTTAGTTCAGCGATTAAAGCAATGTTTCATGTGAAAACATATATATGTGTACTTTGGTGACTTCTTTTATTGATTCACTCATTCAATTCTAAGAAACTAGCCATCTTATCTAGTTTCTGCTTAAATATATTTTTAATATTTAAAAATTTTCATATTTACGCAGCATATTTAATTTTAAATTTAATCAACTATAATAATAAAAAATGGAAAAATATATCCAACTTAAATACACATGAAATTTTAATATTTATAATTTACCAAAAGTAATTCCATAAATACTATAATGTTCTACCTCATCTGTCGCTGTCTTTTTACTGTAACCTATATAAAATCAATAATATCCAAATAAATTTACAGTTAACATTTATTTCTTCCTTAACTTATATTTATCTTTATTTTTTTAGATATCAGGGAACCATACAAGATTGCAAAAAATTACATTAATTCTGAGTGTCCTTTTGGATTGGTAGATATTGGTAACTATTCTGTAGAAAATGACAGTTTAGAAAATAAAATAATTTATCCTAGAAAACATCAGTTGATGCGTTATTTTGCTATTTTACCGCCTAAGGAATCAGAACAATTTTTTTATCGATACCAACAACAAAGAAAGAGATGGTGGAGGAAAGTAATTGTTTTTTTAATGTTCAATTTTTTAAAACATTATGTTTTTTGAGTATTGTTGTTGGTTTTGTTTAATGTTTTTAAATGAAATTACAAATTTTAATTATATGAATTTATTTTGTATGATGTGAGGTTTATTTTGATGTGATTTTTAAGGTATTAAATAAATTCTGATTGATTACATCAACTGATTTTAACTATTCAAGCTTATTTTATATGGGTATATTATGTTTATTTTAACACTTACTAAATAATTTGTTTTCTAAAATTTAAATGGTTATTTTATTTTATTTCCCTAATTTAATTGGTCAATGTTTCGAGCTATACTTTACATATTCATGAACCACTCTTCTTTTCTTGCAATTATTATAATATTTGTCATTTATTAGTTAAAGAATAAAAGTTTAAGAACAACATTTCATCTTAATATTAATCAAAGTTTAATATTAATTATTATTTGGATGTTTTAATCATTCATGTAAACGAAGCTATATATCTGAAATTATTATATATCAAATTCTACTACAGTATTTTATTACTATTTAACTCCCTATGATGGCGAAATGGAAGAGTGGAAAAAGAAAAAAAATTACTGATCATTATTATAACATCTAACTGGCGAACTAATTTCAAGTTTTTCTTAATTTTGTTTTGTACATCTTACTACTTCTGTTAAAAAAAAAAAATGAAAGATATTCATTTAGTTTTATCAAACTATATTTCTAATAAAATTTGTGCTAATGTATATCATAAATGTTTATTTTTCTTTTAGTTTTCATTAGATCCTGGTAGATTCAGGTTTGAAGAAATAGAAAAATGTAATGATAACATTGGATTAATTGCTAAAATTGGTGCTGAATACCCATGGGGTTTTCATTGTTTGGAAACTGTACATTATCATGGTGGTTTACCATTTCAGAACATTTCGTTAGATGATGTGAACATTTTTTCTGTATGTACCTATTACTCTGTTTTTATTAATTTTAGCACTTCTTACTTAAATTAATAAATTTTCTGTCTATTTTTTTTTTTTTTTAGGTTCGAGTTGGTAAGAAGAGATGTCTTCCACATATTGTAGAATGTAAAGTTAATTTAGACTATGCTATATTTTCATATTTTTGTGATGCATTTACAACCAAAAGAAACAAGATAATATTGAAATTCCATCGAAAAATGGCTCCCTTCAAGTTTTCTTTTGCCTGCGATGATACTTCAGGTAATTTAAAAAATGCAGGGTGTTCTTACGGATTGGGTTTTTATTAGTTAGTAATGTTTGCTAGCTAGATCCAAATTATTCTCATTAAAATCCCAGTTGGTAGAAACAAAATCATGTATGTTACAGAGTTATACCTTATACAATCATGATGATCAATTATAAATCATTTAAGATAAGAAATTCAATGAAATCAAATGTAATAAGACATGATTTAATCTGTTCTTTTCCTATCATATCCTAAAAAAAAGAAGTAAATAACAAAACAATTAGAAATACTGTTGTGTACTTATCTTCAAAAATAAATCTTTTGAAATTATACACGGTTTTTCGTAATTGCATGGCACTGTTTTAGGTATATGTTCACTAACACAAAATAAACAAGTTCATATTAACGTATGTTTTTAAAATCATTTACAGATATCAAAGGTTAAAGATTAATTATTTATTATTACTATTTATTCAGTATTATTACAATATTTAGAATAACTGTTCAAAGGAGCCTTCTGTTTGTTCAATGCAACATTTAGCACGACAAATCCATGCTTCTCTGGCTCCTTATATAGCATCAGGATGGTGCTTAATAGTTACTGCCGCTTCCATGATCCGATTTCTTAGCTCTTCTTGCGTGCCAACTGCCATAGAATAAACCATAGACTTCATTCGGCCCCACACAAAATAATCTAATGGCATTAAATCCGGAGATCGTGGCGGCCATTTAACAGGTCCGTTTCGACCAACCCATCAGTCTCCATAATTACATTTAAATAATCAGTGACACTATTAGAAAAGTGAGCTGGAGCACCATCATGCATAAACCACAGCCTTTGCCTAATACCTAGCGGAATATCTTCTAGGATCTTCTAGGAGTTCATGAAGATTATTTTGCAAAAAATGTAAGTAAGATATTCTGGACAGCCTAGATGGCAAAAAGAAGGGGCCGATGATATTGTCGCTTAGAAGACCACACGAGACATTTAAAGAAAAGGTATGCTGGTAATGTCCAACAGCAGTCGTATGAGGGTTTTTTTCAGCCCAAGTATGGGTATTTTGAAAAATTAATAATCCCATTTCTTGTAAAGCAAGATGCATCAGTAACCAAAATGCAGTTCAGGAAGATAGGATGTCGTGTGCATTGTTGAATGAACCACTGGTAGAAATTTCTGTGCTTTTTATAATCTTGTGGTAACAAATTTTGCCTACTCAATACGTGAAATAGGTACAATTGTTGTTTGTGTAAAGTTTGTCATATACTGGCAGAGGAAACATCGAAATGTGACAATCTTGTGGTACTAATAGTAGGAGATAACTGAACAGCATCAAGTATTTCTTCTTCAACGTTTGGAATTCTTGGAAATGTTCGTCGACCGGTGTTTACTCGTATTGGTTTTAGCGTGCTATTATGTCTGAGGTGTCTTTCATTGGCCTCAAACGTTTTATGATTTGGTATTCTTCGGTTAGAAAATTTTTCACGATATCTTGGAACAGCAATAGCGCCGTTTCTATGTACCTCGTCGTAAGTTGAAATCATGTCTGTATGTTCTGCAAAAATGAATAAATTTATGAAGAGAAGAATAGTTGGGATGTTCAGTCAAAAAGGAAGGCAAAAATAAATTATAATATTTATTTTTTACATATGCCGACGTTTCGACCTGAAGTTCAGGCCTTCATCAGGGCTAAGAAAATAACACCTACAAGTAAAATGAAATTGTTAGAATAATGACTAAGAACTATATATAATCAAAAAGGGGTGACAAACACACATCTCTTCTCTCTCCCCCTCCCTTGTAACGACTTTTATTCTCCCTTCGACACTTAAGGAGAAAGGTAGTACTTCTTTTATTTCTTTCTTATTTCAGCTTTCTCAATTTCTTCCCTCCTTCCTTTCATTCCTTTTCTCTGTTTTTAACTCTTTATTATATTATACATTGTTTGTTCATCTTGATAGACTTTACAATATCTCAATTTTCTATCTAACTACTCCATTCTCAATGTTTTAATTTTATTATTTATTTTCATTTCTTATATAACTTTATATTTCTTTTTTATGTTTTATTCTAAGATTCCCATTGTAACACTTTTGTCACCCTTTTTTGATTATGCCTACTTCATCATTCCACACTATGTAACAGTTTTTATTATTTATCTCTTAGTTCTTAGTCATTATTCTAACAATTTCATTTTACTTGATATTTATCTATTTTATTTTTCTAATAATTTTTTTTATTTTATTTTTTTTTATATTTTTTACCATCATTACTTATGTTTCTCATACCTTGTTATCTGGTTATTTTCTTAGCCCTGATGAAGGCCTGAACTTCAGGTCGAAACGTCGGCATATGTAAAAAATAAATATTATAATTTATTTTTGCCTTCCTTTTTGACTGAACACCCCAACTATTCTTCTCTTCATTATCCACGACAGTCAACCAATTACCAATTATGAATAAATTTATGGTGTCTCCCATGATAATCATAAATTGAACTGTTTCACAGTATTCACTCACACAGAATTAGACAAACAGATTAGCAATTACTGTCATTGCTTATCGTTCATTTATTTATAAAACCTGTTATTTAGTATTAAACACGTTAAACTTTGTACAATCAGTCTTAATGTAGTAAATAAATAATAAATCTTTAACCTTTGATATCTGTTTAATAAATGAGTTTGAGATATATGTTAATATGAACTTTTTTGTTTATCTTGTGTTAGTGAACACTTACCTAAAATAGTGCTGTGCAATTACGAAAAACACTGTTTAACAAATTTTTTGTAATCTTCCTAACTCCATCTGAAGGAGATGAGTTTAAATAATGGGTTGGATACTTTCTTATCCAACTTTTTGGTGATTGATGTTCTTGGTCTTGATTAAATTGATCTAAAATAATTAATAAATTATTAGAATTTATGCAATATCAGTGAAAAACAAAATAGTTTTAAGATATTTATTATTTCAAAAATATGAAATATTTTTTTTAAAAAGTCACTGAAATCTATAACTTCAAAAATGAAAATGAAATAAATGTGAATAACACAAAATGAATTAATAGAAATTATTAAGATAAAAAAAATATAAATGCAATGTAAGGAATACGATAGCTGTGAGATAAAATATAAAAAAACTCTCTGGACAGAATGAAATTAAAATCCATTCACGAAAAAATTCATAACAAATTTGTTTTTTGACCTGTTTGGACTTGAGGGGAATAGCAAGGGCAGTGATTTTATACAAATTAGACAAAGATCCAGGTCGGGTTCAAACTAGTGAGTCAAGCTTGATTTGAGGTTGCTAAAGTAACTCCTTAATACTCAGCCTCCATGGCCTCATCAGGAATCGAAGAACCTGATTACAAAAAGTAATACAGGGACACAAAAAATTATGAAATCAATATTTGGATAGGAACCATAGTGCTATGTTAGATTTTTAAATTATCCCATGAAAACATCACATCACTCTTATCTACCTCAATCACAATATGACAAAATGGCTTATATAATTAAGCTATTAATAATTGGATCTATATTTTGACCCACCCAGGCTGCTAAGGTGATGTCTTTACATTCCCAGGCATCACATGCTCAACTTAGTTTATATACTTTTTGAAGTTACATATATAGGTAAAGAAGGCCTTTTTTTTTAATGCAAACCCCTGGCCTAAGCTTGTTTCCATGATAACAGTTACCGTATAACTTACTGCCAGGAACCGTAGTAATCACTTCCATCATGTAAACTATGCTGTCATGGTAGTACTGTCACACTATCAGGTTTCACTTTATAGTTGACAGAACATATCACAATAGCTACAGCTATTACCATGTGTTAGTGCTCTTTAGCATCTGTTGCCACACTACCTAATCAACTGGAATGGTAATTGGGCAGTGAAACATTGTTTTTATAATTGATTTTATCCAATGTTTATTATGTTAGTTGATCCTTGGCAGATGAATAAAAACTTTTTTTTTAATTATAAATTTCTTTCATTGGGTATTTAGTTGAAATTGAATTAGTTATTGAAATTAAGTTTAAAGATTTAAAATAAATAAATTTGCCTTTATTAACATAATTTTGACATCAGCTGTTCAGTACCTACCATTTTTCCCAACTGTCATTATATAAACGAGACTTAAGTTGATGATGGAGCAAGCAGGAGTTAGAAATTATTAGATTAGAATTTATTATTTGTCGTTCATTTAGTTGATTTTTGGGATTAAAAAAAGCAATGCCTAAAACTGATGGTTATGACTAGAGACCGGTCAGTAAAAATTAAAACGTTTTCGTGCAGTAAAAATCTGGAAAACGTGCAGAATAAAACTTAAAATGTGCAAAATCATGCAGTATAAACCCAAAATACTTAAAATTGTGTAATTAACACCTAAATACGTGTAAAATCATCAATATTGTTTATTTTATAACATTAATACATCAAAATCTTATCAGATCTTGAGTTAACCGAGAGAATAAAAAAATTAATTGTAACATTTAAAATAAATTCCAGATTGTAATCAACTATTATAATAACGATTATTATCAAATAATGCAGAGCATTGAAGATTTGAAAGAATAAATGAAGGTAGGAATTATAGGTGCCTATTACATAGATCAGACCAATTTTAGATATGTGACTATTATTGAAAATTATAATGAAAACTTTATTTTTTAATAGAGTTGAAGTTTCCAATATTATATATTCCCAAACGTTTTTGTTAAAGTTTAAAGAATTTCAAAAAAAAAATTGAAATAGACTTTAATGTTTGAGATTTTCAAGTGTTCAAAAATTAGTGTTGAAGCTGTTTTTCTATAACAGTAAAAGAAATATTTTTGGGAATTACATTCTTTCTAAAAAACATTCAATTCTTTCATAAGAATATTTTTTTCTTACTTGTTCTCCAATGAGCATCTGTCAGTGATTTCCTACCACCTGATTGATTCATAAGGTGTATAGAACTTTCTCATCAAATTCTTTGTCCTCAGATTGCAAATCGGGGTATTTTTATATCCAGATTTTAATTTTTGACAGAAGACAAGATTTTACTTTCAGCAATATAATTTTTTTTTTTTTTTTGATAAAAATGAAATTTCCACAAATCAATTCAAAGCCTGAAGTGATACTGAAGGGTTGAACGGGGGTAAGGATTCAAGCCAAAACAATAACTGTAAATGTCTTACTAACAAAGCAGCTTAGGAAAGCTTATCATACTTTAGGCAATTTCTATTCCAAGAATAGATCTCACTTGTGTTTACATCTTCCTTTTGTAATGAATACGATTTTTGCTTCACATAGTATTATTTGCCTTCCTTATATTTTTATATTTTGAATAATGAATTTAATTTGAACAATATAGTGAAATAAAAAGTAAAATAAATATTAATACACTCACTTATACATTTGTATTTATAAATCATCTAATTTTGCACAAAAGTGCAAAATCAAAATTGTGTAATTTAAGCCAAAAACAGCAAAACGTGCATTATAAAATTTAAATATGTTATTCTACAGGTTCTGAAATGAATAGATGCTCGAGTCCGGAGTTTTTTTAAAAAGTGCAATAACATGGAAATCCGGTCTCTAGTTATGACTATTACTTTATATCTTGGTAAATGGAATGTCTGTTAGCATTGCAAGTTTAATCTATTTTCATTTTTCTCCAACTCCTCTCAGAAATTGTATTGTGAAATGGTTATTTAAATTCGAGCCATACTTTAATGATAGTATTTCTGATTGAAATAAAAAAATATCTGTTGGGTTTCTAATTTCCTTTCATCATTCTTTATTTATTTTGATGCACTCTAATGATTGGCAAAATATTAACTACAGAATAGCAGTATTCATGCTGTTTCTATTTATATATTTTTATACTTACAATATACCCTGTTGATTTTAGTCGAAGAGAGTAAAACTTTGCATGAAATCGCTGAACTAATGTGCCTGGAATTAAGGAAAGCTGGGTTACATTGCTTACTTCCATCAAGAAGTGATTTTACCAAAAAACTTTATATTCAGCTGATAAAATCGGATTCATTAGGGATTCCTTATACTGCTGTAGTTACTAATGAGACTCTTAATAATGGAATATTTGGCCTATATTCCAGAGATACAACACTTCAAGTTAGTATATGTTTTTATTAATATTTAATAATTTCTAACGTTTCATTAAATTTCCAATTTATGAGGAATGGAAATTAAATTTTGCTCACTATGTGTTTCAATATTTTTAATATTATTTTTATTGCAGGAGCAAGTGCATATGGGAAAGATGGCTGAATATGGTGAATTACTAATGAAGAATTATTAGTGATCTACCAAACAGTTGTTTTTAACATTTTCGTTGTCTTAAAACAATACTTTTTTATCCTGATAGTTATTTAGAGTCCCGAATAATTTCAAAAATTCGAATTTTTGTAATTTGTTAGAAAATGAGTGAATTGATCATTGTGTTAAATTATATTTTTGTTTTAATATTGATTAATCTAATTTTTTTTCTACCTTTTGTGTGGATCTAACCATGTAAAAAATATTTATAATATTATTGGAAGATTCCAAACAAAAAGCCTTTTATCTATAAAACACCATTAACTAACTAACCAATCAATGTTATGAAGTATATATGAAGTATATATGACTTATGAAGTATATATGTTTATTATATAGATTTTTAGTAATATAAAAGAGAAACAATTCAAAAGAGGCATAAATTAATTATTAGGATATAACTTAAAAAAAATCTAACAATCAAAATAACTCTATCCACCCTACAGAAATTTTCTTTTAAAATCCTTGTTAGATTTTTAAGGAAATTGATGTCCATGAATATTTAAAATTGTTTAAGTATAGCCAATTTATTTACAGCTTATATAATCTCGAACTTACTCATGGTATGATATGAAACCAACAAACATTGAGAATACTTATTCTACAAATAAAATATGTTTTCAGTATTTTGAGCTTAATTTTTTTCAAAACACTCGAAAGTTGAGTAATTCGAGCCATCAAACCATAAAGTAGGTCAAAGGGTTCGCTTAAAAATTGTTTCTTATTTACAAATAATCACCACAAACATATAACTCTGCTCATGTATCCAACTGATAAGTTTCTAAAATATAGGTAAGCAGGTAACCATTAATATACATAAAATTCAATTATAGCACATTTCACGTCAGCAGATTGGTTAGTTTTTTATTGGATTTTTTTTTTTTACTCAGAGCTTTGTGTTTGTAACCTTATAATTATATCCTAAAAAATAATTTGTCTTTTTTTTACTCTATTATTTCTTGTTAATATTAAAACTTATAATATTTTATGGTTGCATTGTTTCTCATAAATTAAATGACTGATTTTATGACATTAGAAACTTATAGAGAATTTAGCGATCTGTTGTTTACTTACATGCTCAATAATTATGACTAATTTTAGTTTTGTCTAAATTTGTTTTCTGCTTAATTAATTACTCATGTATTAGTATACTTCATAGAGAGACAAGAATTTTGGCGATGTTCTTTTTATGAATTAAAACTTACATGGATGGAATAGAAAATTTGCCCTTGGTTTGTCAAGATCATGGCAGGAGATCAAAAAAAATTGAAAACAAGCTCATTGGATGATGTTTATCATTATAACAAAGACTTGTCTTTAATGTGGAAGATAAACCTCATAAAACTATTGGAAGACTCACCACAAGAGCATTGATTATTTCATGACACTTAATGAAATAGAATGTGTAAAACAGTTGGATTTGTGATCAACATCAGTAGTACTAGCCTTGAGATGGGTTTTATTACTGGGTGATTAATAACCGAGTTTTTATCAAAAGAATTTTTATTTACAATTAGAAATAGAGTACGAAAGCATTACTTCTATATGTCACTGCAATGAAATTGAGCAAATGGGTCCGTCAAAAGCTTTTCCTAAAACAACATTAATTAATAAACTAGAAGGAACCCATGCTCCAAAACATGGGTGATCTCATATTTAAAGGTTTAATTGTAAGCCGTAGTTATTCCAAAATTAAACAATCTAGTGACAGATCAACGACCACTTATTATAGGAAGAGTCATGCCCTCAGTTCACTACTGGAAAAAAATTCCTTCTGGGCATGAGCAGGAAGTCTTACACAGTGTATGTTGATCAGGAGTTGCATTTGATCCATATTAAGTCAGCTTTGAAAAAAGAAATAAGTCCTAGTGGGCATGGTTCTCTGGAAAATCTAAATCGCTTGGTATATATTGATTTGAATCCTCAATGTTGGAATATATATTGTATAGGTATTGTCGATTTTAAAATCTTTGAAAGAGCACATTGTAGGTTATTGAGTTTGCAGCTATAAAAAAATAATCTATGGTTCATATCAAGGTGAAGAGGTAACCCTAACAAATAAATATCTATGCTCTATGAAAATATGTTCTGTCGTAAAAGAAAACGGCTGCATTAAAAATACATTGGTTAGTGATTGTTTTTATAGATATATGGAATGATTGGAAGAATATAAAAAATATTTCCCACCAGGTAAAAAATTGACGGATTTTTACATTTATATATGAGCATAATAATTTTATACCTTCAGAAATAAGTTTACTATACATACTTATTAATAAAGGTGGAATTGTTACAAATCAATTTTTTTTTTAAAGATTAATGAAAAAAAAGTCAACAGTAATTGTTGTTTTTAGGAGTCAATAATCTTAAAAAGCAGAAATCATTACTGTATTGTCATTTTTTAAAATTATATGTGGCTATTGCTTGTTTTTTTTTTTTTTTTTCGTATCATCTCTTCCTTGCCTTTTAGACTATACAGAGATTTTCTGCTTGAGTTAAAAGATCTTCTTGGCACCGATAGGCCAACTTGTAATTATTTTTAGGCAAATTTGATATGTTAGGTTGCCATGCAATGGCGGTGCTGTGCACACACCTTAGCCCGCTCCACCACCCTTTCCCTTTTTGTCTCTATTCTGTTTCTCATGGTTTTTATCGAAAGGAATTGTAATAAATATTACATTTTCTATTTTTCCACCAATGATTAAAATCGACTCCTCCCTTTCTCTACTCACTTTAGTGTATAAGTATATCAAAGAATTTTCATCAGAATGATTAGTTAAATGAAAATGCTTGGTGTGGAACAAAACTAGAAACAAATCCAGACACATATTTTATTTAAATAGGCGGCGACGTTGTCTGGTCTATTCTCCACCTTACTGGTGGCTGAATTACATCTGAAAGGAGGTATAAAATAGACTTTATGTAACAGCTCCAGAGCAGGATTTTCGGCTTCATCATTATGTGATCCCAATTTACATACCTGGCTATTGCAGCATCTCAGGCTGCAATAATAACTCTCCTTTGATTTGTATTGATGGATGAGGAAACCCATCCAAACTGTTTAGCTTATCCCTCCAAGGAAGAAGTTGAATGGCTTTAGAAGAACCTGTGAAGCAGATAATACCCATTAAGAAAAGAAACAAGTCGAAGAGATCTATGAAAACCTATGTAATCCAAGGGATAATCTGAAAATTGATGGTTAAAAACGGCAAGCAGCTATGCCTATGGTGTTTTTGAAAGAACCATGGTATGTGGTGTGGAGAAATATCGACTCAAACTTCTGAAGTCTAATTTAATTGTTAAGGCCTTTTTCAGACAGCCACTATGCTGCAAATGTTATGAGGAAGATAAAAGAAAACACTCTGTTGATGGAACTAGGGTAGTAAATAACTTAGGTTAGAAAAAATAATAAGAAGAACCACAAGGATGGTAAAAACTCGCTACTATGAAATCTTCAATCGAGGAAATACTTAATGAAGGAACTGAATCGCGAACCTGGATGGAGGAATCTCTTTTCGAACTTAACGATTTGGACGTCCTCTTCGCAAAAGAGAAGGTTGTGGATTTAAAATTTCTACTAGATGAAGAGGCAATACCTATAACAGCGGTACGATGAATTCGTCAAGCCTGTGGAGATATGTGAGCAGTGTTCATCACAACGCCAGTTGTCTTGGATAGAAAGAACAAAGGTGAATTACGATTATGTTGTCGTGAACGTTTTAAGTCGGTGTACAAAGTTTCTTCCGTTGTTATGTGTATGGACATATTGATAAGAATTGTTTGGAGAGAGTAACCAAACATGCCACTAAGCTGTTGATTGTGGCCGAAGTCCTCACCGTGCAGGAGAGAGATTTTGATGTAATTCATCAGCTTTTCGTTTTTTCCCCTGGTTTTCCCGTACTTTGCAATTTGTAGGGATGGGGTTGTTCTAAAGGTACAACCTAATTCTACTCAGATTGGAAAGGGCGAGATTCATACCATGGCTCCGTCGCAAAATAAATTTCAACCCTCTGCTTTAACACACTCGACCATTACTGCCCCTATCTTTATATCACCCAAAATAATAAAGCACGTCCAAACTCATCAAACATGAGGATACTCCAATTCACAGGCGGATCTACTGGGGGTGGGGGCTTTAGGGCTGAAGCCCCCCCAAAACGGTAAAATATAACCTATAATGTTTTATAGGAAAAAATATTAAAAACTATCTCTTAAAATGTTATCGTCCGTGTAATTACATTTAATAGGACTTCAAGAACCACTTAAACACCATTTCATATAGGTAGTTAATTTCTTTCTTTCTTCCTTTTTTTTAAATTAATTATCGTTATATATTTGAAAAAAAAAATCTTTCGGACTAAGCCTGTTAGTCCCCACTGTTAGTAAGAATCCCACTGACGAATAGCTACCTCGGGTCTTTGAAGATTTCCACCGTTCCTTGTTAAAAAAAAAAAAAACAGACACTCCTGAAAACATGGATTCTAAATTTTTCGCAAAAATGCATATCGAAAATTTGACTCGATCACAGTAATTTTCACGATCGCGATACTTTCTCTAACTAGGGATATTTTTCATATATTGGTAAGTAAAAGATTGTGTACCCATTGTAATTTAAAGTATGTATACCACTATCTCGCTGTTTGTCCGATTTTATAGAAATATCGAATAAAATATTTCAAGAAAAAAATCATAAATAAACTTATAAACGTAATCAATGGCAAAGATTGGATCAGTTTATATGCGTATCATATACACATTTATAAATATGGGATATTTTTGATTCAGCGATACAACACATAACATTCTTTATTTATGCAACAAAAATTATTTCTTTCTTATTTTTTGACAAATTAAAGTTTATTTAGATTATATGTTTTATATATTATATGTACCGCCTGTTATACAATTTTAATGTAATCAACACTAGAAAATTAGACAGAAACAAAATTAGAAAATCCAAAATATAATTCATATTACAAATTAAAATATTCCAAAATTTTCACAATCGCAATACTTTCCTTTACTATTTATTGTAATATTAGGTAAGTGAAAGTAAAAATATTAATTAGACAATGTCGTGGTGACATACCAGATATTGTTTCGAATATATTATTATATTAGTGTGGATCGCTTGTTTTTAAATAACTAAGTTT